ACTACTTACTATCTACTATCTATAGCAGAAGAGACTACTATATAAAGTATAAAACTAGAGCTACTTAATTATTAAGCTAGTAAGCTTTAACTAGAGAATATATATTACTCTTAGAGATATCTATATATATATAAGAAGTCTTAGATCTATAATACTATAGCTTATAATAGCTATTCTTTTTACGCGTGCTTCTTATAGTAGCTTTATACTAGTACTAGCAGATATAAAAACTTTCTTACTATATTTTTCTTTATCTTTTCTTCTCTCTACTCTATAGAGTAGTATTAGATAGATAGTAGATAACTATAAATATAGTTATCTATCTTCTACCTAATACTAACTCTACTATTCTTACCTCTTCTACTTCTACTTCTACTTCTACTTTCTCTATTATTATCTACTTTTTTTTTATATATGCTTCTTATAGTAGCTCTATACTAGTACTAGTAAATATAAAAACCTCTTCTTTATATTCTTCTCTATTCTTCTTTTCTTTTATAGTAAAGATTAATATACTATTAGTAATCTTTTAAGTAATTCTAAGAGATTACTAGTAGTATATTAATTATATATTCTCTTATCTTAAGTACTTAAGAAATAGCGCTTTACTACTTCTACTTCTACTTTCTCTATTATTATCTACTTTTTTTTTATATATACTTCTTATAGTAGCTCTATGCTAGTACTAGTAAGTATAAAAATTTCTTTTCTATATTCTTCTCTATTCTTTTTTTTCTTTATAGTAAGAATTATAAAGTTAATATTAGAAGTAAAGTAGATATCTACTTTACTCTTAATATTAACTCTATAGTTCTTACTATAGACTAGTAGCTCTAGTACTCTTAATCTTTACTATGCTAAATTACTAAAAGAAGATTACTCTTTTATTCTTTTAATAAATATATAGTATTCTAGTGTTTTTTCTATAACGTATATATAGTATTCTAGTATTTTCTCTATAACGCATATATAGTCTCTTTATATTTTCTCTGCAACGCATATATAGTCTTTATATAATTTCTCTTATAATATATATATATTTATTACTTTCTATATACTATAGCTCTAAAAGAGATAATAGAGCTTTATATATATAGTAATAGACTGTTACTATAGTAAATACTAGCAAATATTTATAACTTTAAACTTTTTAGGCGTAGTATATAATACTATACTACTTACTACTACTATTATTATTATTATAAGTTCTTCTATATAGTCTTCTAACCTTATATATATATACGCTACTATATATATAATATAGTAACTAATTAGATATAGAATAATTCTATAAAGACTTTATATATACTTATAACTCTGCTAATCTACTACTATATAACTTAGTTATATACTTACTCTTTTAGACTATAATTTTATAGAATTACTATACTACTCTTACCTATATACGCTTTATTAAAGGCTAGTATAGAGTAACTTTAGAGAAGTAATATAACTTATATAGCTAGAATAATAACTCTGCTCTTAGTGCTAAGCATTAGAAAGTTAGACTCTATTAGATATACTATAAGAATCTTAATATTAGTAATAGCTAACTAAAGCTTACTACTTAGTATATAGAGTATTATATATATAGATAGAAGTATTTACTACTAATAAGAAATAGATAGCTAATAGTAAGCGTACTAAAGTATAAGCTAAATTACTTAAGAAAGATACTTACTAAGCTTTACGCTATAGTAGAAGCTATATAGCTTTACTATAATAATAGATAAGAGGTATAGCGCCTTATATATTATAAGGCTTATCTATAGGTAGAGAAGAAAGATAATAATAATAATAATAATAATAATAATAATAATAATAATAATAATAATAATAATAATAATAATAATAATAATAATAATAATAATAAGAAGAAGAAGAAGAAGAAGATAGAAGTAGAAGTAGAGAAGAGAATAGAGAAGAGAGTAGAGAAGAAGATAAAGAAAAGTATAGATAGAGAGTAGAATAAGAAAGAGAAGAAGATAGCGCTAGCGCTATTATACTTAGAGTCTTTAGTATTAGTAGTATCTATCTAGCTACTTTAGATAATATCTTAATTATTTAATAAAGTAAAAACTTATTTTAAAAAGAGTATAGCTATAAGCATAAGCGCTTATTAAGCTAAAGCCTTTATTAGAGTAAGCTTAATATTATTATAAGCTACTAGTAAATTTATCTAACTTAGACTTTAAGACTAAGAATAAGTTTAAAGAGAAGAGAGAGAGAGATTAGATAAATTAATTATAAAATATATATAATTATATTATCTTATATAATACTTCTATGCTTCTATATGCTATAATTATATAATCTCTTATATAAAGCTTAGAATATATTAATAGACTATGCATATAAGGCTTAGAATATATTAATAGACTATATATATAAAGCTTAGAATACGTTAATAGACTATATATATAAGGCTTAGAATATATAGACTAACTATACATATAAAAAACTTAAGATATCTAATTAAAATAATTAAATTAAATTAAGATAACTTTATATTTTTTTCTTCTTATTTACTCTTAATTTAATCTTTTAAACTTCTAATTTAATCTTAGTTTAATTAATAAAAATATTAAGAATTAAATTAAATTAAATTAAGACCTTATTTATTAACAAGTGTGCTTAAGAGTATGCTCGTCAGTGACTTCGATGCTAATATTCTCCTGGTCAAAGCCTTGAGTCTCGCCATCGATCTGCCATCCCTGCTCAGTCTGATTGACTGCAAAATTGGCTCGCAGTGCGCGCTGGCGATGCTGACGTTGGCGATGCGCCTGACGCCGAGCCTCGCGCTGAACCTCGATAGCCTCAATGTGTGTCTGGCGCTGAGCCCCGCGATCGATCTCGCTCAGCGGTTCTTGGATAATGAAGTGGTTGAAGGGAGAATTCTGGGGACGTTGGGGCCGCGGGCAGGCGACTCGGTAGGCGTAGGGGAAGCGCGATACTGGGGGGCAGAAACTAAAAGGATTACACTGCTGTGCCTGATAGGCGGGCGCAAAAAATGGGGTGAGAACAAAGGCAACTGCTGGTATACTAGTGGGTACAAGCGTGATCGTTGGCAAGACTAGAACGGTACGAGTTGAGCCACGCAGATATGTGAAGCTTCGCGTGCATTCTCGAAGCTTCCGCGCACGCAAAGGGTTCGCGCCACTCATGTGATGCTGCTTTCCGTCTCCACGCTCGGATGCCCCCCTGTCATCTGAAATTCCAGCTCTCATCATCACGATGAGTTTATCGCAATCACACACTGTGTCCACCACACACATCCCATGACTGTCTTCTTTGTTCAGTTCCTCATCAAGTTGTCTGGCATTAGCATTTGATAATTAAGCATTATATTATTCTACCACCCATTGTGCACCTACTTACTTCTGCAGCGCGAAACCCATCTTAAGCGCGCCATCTTCATTGCTGTGGATGACATAGTAGTTGCGCATCCAAATGCTACCCAGCACGGAATACTTCATGTTCAGTTGCATGGTGATGGCTCCCACACATGTGCCCTTGGCCTTGTCGTAGGAGCCATAATTAACTTCGCGTCCAGGCACTGTGAGCACGCCGCTTCCAACCTTGAAGTTCAAGTCTGGCATGGTGCTGTTGCACGGAAAGGTGTTTGAGCCCCCTTGTGTTGGCACGTATCCCGGGATCTGGCCATAATAATCCTTGACCACGGCTTCAGGAAGGTAGATCAGTACGCTTCCAGAATCCACGATAACCTCGCCGACGGGTTCGCTGCTGAAAGACCCTTGGCCCACCGCGTACTCGCCAACATCGACCTGCCAATGCTTCTGGGTACCTGATACTGGAGCCCATGTGATGTCGCCTGTGTACTTTGACTCGTCGATGTATCCGAAGTCCCAAGTACCCTTACCATCGACTCGGTGATTTGCTGCAAACAGATTCCTTTGGAGCGTCGGGGCCAGGGTTTCAAAGAAGGTCTTTTGTCTCTCTGGCTGCACCTGGTTGATAATACCAGGCGCAAGACCAAGAATTCCATCCGTGGCGGTCTCGAATGATATTTGTGTCGCTGCCTCAATGGCTTGCTTGGTGGCCGTAAGGGGACCAGCTTTCACCGTATCGAGATACACCACGCCCGAGGCACTCTGTCCGTAGGCGTATTTGATGCTCCAATTATGGTTGGGAAGAAGCTCGGCAGAAGAGGAAGGATGGTACAGCGGATGCCCCTCATCCGCTTGCCATTGTGGACCATCTTCCGAGATGACCCACAAGTCGGCAGAGCCAGTATCATAAAGCATTTTAAACGTCTGGTTGCCGATGACCGTGGGAACATAGAAAGTGTTCCCTCCACTCCGCACGTCGACAAGGACCGATCCTTGTTGCTTCGTAGCGTCCACCTGTCTTCGCTCCAGAGTACCAGTGGTAGGGAATTTCGTCCACAGTTTGTGTAGTTCAGCGACCGGATCGAATCGCGACAAGGCAGGTGCTGGGACGGCGTCGACACTGAAGGCTTCGCCGCGTGGATTTACCACCAAGGCATGAGCGGATGACGCGAAGGCTGCTAGACCGAGTCTTTTCATTGTGATGTTAGATTGAGGCATTGTTTTTCTGGGAGCGTTGCGTCACAACCAAAAAGAATTGAAGGCTACTCGAGTCGAAGTTGTGAGTGAAGAGAAAAACTCGACGACTGATTGAAGAGCTATTAACATCACTTCCACACCGTGCGCTACAATGTATTTCACGATGCTGAATGTTACTCTGTCTAGGATGTTGCATGACTTTGGCTATCTCGGCATCATTTGCTTGTCGATCGAACGTGCGCTCTAGCCTAAAGCGACTAGATCTCCGCCGGTTGCGCGCTATGCTCGGCCTTTTTTGCTAGCATTGTGACCCAAGCTCGTAAAAGTACTATTAATAGCAATCTTGTAGGGGAAGGTGGGAAGGCCCATTGAATAGACAATAAACGCAATACGAGGTCGGCGTGTTAAACGCGAAGCCGAGCATTTGCCTACCAACGTTATTGAAATGAGACCTCTTGGTATCGTTGACTTGGCTTCTCCATATATGGTCGCACGATGCAGTTTGTACTCAACGTTGCTCATCACAGCCTTTGTTACAACATGGCCGATCTCAAGTTGATGTCGCTTGCCCTCCTCGCCACCGTCGCGCTCCCTGCAGTCGCTGCCGAGCTTCCTGCTGGAGTCGTCGCCGTACCTTTGAGTAGAGACTGGGGACTTACAGCATATTATGCTGAGCTCCAAGTCGGCACGCCGCCGCAGAAGGAGTACCTCAAGGTTGATACCGGAAGCCCAAATTTTGCCTTCTTGAATCCACGCAATCCGAGTTGTGCCACGCAAAACTGCAAGACCTTTGGCACATTTGACAATCTCACCTCATCGTATGTGCTTCTCTTCCACGTCGCATCCTAAGTTTAAACGACGGCTAATTGTGGTTTGCGCAGGACATGCCATGACGAGGGGCCTGGTTTCTATGACTTCCTCTCTTCCCTTGGCAATGGAGATTTTCTAAACGATACACTTGTGCTGGGTGGTGTGACTGTGGAAAAAATGTACTTTGGATACACGTCTTCCTATATTTACCCCAACTATGTTACCGGCAATGTGTCCACAATCCTTGGTATGAAACCCCCTCATCTTCTTGACTGTTCCGAGTAGCATCGACTCATCTGCTCATTTAGGTCTATCCTTGAATTGCCAAAATGGAGGTCCCACTTGCACGTACAAGGGTCCGGTATTGTTACCGCAGCTCAAGAACAATTCTATAATCGAATCCATGTCGACTAGCATCTACCTTGGCCGCGACAATGCAGATGTAAAGAACGCGAAAATGCTGATCGGTGGAGCATACGACAAGGCCAAGGTGGATGGTGAGTTATTCACCATTGACATGGTGGATCCACACAACCTTAACCTCGCCAACGGGCAGACCAACTCTGTCAACGTGACCGCCATGGAAGTTGTCCTTGATGGCACCAACCGTACCGCCGCAACATATGGTGAGAAAGATGTCGGACTCCCGGTACTGCTTGACACTGGCATTGCAGCATGGTACATGCCGGACAAAATCTTTGCTGCTACCTACTACGGTCTTGGAGGACGAGGCGAAGTTTCCGGCGGGACGCGACACGTAGCTGTCGATTGCGCCTACCGTGACCCCAGCTACACAAAGGGCTATGTCACGGTTGAATTTGGCACTGCTGGCAAAGTCAGTGTCCCACTTTCCAGCCTCGTGTCGCAGTTCCATGATGGAACTTGTGGATCGTTTATTGCACCACGTGGCGACATTGTGAGCACAATGGGTGACCCGTTCCTGAGGGGAGTATACTCCATCTTTGATCAGGAGAACTTCACCGTCACATTGGGTCAGGTGAAGCATACAGATGAGGAGGACATTGTTGCGATCCCCAAGGGAGGTTTCAAAGCTTCGTCAAAATAAACGCGCGATAATAAAATAATTTCTAATCCTATCCTATGCTGTACAACGATATAAAGACCATTCTTCCGATGCGCAATAAGCATTCTGATCTCCGTGACGTGCCAATCAACCGACCTTCTCACGCTTGCGAACTATTCTGTGCGTGAAAACGTCCATCACAAAGTACCACTCGACGGCCGCGCATTCACAGCTTAAAATTTAGTCTCTCATTATGCTGCTAGGATAGTGTATATTCACGCTGAGAGCGCAGCCATGGCCGCAGTCGTTCCTTGGCCTGCTCGCCAATAGGATAGGCTGAGGATTGCGCTACTACGGCGTGGAATTGTTATCAGCTGCTAGCGGGCGTGAACGTCATTGCAGCGCAAGCAACGAAGTAGACGTCACTAAGAAGATTATACAACTTCGTGAACAAACTGTGGCTCTCTGGAGTCCGACTGGAGTAACTTAGGCTAGATAAGACGTTTCTACCATGCGAGAAAGCCGACCTTGTCGATGATCTTCCCAGTTTCTGCATCTCTCTTACCCTCAGCGACAGTGAGAAGCCTCCAACCACCTTCACTAGCAGTCTCTGCTCCCATTGTCTCCATCAAGTCTGCGCCAAGTTCGCTTAATCCAGTGGCGCAAAATCCAGGACTGACACTGAATACTATGACCCCATCTGCCTTCAGCTTGTGGTTCCAATCCAGCATCAGCATGCTCAATGCCGTATTGCTGCAGCGATACGCAATTATTTAGAAGTCGATATTCTTCGGCCAGCCGGCTGGTTACAGAGGTGTTGGAAGATAAGCCTCGGCCGCCTGGGTCATCTACGAAAGACCAGCAAGGAAGATCAGACGAAGCTCGGCAGACATGAGCAAAAGTGGAGTAAACGTCCACATCATAACGTTGGTGCCTGAAACGTTCAAGTCGTAGGCTTTGTTGAAGCACTCTCGCAGAGACATGTCGCCATGTAAAAGCTTAGCGTCGACGCCGCCGCCTGAAAGATATTAATTACACAACAGTACAGATCTAGGACAACATCCTTACCGGCATTATTGATAAGGACGTCCAGGCGACCTGGCCTCTTCTTACTACCTGAAAGGCCTTCTCAATAGACTCATCGCTGCTCAGGCCAATCTGAAGCAACTAATACTCGCCCTCGTGAGAATGCGACATCGGAAATCCAAGGTCGTGTCGGAACATTAGCAGCTCTCATATCAGTCTGAAACTTACCAGGATAGGAAGCTTGAGCTGGAAGCAACAACTGCTGACCGGAATTGCTATTTCGGCTCACCAATGTCGACAGAGCAGCATTCCGCACCGTTTGTAACAATTCCCGTGGAGCTGGAGAGCTCCAACGCCTACTCACATACATGGTACAAACAACAGGGAGTTGTGGAGATGTGACAATGATGAGATCAGCCTCTAGAAGCTTAGGTCGTTGGAAGTATGGGGCGAACTCTGGCTGTTTATCCCAGCGCCGTAGTTATTGATCTCTCCCAGCGTCCTGCGCTCACATCTGGAAGTTATATGTGAAGGCTATTACTACACTCGCGCTTGTAAAGGCGGTCACTTCACGAATTCAACACTTCGACTCTGGCTGAATGACTGCCAGTGTGTTGACACTACAGCGTGATTCATCCTCCGGATTACAACGAGACTCCTTATCCTTCACAACTTTCTGTGCCAATGATCATCCGGCGACTCGCTTCTTTCATGCCTATTTCGCCAGTTGCGTGGGAACCTGCCTTGAACGCCAGCAACTGGCTGGAAGGGACTTGGTCGAGCTTCGTCTTCTGATGCAGCGTCCTCTTCGTCCGCATAGTCACTTTCATATTCTTCGTCGTTTGGTATTTTACCAGGCTTCAAGTTGTTAAACCTGTCCGCTTCAACACCAGCTAGCAGATCCTCGGTTTCTGTCATGACCCTTTCCATTTTTGGGTCTGGTTTGGCTGGTTCTCTGATTGCCTGCCGTGACTCACAGGGGTCACCGTCGGATGGAGAACATGTACTTTTGGAAGACTGATAAGCCGCATTCTTCTTTTCTGGTTGTTGCCAGCTTCGATCAAAACGATGTGAGGGGTGCTCGAACCCTGTGGAGTGTGGCGAAGGAGCGCTATCCGGCGATGAAGGGCGGGTAAGAATAACAGGATGAGAGTCTACCTCAGAGCAAACACAAACGCCTGTGCATTTTACACAGCGACTCAAAGCTTTGTCAAACTTTTCTGTTGAGGTTGCCGGTGATGCTATTTCTATCGGTGGACTGCATGAAAAAAACTTCGACGCGAAAGAACTGGAGGTTGTCGAATTTGTTGGTTGAAACGAATCGACCCGAGTGGACTGCTGTCTTGGATGGGCATTGAGAACGGTGTCGGTTTGACGCTGTTTCCATATTTCCTTGGCATACTTCTCAACGACTTCATCAAAAGTGAAGAGTAGTTTTGACTCAGGGATGATCGCACTGACGCCAATCCTCATTCTTTGCTCTTGTAGCACCGGGGTCGCGTCTTGCATACGCGAATTGATAGCACGTCTTTGCCTGCGCCGATTTTGACTTTCACAACATCAGCTTCGAAGACCATCTCCTTCGATTGGAAGTACTAGCCTTGTCTGCTTTAGCTCGTCTACCGTCTCTTCCAAGGTGGCGCCGAAGTGATCTTCCAAAGCTTGAATGGCCTGTCGGTCTCCTCGGGCAATCACAGCGTTTATCATTCGTATCTCCTCTTTGATATTATCGATGGCTGTGATGTTTGAAAATCCTCTCATACCCTCTTGCGCTACACTAAGGGATGAACGCAAGTATTTCACTTCGTTCTCGTTGAAGAGCCACTTTACGTGAGCTGTCAGAGTCTTAAGCATCGAGTACCTTGAGTCGTCAGCTAACGCCTGAACTCGAGTCAGTAGCACTTTGAATGCGTCTATTGCGTCTTCAATCCAATCGATGAGACGTCTGGTAGAAGACGTCTTGCGGCCTTTCTTGCGCTGGTCCGAGACACAGACTCTATAGAAATCTTCCTAGAGATCAGCAAAGACACCCATCTCCTTAACAAGCTTCATGAGCTCGCGACGTGCGTATTTGATCTTTTTGGCTGACTTGAACAGTGATTGGCTGAGTTTTAGTGTGAGTGCGCCAAAGGTAACGCCAGCCGCCACAACTCCAGCTACCTCCATTTTTAAAGAGGTCGAAACAAAGATTCGACAATAAAGATAAATGCTATTGAATAATGTGTTCTAACATCGGCGTCTTTAGCAGTTAAAATGTCCAGCGTAAGAGAGCCTTGTGCGAAACCTGACCGGTGAACTGGTGGCTCGGCCTAGTCCTGCATTGAATCCGCCCAACCATTGATGTTCCACCTTCACCCCATTGGGTGTTCTACCCGCGATGCGGGGTCGACTGTACCGTCTGTGCCTTTCGACCAGTTTCCATTCACCGGTATATTCGTGATTGGATGCCTTGGTTTTTGTACGGTCTGGAAAAGTGTCTAAGCCCTGCAGTAAATTACATTGCTTCCGCCGATACAGTGCCTAGGCAATGCTGCTGAAAGTATATCATTGTCTCATCGCTAGAATCAAGATGCACAATTACAGCTTTGAAGCAATTTGGCTGGTGGGAAGCTGCTGTGCGACAACGCCAAGGTTGTGCTTCTGTACTGACGTCATATGCTCTGGCACGGTGCGATAAGATCTTACTAGCTTGGATGCGATGGCAGTATGAGTTCTCTCCTCTTTACAAAATGTTTTCGACGAAAAGGGCGGACGTTGTTGAAAACTTACCGCACACATCGACATCTCGACGCGCATCAGTATCCAGCGTTGAGACCATCACAGAAGCCTCGCACAGGACACAGAACGCAAACGATGCTGAACCATGTTCATCCTGCCAGCGCATGCTATCAATCGCACTAGCACCTACGTATAGTTCTTCCGAAACACACCAGAAGTGCCGCAGACCCACGTCTATAACTGAATTACAAGCTGGTTCCAGAGGGTGCCCAGTGTGTAGTCTATTTCACCAGATCCTGCGGGGCAAAGATGACAGAGTCGTTGACCGAATTCTCAGGTACAGCAACGAAAACTTCAACAGCCTAACTCAATACCTGCCTGATGGTGGGACCGATATAGAAGAGCTTATGAACCCCGGTCCGAAAGTGAAGATGCACATAAGTGCTGCCCTGACTTTCCCCGAAAGCCCGACACAGGTCCCAAGGTATCGACGGCGGGAAAGGAAAGCTATGAATATTGTTCGAGATGTCCTGGTCGGGCCGGCCATCGGATTGCAGCTGAAATTTCAATTGCGGTATACGGCCCAAGCAATGACTCGAATGAAGACCAATACCACGGTGGAGGAATGTTTGGCGATCTATCGGGCTCCGGGTACTGGTCCGTCGGTCAGACTTTAGAAAGCTGTAGCATCCTGATGCTGATGCATATAGAACCAATAACTTCAGATAAAGATGAGAACTCTCAGAGTACAGACTGGTTTGAGTCGCGAGTTCCTTCCGATACACGACTTGACACGAGTGCGAAATGGGATCTTCTCACGTCTTGGGCACAACGATATCACCTGTCAGCCCGAACGGAGATCCCAGACAGCTTTCCGAGTCGATTCCTGGACTTATCTAGAGAGGGTCATGTCCGTCTAGTGGATGCTGTACGTGCGCCTTACGCTGCACTGAGCCACCGTTGGGGTGCCTCGAAGCATCTGATTACTACGACCCAAAATATAGGACGCCTAAGAGCGGGCGTTAGAGTACACCACTTACCAATGATGTTTCAGGATGCAATATCGGTAGCAAGGCATCTCAGAGTCCACGCTTTATGGATTGACGCCCTGTGTATCGTGCAAGACGATGAGCATGACTGGGAGAGAGAGGCTCACAAAATGGGAGATATCTACACGAATTCCGACTTCGTCATTGCAGCTCACTGTGCATCAGACGACTCTGGGGGTTTCTTGGCCGAGTCAATGTCAAAGCGCGAAGCAGTAGAGATCGACTTGCAGAATGAAGGCAAACGGGTAGGGATATATAGGCGCGGCAATATCGACAGTGATATAACCAGCAGCCTACTGTCAAAAAGGGGTTGGGTGCTACAAGAGCGATTGCTCGCAACACATATCTTGCATTTTACCGCCAACGGATTGTTTTCAGAGAGAGGCTCTGAGGTCTTTTCAGAAGACGGTACGCAAGAAGATATGCCCGCGGCGGCAGAAGGCGAGAAATTTTGGACACCATCTGCTATGCCAGAACTCCAGACTGCGTTGATGAGCCAAGAAGTAAAGAGAGAAACGATCACTCGGAATGAGAGTGCGCAGCGCCAGACTCCCTTGGACTGGCTCCATTTAGTCGAGATTTACACCAACTGCGATCTGACTAGGGAAGAAGATAAACTGTTTGCCATTGCTGGTGTGGCGGCGCGAATTTTTGCGCGCTCGAATCTCAGTTGGTGTGCTGGCCTCTGGAGTGACCGGATCTCTGAAGGCCTTTTATGGCTTCCAGGACAAAACTTGACTCGCCCAGTTAACCCACGCGCGCCATCATGGTCGTGGGCTGCGTGGGATGGTTCGATCCACTATCCTCAGAACATTCATGGCGACTCTTTCGAGTCCAAGGCAGCGTTTCTGAAAGTTCAAGGAGTGTATGATACAAGATTTTGTGGAGATGAAGTGTGGCTCGCGGGTTCAGGCACATTACAAATTCGAGTCAAGTTATTTGATCTTACCACCGTCATTTTCACTGGCGACTGTGTCCCGTTGGGACCTGGACCGGACCGCCGTGGATACTTCACTAACAATAACCAAGACCTTCCTCGGGTCACATTGAAAAAGTACCTGAACGTACACACACTTCATGGACGCCGGGCCGTGAATAAGCGCCTGAAAGTTCGCGAACACCGACTTCCTCCGTGCGGGTGGGTAGCTCTCGATGACCACCAATCCGCACCGCGACAAGATTCCGACATGGAGTCTCGTAGTCTGCGGGGTCGCTACTTCGCACTTCTCGGCATCGGTCGCATGTCTTCAGGAGTGGTAGCATGTCTCGGAATATTTTTATGCGTTATGGAAAAAGCCAAAGGGCATCTGGAATATTATCGCATTGGATGTGGTCAATTATCTCACTCGTTCATTTCTGGCGAGCAGCTTGAATATCAACCCGGACGGCAGGATGCGACAGGATGGTCAACAGATACTGAACATGTACAGATACCTCTCGACCTCGAAGATGTATCGACTATCACGATCCGATGACCCTGCTGTCATCGCAGACCTGTTTCATGCTTGCGTCAGTTCGACGTGCATCTGAGCAAAATTCACGTGGGCAAGAAGATGGCATGTTCTAGAATCGAGATATCCTGCACTCTAGACAAAATCTACAACGAAGAAACGTTGCCCTTGAAAAACTACCACATATGCTTGCAATTATTCGAAGCGGAGAGATAATTTCCTATGCATTTGTGAAACACGGATGTCGTGCAACACCGAGCCTCTCACAGCGTTGAGCGCTCCATAATATTCGCAAACACCCATATACTTCCCAACTTCCAGGTTGTAAGCAATCGGAAGGCGTTCCCTTTGCAGTTAGATCGAAAGCTACCCAGGTACCGATACCGTAGTCGGCTTCGAAGCCACGATCGGTCGAAAGGGTCCAGACAGAAAGCAGCATGCAGTCGCGGTCAAAACGTGAGCACACGACACGATCTATCCATCCTGATGCGGCCTTCTCCACATCTCGCGATGTCGCGTGAGAGTGGTGGCAGCTTCTGGAACCTGACCCTTGAAATCGGTCGAATGCAGGGCTACCTACGTCCTGGGACGGTACGTAGTCAGAATTGAAGGCAGCGACTACCCATCCAACAGACCGAGCGGAGCAAAGGTTTCTTAGTCTTTTCTACAATGAGTGTTTACATGTCGGTAACGTCGTAATGGGCGCCACTGTTTCTTCACCGAACAACTTCTCAACAGCAACACTTTCACGACGATAAGTTGACGTAATCATCTCACCCCAATATATAGACGCCGCATACGCACCACCACCCAGCTTCTGCAGCATCCATCCAACAAACGCGGGGTCTTCACCAATGCGACCATCCCGAACCGCATCCAGCCCACCCTCTAAGAACCCTTATCCACACCACTGGCACCCACACCCAACGATCAAACCCCATCTCTCGATGTTCGCAGAACTGTTGGGAAACCCCTAACACCTCCCGCACACCTTCGCATAATTTTCTCGTAAAAACTAAATAATCAAGATGTTGCCAGGTATGACGTCACTCTTACACACCCACGCATCCTGCATCCTGCCTCATCCCGCATCGACGATGACTGCAATCGACAGCACGAAAACGAACAAGCCCGATGTGGTGATGTGTGGCAGAAGCGAAGGGCCAGGGGTGATGTGGCTGCGCGAAATGTCTCGAGGAAGAATGGTGGGTCGTGCAAATGTGGAGTGCGTAGGAGCCAGGTTTGGTGAAGGGCTGATCGTAGAGCGTGATGTCGATGCGAGAGGACTAGGTGCAGGGGTGCTCGGATCGGCCGGCAGGGCGCGAGCCATTGGGTTTTTTTCGGTGGCCGCGCGATGTGGCTGGTGAGTTTGGGTATTATTCACGACTAGGTATTAGATCAAAGGGGCATGCGGTGAGGATGTTGTGGCAGCAGTGGATTGATCAGTGGAGTGAAAAAATGGATTTACTTGTGAGAGCAAAGTGCTACGCTAGTATGATGCTATGCATCGGGTATCTTTTTCTGAATTTGATCTCGTCATATCAGGACCATTGCGCCATTCCCAACCTGCGCCAAACGAACATGCCATGCCATCGTGAACGTGAAAGTAAAACAATCTCAGAGACAAAGGTCAAAGTGATATGTCTAAGCCCAAGTCTTGGAAGCGTTGAGATCCAGCTCGAGGTGATGGGCGATTGCAGAAGCAAAGTCGCGCTCAGAATTCGACGAATGACGACGTCTCTGTCGTCGAATCTGGTGTTCGGCCTCCATAAGCTTCTCCTGGATCCAGGCACGACTCTTCTCGTCCGAGCGTATCGACTCGGTGTTGAGGAGCTCGGTCAACGTTGCGATGATTTGCTGGTTGATCTCGGCAAGCTTGTGTGACTCGTCCATGTGCATGTCATCCATGCTCGACCGCGAAGACCGTACAGTAGTAGTAGGCAGAGGCTCGGTAGCGACAGGGTAGGGTGTGGTGTATTTGGGTGACCAGTCGGGTGAGGATGATAGGGACTGGAACTCGGGAGATGAAGGTTCCCTCGGTGCGCCGAAGGGAAGTTGGAGAGCAACGCGGCGTTGCAGTGCTTCCTTTTGAGCCGTGAGCAGCAGATATTTCTGCATCGACTCATTCTGGGGCTTGTTAGCTATGTTTGTCAAGCATGGTTTGTTGGAGATATCCTTACTCTACACAGAGTTGGTCTTGAGAGGGTTGACATGGTGGATATTTGGAATGTGTGGTGTATTGGCGGGGGCGGTAAGTAACTCGAAGTCCGAACGGCTTCCTTATAGATAGCTTGATGCGTGGAGTCGAGGTGGAGCGATGTGGGACGATATGATGAATAGTGGGTGACCCGAAACCGTTAGTACCCAAGGCTGCGAGATAAATCTAGAGCGCAATGGATGCGGAGTATGCAGGAAGGCTTCTTGGTGGGTTGACTGATATCACGCGTTCGGAATTTCTGCAACGCATGCAAGCGGAAGATATCGAATTAATGGTGGTTTGAATTTGGGTTGCGCCGGTTGGAGATGCTAAAGGACTTAAATCCCCCACAAATGATCTCCATGCCTCCTTGCTGAGTGTACCATGACGTGGAAGTGTTGTAAAGTTGCGACGGGGAGCAACGCGGCTCAAGCCGCCACGGCCCTTGTGCTTGGGCTTTGTCTGGGAACGTGTGAGGGCGTTAATTGCGACCTTGTTCCAAGTCCAGGGGTTTCTAGGTTTGTGTTCTGTAATTGGTCGTCAGGTCCGCCTCTGTCGATCAATCGTTCCAAAGTGAGGGTCCTGAATCCGCCAAGGCTATAACGTCATTGTAAGCCAGCACAAACAGGCATTGAAATCCAGCATCGCGATCTAAATCCAGCTTTGCGCCATGAAACATGCCGTACAACCGTAGAAAGCAGATATCTTGCAACGATGTGCCGTACCTGCATGTGTGCAGTGATCCGCGGAGCACCCACAGAGCCCCACGCTTCCGAGGTGGATGCTGTGTGCGAAAATTTCTTCCATGGCCAATATCCAACATTCCCATGCCACATGCGACATTACCATGCGTGAGCGAAACATGACGCTGGACTGAGACATTTTTGTTGCTTCTGCTCCGTCTGGGTTTTCTGTGCCACAGGGCGCGCACTCCGAACCGCCGACGTCACTTCAGCCCCAAGCTGACCCTGAACCTGGAAGTCCAACTTTGTAGACCGCCTCTGGAATGCTCTCCTCTGGCGCAATCTGGCCCAAACTGTTGGTGGATTTCGGGCCTGCGATAAACCTGTCCCTGCTTTTGTGTTGTGGAAAGGCCAATCAGCGAACCACAGCCACATGCCTAGAGTTAGTAGGCGCCACGTTACGTGGCTAAGTCCCACGTGTGCCTAGTCGCTTCCTGAGTTGTGACGCGGGTTACAGAGTGTACGCCAAACAAGGCAATGATGGCTTGCTGCAATCGGGACCCTTGATACCCACGTATCGCAATGACCAGGACGAGCCTTCTAGAATACGGGCGCCTTCCATGGCAGACTTGGAACGGCGTTTGAGAAGCCAGTGAAGGATTGGAGCAGCATTTTTCTTGCCTGCCGTCTTCGGGGCAATGATCAGGCGGGAAATCATACATGTGATGAGCCTTTGCAGTACGAACCGAAATGTTCCAGCATGACGTACGCCAATCAATTGTCAAGAGCGTATGTCATTACTAATATAGCAGCTTGGAGGTACACGCAGCACCCCTAGACTCCAACTGCGCATGGTACGTGCAACAGTAGTTTATGGACAAGCTTGTCGGCCTGAGTTGACGTGCGCTGTATTGTGTCAGATTTCGTTTACCTGCTTCTTTGCTGTGGGACGATAAGGCAGTGTGTGGCTGACGATCTCATCACTCACTCGTATCCCAGAGAGCAAGAGGTAGCCGCTCAATCCATAGCCTGAAGCAGTACACAGTGCTTTGCCATCGTAACCGAAGCCAAACGATACTGTGTATAACCTCAGGCTGTCACATAGTCCTGCTTAGTTTCTTGGGATAGTTCATAACCCACAGTGTGCGACACGAGGGCTCTCACGCGCAAACGTTGTAAAGGACAGGAAGATAACCCAATCCAAAAAAATAAGGGCACACAGGCATATGAACCCCAGGTTTTTGATTGCTGCATTAGATGATTCGGTGCCCGCTCGCAATGGACTGTTACCCAACCAATAGCCTGGTGGTGGCACGCCATAGCTTAACGCCTATTTCGTTGCCAAGGTCTCCAACCAGTCCCACGTCCCGTCGATAAGACGTATTCCACACAGGGGTATATAATATCATATCTAAGATACATTTAAATATATTAGTCTGACTGCGCAGCAGTTCTAAAGAGCTAGGAATTTTCCTAAAGAGACTATATAAATCAGCGCTACGTCTTTATCTAACTCGAGAGGAAAAGTATTCCTTATATCCCTTACTATTACTATGCAAAATTAACATTTTTATCTGTATCTATAGTTTCAGTATTCCTCTCTATTAATAAGGTAGCCTAAGCGTATTATGTAAGGAGTTATATGAGGAGTTGTAGGAGGAGTCGTATAAGAAGTAGCGCAAGGAGTCGTTTACAGCCTGTAGCCTATTAAAAAGCCTATCTCCTCGTTAAAGCACGTCTTTTTGAAGCACGTCTCCTCGTTGATAGCCTGGCTCCTCATCAATAGCCTAGCTCCTCAATGATCACGTGCACGTCTGATTGCCTATTACTCTAGAGTCCTTAGTGATTCAGCACAACTATAAGCCTTCCACTCATTAGTCAATCACTAGGCATTGCCTACCTGGCGCTGGTTTACTGATGGCTTGTATTTCTACAGCGTCCACTCTTACGCAGTACCGTGGTTTGCATGCCACGCAAGCACGCCTTGAAGCATGGGACCTGATTTGGTACAACACGATCCCACACTCAGCGTACGTCTTTAATTGTCAAGGTGCAATAATTGTATCTAACGTTGGTAGACACGGCCAAAGCGATCAGCAACGCGAAAAGTCTGCTTCGCCAAAGCCACGCGAAGTCCAACAGGCACCGGCCCCGAAGCGGAAACGATCAGAAACACTGCATGGTGAAGAGACCAATTTGATTGACCTGACATCACCAGAGAAACCGAAGACCAGCACTAGGGAGGAAGTCATCGACTTAACATCCCCGAAGAAGCGCGCGAGAAAGGTCGATCCTGTCCAAACGACAAGGAACAAGGATATCAAGGGTCGATGTTCTCTCGTCTTATATGACGATGTCGCGTTCAGGGAAAAGCTTATTTACGACACCTTCGCACACCTCCGTCAGATGCGTCCTGACTTGCTCCCTTGGAAATGGTACGAGACCATCTGGACAACGAACAAGCCACACAAAGATGGCAGCCTATTTGGCGCATGCATGTTTGCCCAGGCCAAACCAGAGAAGGCATACGATGCCTCGAAGAAGGTGCTGGTCGAGGCGGACGTTTATTACCTTCATTGGTTCTGCAGCACTGGTTGCTCGGAGCGGCATCAAATCAAGATGCGGACGAGGCCGGCAACGCTCCTAGGGGCCGGTCCGATCGACCAAGCTACTGGACACAGTAATTGAAAGAAGAAATTGACACCACAGCGCTCTGCTCCAACTCCACTTGTCAAGATGTCAGGCACTCTCGTGCCCCGAGCCGAGATCAGACCCGAGCAACCGGACGTGCATCAGCGTTGAGGGAAGTGCTCTTAAGTGCAAGTGTGAAGTTGGGAACGAGAGTGGAGCGGTATGCTTGCCAGACCTGCGCATCGCTGTCGTGGACCGACTTCCACACATATATATAGAGACAGTACATACTCGCAGATCTATTATGCTACTACTCAGGCCCGATCGACACTCATATAAAGTTGCGATGTCCCATTGAGAGCGAGCGCGTTTGCTACTCCTGTATATCTTCAACGTTACTATAGCCCATGACAGTAACTCATCAAGTATCTGAATTTCTCCAGGGTGGCGTGAACGTGCGTCTGTAGAATCTTGATCCAGCAACAACGTCGAGAAAATAAAAATCAGTAAGCACCAGCCATCCCTCAGGGAGTTGTAAGTGCGCGGTGAAACTCGATGAGAGCCCGAAATTCACTGCGGCACCGACGTATTGTCCAGGGCACATTTTGGACGTAGCGGGGACGTAGGCCAGATATGTTCAAAAAGTACGTAAGCATGGTGACTGTATTCTCGAGCGTTGAGTAGCACTTAATATATTGACCTTCTCATAATTACAAGAGATGCTGTGCGTATAGTGCTCAGGGAGGTAAGCTACTGTGCGAAATCACATGTGGCGAACAGGTCGCCTCGGCAGATATCCTCTATACCATCTCGTCAGACCTGAACGTAAAGCCGATGAATTGTGCCATTTCGCATCTCTTTCCACATACATATGCACGGACTCTCTTCCCCAAATCCGCAACATCCGGGCGAAGCTGACCCGGAAACAGCGGCCTCATATCCGGAATACGAAGTGTGCACGAATAAGAACCACCTTAGAAATTGCCAGCACGATCTACTGACCCCGGATTACCGGCGAAGCAGCAAAAAATACAATCGATAGGTCCTTTTCCCGGCAATACCGCTTCGCCGGCGGTGATGGTTGGAGGTGAGCGGCGGGATGACTCGTGCACGGGTAGTTACATGCGCAGACGCCACGCGAAGTTTCTGTTGGTGCCGACCAAGCACAACGGCCGTGGCGGCCAGCCAACAGAGCGCCAATGTCGTAAACCAGTATTGATGTGACGTGTACTGTGATTGTTGGGGTTCTTGTGGTGATTGGCGCCGCGCGATATTTTGGGACCTGGTCTGGGCGACTAATTTCCCTGCGCTTGGGTCTCGAACGTGTTACCCCTGAGTGGATCCATGTCACACGAGCACAACGTTCGCTGGACGTCTGGGGAGGGTCGAAGACGCTGCCATGGTAATCGTCTGGTGTTATTACCAATTTCTCGTCTGAATCAAATTAGCAGCATCACGAAGAATCCAAAAGCGAGCAATGTAAAAGTGAAAACCATGTCAATTATGTTGTCGACTCCTTCTGTACAGCAAAGAATCTAGGAACATGAAATCTCCACAGACCACACACAATCCTCCGTGGGTACAGTAGCCCTTTCGACCAAGCGTATTATATAGTTGAATTTGTACAATCGAAATGCTGCTGCGACATATTGCGCAAGGAGGGGTAAATGCCTTCGAACTCCGATCCCAATGCGGTCGTGAGAAGCGAAGTCATAAACCCATGAGAACCCGTTCCTCCACCGGACCGCCATAAATCAGAAGGCATAGAGCGAGCTCTGCACCGTCAGATCATGTAGCGAACTGCTTACAAGAAAGCGGCGGCAGCGGCGACGATGGCCATGATTCCGGCACCAGTCTGAGCAGCAGCGCCGGTGAACTGGGAAGGAGGAGCGCTCTTGGTGGCAGAGCCGGAGGGAGCGGCAGTGCCAGCGGGAGCTGGGTGGGTGGGGGCGGTGCCGTTGCTGGATGGGTAAGGGACAGCGGGGGGAGCGACAACGGAAGGCTTGACGGGGTATCCAGCGGGAGCGGAGTGCTCAGGGGCCGGGGTGGGGTGGACAGGGACGGAAGTGGTGTACTCGCAGTCCTCGTCGACAATGACGGTGGAGGAGGTCACGACGTAGGTCTTGGTTCCGACGGAGATGGTGGTTGGCTCAGGGCACTCGGTGGTAAGACCGGTGACGACCTTGGTGGTGTACTCGACGGGAGCAGAGCTGGCGGGGTAAGCGGCAGCAGAGCTGATGACAGCGTACGCGTCGGTGGTGGAGGCAACGGGGTAGGCCACAGCGGAGGTGGTCTCGTTCTGAGCCGGGTAGCCGTAGGCGTAGGCGTTGGCAGAGGCAACAAGGCCAGCGATGACAGCGAAGGAGTGCATGTTGATTGTTGGGTTGATTATTAAATACGTTGGTATTAAGTATTGGAGGTCGTGAAAACGAGTGAATGCGGTGAAACCGGTGTATTAGTGAGTGTGTGGTGAGGAAAGAGAAGAGGGAGGATAGACAGAATGCTTTATATGATAGCTACACGAGATGCCTTAGCGAAGACGATGCCAGTGGACAGGGGCAGAGGCCATGGCAGCGTCCGTTCGTCACCCTGTCGAGTGCTTGACTGTCATGGCGCTTAGAATTGATGCGCTTTGTGATGGTACGGTAAAGGGGGAGAAGTGTCGATAGCGCCGTGGTGCACTGACGAGACCCACCGTCTGGACTGTTTATTGATGGATATCGAACGTGCCTATCAGAAATAGGCATGGCGCTTGGAGACAAAACGAGCCAGGCAATTTCCCCTGCTTAGGGGTCCTTGCAGCCTCAACAGTTCGTTTAGCAGACTAACCATGTCTGGCTCGAGCTACCGCTGGCGAAGTCCTGTGCATGACTTGTTCAAGCACGCGGCGTGCACAACACACGTTCGAGAGACTGCACCGTTGCCGACACAATGGCGAGGCGTAGTCGTGTAACCTTAATCGTCGCGCAACGTCATTGAAAACCGCCTTTCACATGTCGTTCAGGGCGCTGTCGCAGTTGACAGCTATGCTCAACTTGGCGGATGTTGGACTCTCTGGAAGAATCCCAAGTTGGGACGAGTATGCCGGGGTCACCCCTCACGTTGATTGCACGAGCCATACTTTCTGATTTCAAGCTCCGGACTGCGTGACATTTGACACTGTCACCCCGCAACAAGAGCAAAAATAGCCGTCCGTGCAAGTGCCCCTAATAGTAGCAGAGATCGAGATAATTATCGCCCTCCAAGGTCGGCCAACTGTGGATTTTGGTGTGGGGACTGGAGTGCGGGTTCCTGCATTGACGCAGCATCTAGGCCTGCGACTAGAAACCTAGCGAGCGGTGAAATGCCAGCAGCGCATCGATCTTCAGTGCAGCTTTGATGACATGCTCGTGTTTACACACCGCTATGCAAAGCCGGCTGAGCGGCTGGACGAGCTAAGAGCTGAGATGAGACAAGATAGGGCGGCTCCGCTTGCTGCCAGCTGAGTTTTCGCACTGGTCAAAAGCACCGTTGATTGGCCGACTCCTGTCGAATGCCTCGTACCAATTGCTGATAGCGATGCGATAGGAGTTGGGCAATCTCGCGTCGTGTGCCGCCTTTCAGGAGCACCTCAAGCTAGTGAGCGCCACAACAGCACCTAGGGAGTTGCGTGTTCCGCTTGTTTTTGCCATGGGAGCTATTGCGGAAGAATAGGTACAGTAGCTCGTCGTGTTTGTGAGATTTTTCCCGTGACTGAATCTGGTCATCACCGCAATTGGAACATAGTCCGAGCCGCGACGGCATGTCGGAGGTGTCGCATGAATTTACGGTTGTTTTTGTGAGGTTGTAACGAGCCTTACAGATTTTCGAAGTCGAGGCTCGCCGCCGGCCCGAAGTTTGGCCGAGCGAGCAGGAGCTGCCCATGCCCTGCCAACTCTTTCCGCAAGACAACATCCTGAACTCGTCAACAATAACACAACTCTGTTAAGTGGTGAAACACGCATAAGTCTCGTCAAAAGGAGTTTGTTTTTTCCCAAGTCGTTGGCAAAAGGAAGACATTTGCTTTTCGAAGAGGCAGTCCAGTCAGGTGACCACGTGCGAAGGTCGTTCTCCGCCTGAGTTCTGCAGCGCAGCATGCCTCCAACGAAAACTTCTGCACAGTTACCAAAAGGGTGGCCCTCGGGTACAGTGTATTTACACTCACCGGCTCTGTCAAAGAAGCTGGGTGTGGACAACATTAACAGACTGATCCTCAACAAGTCAGATCTACGAGCTGACACTCAAGTTTTCAAGACCAGCGGGCCTTACAGTAATGTGAGAATCACGCCGGTAACAGATGGTTCGCACCCCGCTCATGGTCAGCATGCTCTGTACACGACGCAGCACCTGGCGCCAGATACCTTCATCCTACCATACCTAGGATATGTGCATGATCAGACAGACCTGGACGAAGCTTCCGATTATGACCTCTCTCTCGATCGCGAGTTTGGCATAGGCGTGGACGCTTCAAAGATGGGCAACGAAGCAAGATTCATCAACGACTACCGCGGCGTCTCTACAGCACCGAATGCCGAATTTCGTGACATTTATGTCGAGGTCCCAGCCGGTAAGGTGGAGAAACGAGTCGGAGTCTTTGTGTTGAGCGCAGGTAAGAGTGGCAAGAGAGCCAAAGGCATCGGTCGTGGCCAGGAGATCTTGATATCCTACGGCAAGGGATTCTGGACAGAACGTCAGTCTGCGCAGCAATGATTGCCAATAGTCTTCGTGCCTTCACAACGAGCTCTATCAGAACGTCACTTTCCGCCGATGGATTTTCATTTGCCGCCTATGAATGGAGAGCTACGTCTTCCGAAAGACAAACCGAGCCATGCTGCAGTGCCACAATTACACAAGAAGTATGTCCAAATCATGAGGCGAACGGATGTGAAAGCTCGCACAGAAGGAAAGGCACATTTCCACCTTCAGTCATGTACACTTGATGCATGCGCTGCTGTCGTCACTCGGCGGATTCGGAATATGCTGCAATCGCGGTTCTAAGGGCCACCGACTTGCAACAGTTGGAGCTAACGTTTGTGCTCTCTGGCACGACCATCGGGGTTTTCTTGAGCATCGATGTTGACGCCATTGGACTGGTGGCACAGACGCGGATGCGGACCAGCATCGACTGCTTGGCCCATTCTCGTGTTCCCGGGTGGAAGGAACGCGACCAGGTGGTTCTCATTTCTTATCGGATCTGTGGTGCTGAATGTTCGATCATTCGTCCAAGAAGGTGTATACATGACATCACGTGCTATCGTAGGCCCTCTTTCTATTCCATCGTCTGTTCGCCCCACGCACCTCTCAACCATACAATTTCGCTCTTCAAATCAATACCTCTACCGTCAACCTCAATCCTTTTTCAACATGTCGAGTGGGAAAGCATACGATGAGCACAGTTCAGATGACGATAGCCACCTCCAACCTGCGAGGAATCGACAAAAGGAGAACGTTAAAACAAGGCTCCCAACAAAGGAAGGACACACATTCTGGAGCGGTGCATGGGAGAGGGCAAAGAAGGACTTCCCCAAATGCGCGAACCTCCCAATCATGACCACAAGAACACGCCATGTGATCAATGTGGAGCAAGACGTTGACTGAAAGCCGTTCATAGCGCCTAAGATTGCTATATCTTCGATACGTGCTCAGCTTCAAGTGCGCAGCGTTCAACGAGCACCAGGTCCGGACACGGTTGACCAAACTTCGATTCGTGACGGCAACTTTGGCACTGGCGCACTCTTGACAAAGAATAGGCTGAGCAGCCCAATTCCGTTCGCCTGCGCCTTTGCTTGTTTCCATGGAGAGGGGATCTTGGCATCTAGTGTACGAACGTCCGGTCGTGCGGATTTCCAAGGATGTGGGAAGGTCGTGTACAGGGCGCGCAGACGCCTGGCAGTGTACTCGTAGTAAGCAAGGTGGATTTTTGTTTCCAACTAAACTAGATATTTCGTTGACCCCAGAAATGAATGGTCGAAATCTTTGTCCTTGTGACAAACAAACAAATGAAAATGAGCGATTCAAAAATCAAGTAGACGGTTGGAGAGCCCCATTAGCCACCACTACAAACTCATGTGTGCCGCATGTTGACGCCTTCACGTTGTTCCTCCGAAAGATAAGCATTGCTCGTCGAAAACCGTCCAAAGACTTCAAGCCTTCTCCTTCATCAACTGTTGCTTTGCTCCTTGGCTTCTGGCCCGAAGATCCCCTCTTCGCGAAGAGCCGCAAAGGCGGCCTCGAGGATCTCGTGGCGTCTGTCGCAAATTACAAGGTAGTCCAGGTAAATCTGCCTTCGCGTCTGAGGGGTCGACGGAGTGTCGTCTTCATCTTCGTCCTTGGTTTTGCGGCTGATGGCGGTGGCAGCTTCTTTGACGAGACCAGCTACAGGTGTGTGTTTCAAGTACGTGTACCAGAGCGGGTCCCTGAAGACGTGGTTTGGGTCCTTGAGGCCGTCGCGCGCTCCGTTGGCGCGTATGCTGTTCAAGACAGAGAGTAAGGGACGGGTAAGAGAGGGAGCGCTGGAAGTTCAGGTGAGAGAAGCCAGCGCCTGCAACAGGCCGTAGTACGACTACTATAGGCCTCGGTTAGCTACGCTACTGCCCACCTCGGAGTGAATTAATTACAGAGGTGACGACCCAGGTAAGGTCTACGAGCCGTATACCGTAGTACTACCAAGATCACGTGTCCTCATCGTAGGAGGTTTCTGATTGGCTCGCGGGGCTGGTGGAGGAGCTGGCAATTGCTTGCAACCGAGTGGTTTAAGACATGGTGTGGAGGGGAATAATGAGGTGAGAAAAATAAGCTTGTGGTGACGATTTAGGTGCGTACAGCTGCTCTCATATTATCGTATTCAGAATGTGTGCACCCCCTCTCTAGCTTAACTATATAATAAGCAGGACACCTCTATATGCTCCTATTAGCAGATTTCCTTATAGATACTAATAAGAGCCAGATAGCTGTTAACAGATATTACTTTTAGACTAAACTATATAATTCTAACCTCTAAAAAGGCTGCCTGCTTATAATATTATTAGGTACATTATTATTTGTTACAGATAATCTTAGAACAGGTAAATTAGGAGAGGTGCGCATCTTCTAAATAGCACTAATATACCTAAGACGTTCACCTGAGCAATGAGCCTAACAGAAGCTTCTAGAGCCCCTAGGAGCGACGACGAGTTAGCTAGTCTTGATTTAGGTGCAAATCGCTAACAAAACTAGACTCATAGCTTAATGTTAATAGGTCGATGTTGATAGGTCGATGTTCATAGGATGTATTTCTGAAAACGAATGGCTCGGCACTATACAATGTCAGTAAACTACAGGTTATCGACTATGGCAGGAATCACACAGTAGCCTGAAGCTATGCACGTGTTTCCTCTACCAACCTCAAATCTCAATAGCGCTGTGTATAGCTCCGGAGAGTTGTCGCGATGAGTCCAAGCTTATAGTGGTGAGATGCGAGTTCCATCTTAGTCGTAGTCGCGAACGCGTGCATAGCAGCATCAGCCATTAGTTTCGCGTCCTTGCTGCAAGTGCACCCGCGGTCCCTTCCGGGACAGGAAGACAAAACAACTCAGGCCATAAAATACCACATCAGATATCATCGGCATGAGATCCATTAGGCGTATACAAGTAGTGCGATGTAAATAGCATGAATTATCGATGTATGACTAGATATGAAGTAGAAACGTGCTTCCCAGCCTGTGTTATATGCGACATCTCAGTGGTTACATAGGGAAAATTTAGTCCTAGTATCGAGATCAAACAATTTTAGCAGTTAATATGACTATACAGGCCTCATACAACTGTATTCGCAGGTTTGCGCTGGGCGCTACGGTAACTAGCAGGATAGGCTCATTCCTTGCCTTATCAGTGGGACATCAGCCATCACCCCTCGTTAGGGACAAACAATTCAGCAATCGTTCTAATGAAGGATTGGCAGGCAAAGCAAGACTTGGCCACGATTTCCTGAGCCTCTGGGTCGAGCATATCCTCCTTTGCCACTTCCAGATAGTTGATGACAGCATTGAGCGGTGTACGAAGTTCGTGTGACGTGTTGGACAATAACAGCTGTGTCAACTGGCTATCACGCTGGGTCGTATGGACGTTTGGTTTTGGTTCATTCGTCCCATTCCAGAGTTGGAAGAGCTGCTCAGACACAAGGCACAGCATCTTTGCAACTTCAATGTCCTCCTTGGACCACATGTCGCATGTATGAGTCACCGTCTCGGACCATGGCTCGAAACTGCTCCGCGGTTGCAATGGACCCGGTGTATCCTTATGGACAGACTCCTTGTGGGGATTGCCAGCCCACAAGACCTCCTGCGATCGAGCGTCCCGGAAGAAGATGACAAAATCGCTGCCCTCTTCGGAGAGCGGGACAACAAGTATCCCAACGATGCTGTAAAAGCCTGGAGGGTACCGGAACTGTGGAAAGTCGTGCGCTATATCGACAGACGCTGTTACTGAAGCTTTTTTGTGTATCTTGAAGTATTCCGAGATAGCGAGCGCCTCTTGAGGTCGTTCTACGTAACCAAATAGTTTAGTCCGCTTTGCGATCCAGAAAAGTCCAGAAGTGGCCTTGAACAGATCCAAGAGTATCCGTGATGGGGGGACTTCACATTTCTCCATCTCGAGCTCCATTGACCTTTTATTGATAACGCTCCAGGCATGCAGACGAGACTGTACGTGCAAGTTTTCAATGTTCCTTGACGCCTCTTCACCGATGAAGCGACACAGCTTGCGACTGGGGAACGATATTCGTGTTGCTCGAGGCTCGTACGAGTGGCAGATTATCAATCCCCACAAGTCAATAGCGCCGTTGATTGATATTGACATTGACGAACGCACAGCCATGTTTCTGAGATAGAGCAAGTGCATAGGCGACATGGCGCGAAAATGAGAGTAGGTGAGATCAAGGGGCGTTTCCAAATCTTTAGTATCCCGGCACACTATTTTGACTATTTGCATTTTGCGATCGTAGAGCACTTGCACTTTGTTCTTCCCGTATAGCTCCCTCGCTTGTTTCGGGATGTCGGATGCGGGGAATTTCAAGCCCTGAAAATGAGATTGACCAGTAGGAGGGGTGCCAAGCTCAGCAATAACGTGGCCATTGAACAAAGCGTCAAATTGGTAGACCATGACTCGGTCGAAGCTGGTCAAGTCTTTTACTATGCTAGCAAGCGCGTTGCACAGCACCGGGAGGTTTGTTGCTGCTGCCAACCGCTCTTGCGCCTGTGTCATGACGTCCAGCACATGCATACTAGACTCTTTGACTCTTCCCGCACTACTGTCAGACATATTCTTGCACTTGTCCGCCTCTTTCGGGGATTGGCAGGCAATGCCACCATGGTCTGGCAGATCGTCGTGCGTGGGCCTTTGCGAAGGAACAAGAGGGTAGAGGTCATCGCCTTCGACTTCGAATTCGCATATAATGAGATCTGGATTGGCATGACTTTTGTGCATGGCGCACCACAAGCGTCTTGAACATCCTTGAGCAACGTCGATATCGAGTGAAAACACCTCGGGCCCGTTGGCCTCAAGCTCCACATTGTCATTCTCATTCTTAATAAGATCAACATGATCAACGATGATATCTGCTTGGTCGCCGGAAAACAGGTTCGTAAAGCTCGTTAATGCAAATAGTTGCTGCGGAGATTTCGCGATGATTTCTCTCGAGTTCTCGCTAACCATACGGACTGGAAGAGCCCCAGCGTCTTTGTTGTGCTCCAGCGCAACTAACAGACCAAAGCTTTGAATTGCACCAGGGATGTGGATTGGTTCATCCTCGCAACGATGCGACATAATATTTACTATGCCATGTGGAATATGCGTAGCATGGTTGTCACTTCGGGGTGCTTTCGATTCGTCCTCTGGTAGTTTTATCGTCACACCATCGTCTGCTGCACCAAAACTCTCTTCATGTAACCACCGCAAGATATATTCTGTCGGCCCATTGACTGGCTCGTCTGGCCCAGGTAAATGTGATGTTACGATGGGGACATGAGATGATGGAGGGCGCTCTTCAGTCATGCTTGGAACACCAGTCTCATTGATTGTCCTCGATTCATGGAAGACTAGGCTGCGGATTGGGAAAACGTGGTCGGTCGCTGTTGGGCTCATTGAAGATCTCTCAGGAGTAGCAATAGCAGATCCAAGATGTGGAGGACATGGGGAGTGCGACTCCATCGTCGACTTATCCTGGATTGCGAGGGTGATTACCGCGGGTGATTGATTCCATGGAGGTATTTGATCGTCAAACGGCCAAAAGTCGTTAGTAAATCAAGGGCAATATCGTAGTGGCGTTGAACGCAGCCATGGGCATGGTCGGAAAATGCCGCAGTGCAAAAGGACTTTCTTGGGATTTGTGCAGAAAGTTGCGTTCTACAAACATTTGATTCATTCTAAGGTCTGAGCATGATATCATCCAGCCACGATCCTCACCTTCTCGCTAAATCAGGTTAGTAGCCAAATGCTGTACGATCTAGCGCAGGTTCGCTGCTTCAGAACTTGAACCATCAAACACACTTTCAAAAAAGATCTCGTCGGCTTTCAAGAAATCCACAGAGTTACGTAGACGTGTCTCGTCTCTTTCTTTCCAATCGTAGCTTCCCAGTCTATTTCGCCTAGCGCATTGCCAAAATAGCTGTAACAATCTGAACACTCAGATGGTCAACCTACATCCGCAAGCATTGCAAAGCGTTTCTGGTCTATCGGACCGTTGTCCATATTCGGGCGACACAGTTTGCTGCAATGCGCACATATCGATGATCCTTTGCCGCCTGCGCCTTGCTATCTACTGAGTGCAGACTTTAAACTTCAATGCCGAACATCATCCCTGTCTAGATAACCGAGATCTGCCAACTGGCCAAACCCCGATCCAAGGGCAATATCGTTGCTGTTTCCGGCATTCTCCTGAGACGGGCCTGGCTGAGTTGGTGTCGCTTTCGATACATCAGAGATTATGTGTCTCGGCGCCTTTCCCCGTGTGTTCACTTCTCATTTTGCACCCGTCCATTCTCAGGCCTGTGTTCCAGGAATGAATCAAATTGTGGTTTGCTGTTGATGAATTTCTGATCACCACGCTCGGAAGTCGTGCTGATCATGACAATAAGAACAATTCCAAGGTTTGTGGCGAAAGGTAGGCCCAAGCGCGTGCACAGCCACATTTGAGATGCGTCAACGGTGAGTCACATCGAGATATTCGTTCTCGTATCGACTTGCTACCTAAGGGACGATTGATCCGTCTTGTGCTATATCTGAACATCCTACCAGCCTGGACCATTTCGACTAAATTAATCACAGTGTAGTCGAGCGATGGAATTTGCGCAACTTTGACAATAAGCATGAGCACCTTCCATCCCTTTCCCCGCCTACCAACCGAACTCCGCCTTCAAATATGGGAAATGACGGTCGAGCCGCGTACTGTGGAAATCTGCATACGCTTCACTGATTTCCCATCAACGCCTCTTGCTGATGGGAAGCAAAAGCGGCCTCCGCGCCAGATGTCCACTGTTCAGTCTCCGACGCCTGTGCCAGGCCCGCTTCAGGCGTGCCGCGAAGCACGATATCACGGATTGTACCAACAAGCTTTATCTGATCTTGTTATTGATGAACACGTTCCAAACCCCGAGCGGCCATATATCTGGCTGAATCCTGCGATTGACATCGTCTCCGTCGAAAATTCATACGCTGCGTTTTTCAAGTCTGTCGCGCACGATCCCACGTCTCAAGTTCGCAAAGCACTCGCGCAAAGGAGATAGACAACCACGGACGGGTCAGGAATTCGAGCATTTGCCATGTTTCGTTAAATTGAAAGATGTTTATGTGGATATTGGGGATCATGAATTTGAGTACTGGTAGGTGCATCGAATATGTATTGGTGGTGTTGTGGGGCAGAGAATGCGTGGTTGATTAAGGGAAAGAATAGAGAGATGAGGAAGCTTGAAGACTTGGAGACGAGTATGGTAGGACGACGGCAAGGAGCTGGAGAAGGCAGAAGGGCGCTTTATTCCGGTGAAGGCTGGCGTACTGCTATGGCCGGAAGGTATGCGAACGGCACAGGGTCGGTAATGCACTTTTGTGTATATGGGGGATGTCATCATTGCAATGATAAATATTGATCTAACATAAATTGTGCATACCATTTAGTGAATCCCAATAATTCGAATTATCATTGCATCCCTCTTGCTGCCTTCAGGGCTGTGGTTCCAATTGAACCATAGGAAAGAATGTCAATAACCAAAATAAGGAATCCTTTGTCCGAAAGCAATTCCCGGACTTCACGAAATACTTCCGAATTAGCAATCATAACTTTTCGTTATCGTCGTGCGTTCCTGGAACGAAATCAGTCATCAGTCTAGTCTGGCATATTGCCAGCGACGTATCTGTCATTTGAAGAGGACACTGAAATATTCCTACCACGCTCTCATCCATTTTTTTTTCTTGATCCAGTCCTAGCAGCAGACCTCCGATGCCATTAGAAGGACTTGTCGAACACATACAGTCCGATGTTTTGCTGTGCCAGGAATCGCTCTGCTTTGTCACGAAGCTCTCGACTGTTGGCTTCGTTATGCTCGTGGTCGCCGAGAGACGCCTCGTTACGAGTCGTGTTAACGGTGGCTGAAGATGGCTCTTTCAATTCATCAGGCTCGGTATCGGAATTAGAAGTGCTATAAGGTCCATCGATGTTACTATCGGTATCTACATTCATGCTCTCGACGTCATTCTCAGCTGCGTCGCAGGAATTGTCGTCCATGGCCTCAACTTCCATGGCTTCGACCTCCGACGTTTCAATCTCGATGGCTTCATCGTTTGCAGCTTCGAAGCCAACTCCTTGAAAGACATCCTGACTCGTTGGCGTGTCAGAGCCGTCGTTGGAGTCGTCGGCGTAAGTCGATTCTACTAGTATAGAATTGTTGATCATGTCAGATACACGCTCCTCCAGTTCAGCATTGGTCAGGAGCTCGAAGCCACCAATGGAGTACCAAACGCTAATGGCGATGCCGTGGAAGTTGTGCGGTCTGACATAGCTTCCGAACCGTTTCGTGATCGTGGAGTAGTCGATGTCATTCATGGCAACGTTACCATCATCGAGTTCGAGTGATGGATTGCTGTGAAGGTACATCTCGGGTTCGTTAGACCATCCATCGTCGAGAAACGTCGCCCAGATCAAGTTCTTATTGTGGGTCAAGGCGCACAACATCTTGCGGCCTTGGAATTCGAGCTGAGCTCTGCCGTTGATCTGTTCGGTGTCAGCCTGCAGCGAAAATGTGATTTTTGGAATGGCATCCTTGCCACATAGTTCAGCATAGCTTGGAAGGTATGCTTGAAGCTTGATCTCGAGAAGGGAGTGGGAAATAGAAGACAGGGAGCAATGAGCGGGAGGGACATGGGAATATCACGACATATTAAAAAATGTAAGAAATCGGCGAAATTCTTAGAATCAGAGCGGAGACGTCCGTTGATGAAAGGCGCAACAAAGAACAAATCTAGAATGCGGCGACTGTTGAAGTAGCCAAATTTGTAAATATAGACTACCATCAAAAGGATTATGCCAAGTATGTACATCATTGGCTGCGTTAGTTGAAGAACATGCGATCTAAGGCATCAGAAGCGTAGCAAAAGTTATCAAGCACGCCATCTATCAACAAGAGGTGTAGAGAGTGTCTTGGGCGCTTTATGCCAATGATACGACAATCGCACATCAAGTACACGCAAGCTATCCGACAGTGAACAAGCTCTTAGTTGGGGAATTTCCCAATGCTGTGAGACTGGAAGTCAAGTAAGTACACCTTACCAAGGTTTACTGGCACAAATGGCAGTTTCAAACGAGACAAGCTTACTGTAAGCGAAGCCGCTCTTTGGCTAAGAAGTTCTTAAACGAAAGCTTCTCTATACTAAGCAAAGACGTCCTAGAAAGGCCGTCTCTCATCAGCGACCATAGTTTGTAGCAAGTAAGGCGATAGTGAGCAAGATATCCTTGAGAATTTGATGCAGTCTATACTACCCAAAGTAGCTTGAATTGAGCCTTAATCGACAGAAAGGAGCCCTCCGCTCTATCTCCACCCTCAAAATGCGAGCGAGGTGCTAGGTACGTCGATACCCAAGGTCGCCCACCTTGGGCTCTGCGCGCATAGCCGCGAAAGCTGCTTCTATCAGCACGTGGCGCCGGCGACAAATCTCTAAGAAATCCAGATATATGGCACGGCGCGTCTCGGGGGTTGAAGGGACATCATCACTCCCGTCTCCGCCACCACCATGTCCCATCATTTCCATCCCCATTCCATCCATCGACAACCATCTCCGTCTCCGCCTTCATCAACTTCACCCCTCCACCGCGCCTCTCCAAACTCCCCCTTCCAAAGCCCATACGCATGCGTACGCCACTGCTAGTCTTTGACGCCGTTGATATTGAGCTCCTCAACGAAGGTCTTGAAGTCGATGTTCCTGTTCGTCAAGCGCGACCCAGTCCCTCCGCGCTGCTGTACAAATACCCGCGCTCGGTGTACTCGGGGTTGTCGCGCGTGTCTTGGCCGGTGTGCACGCGGAAATACGCGATCCAGACGTCGTTGCCAGCGTTGGTGTAGGCGATGCGCATGCGCTTGTTGGTGAAGGCGAGGGGTTGGCGCATCTAGGAAAGATCAATACCGGAGTGGGTAGCTGAGGAATGAATGATGCAGTACGAGTGCTTGCAGATATGATGAACACGAGACGGAGGCGAGAGCAAGGGAGCAAGGGAAAAAGACAAGTACTCGGTGCAACGAGGTACTCGGCGATGAAGAGATCTAGACCCAGCATTTCGTCGGCATCTCGCCCAGCAAGATGCTCTCCTACTTCACGCCCACCCAAACGCCAATCTCCGCTATGCGCCAAAAACAAAGTCCCTCCTCTCTAAATCGACTCTCCCGTCTCCGCCCTCGCTCTCGCCCCATCCCCCCAGCCCCTCCCCTCCGTCGGCGTCATCGCCCTCCTCCTCTCCACGGGACTCCACTCCATCCCCCCACCACCACCACCACCACTTCCACCTTCATCATCCCCCGTGACAATCCTGACCCCGGCCCGGCCCCTCCTCTCCCTCTCCGCCCTCTCCCGCTTAACCTCGGCCTTGCTCTTCTCGCTCTCGATGATCAAGCTCTTGAAATAACTCTCCGCGGCCACCGTCGCGCTGTAATGCAGCGGCGTCCAGCTATATACATTGCACGCGAGCGGATTCGCGCCGTATTGCAGGAGCATTCGGAGGGCTTTGAGTTCGCCGGCGGCGGAGGCGTGGTGCAGGGCTGTGTTGCCGTTGTTGTCGGAGGCGGAGAGCGTGGAGGGGCCGTGCAGGATGAGCGTGGGGATGAGGTGCAGGGTGCCGAAGCCGGATTTACATGAGAGCATGAGCTGTGATGTATACATTAGTTTGGATGGAAAGGGGGGGGGAAGTGGGAGACATACAGCGTCAAGCCCGTGTTTATCCGCCCACGGAATGCATTCTGGGAAGCGCTTTGCGAGAGTCACGCCGGTTTCTTCTTTTCCCGCGGCGGCGGCGAGCATTAGCGGGGTTTCGAGGTCGTTGTTGCGGGAGATGAGGTCGGATTCGTGACCGAGGTCGATGAGGAATTCCTGGTCGACATCAGCTTGTACTCCTTAATTTCATATCATGCTCGTACGGCAATTTGCGTGAAGCCATGTCGAGCAGCCAGATGCAGGCTTGTGTTGCTTTTGTCTTCGAAATCCGGGTTGCGCAGTATTTGCGGGTTGTTCTGGATGATGCGTTTTACGAGAGGGAGATCATTTAGGAGGATGGCGCGGCGCAGACGCCGGGATACGTCAATCCTGGAAGGAGTTAGCTATGAGAAGGCACCAAGTTATGAACTCGACATAAACATACATTGTGGTATGGGAGTAGCATGATTAGTACCCTTGCCGAGTTTGAGAATGTTGATCTGTTGACGCGGTTGCGGGGAGCAATCATGAGCGAGGGGAGCTGCGGCGGCTAGTCCACGGATATTGCTACTTTGGGCTAAACTCCACATGATGACGTTTGTGGGGTCCAAGTTGCGAGGTTTACATTCACTTCTGTGCAGCAACCAAGATTGATAATTAGGCTCATGCTGTTATTCATAGATGCTGCTCCTACTCATTACCAGGCCACTCTATGAATGCCCGTCTGAAGCAGCTATCGTACAAGTCGAAGAGAAACAGCTTCTAGTCACCCCAAGCAATCTACAAGCCCTCAAAGTCGCCGCCTGCATCGTCGTCGTCAATGTCACCCTCCTGAATCTCCTTGGCCAATTCGCGCTCACGTTCCCGGGCCTCCTGCGCGTTCTTGAGCTCCAGACGGTGCTGGTTCATGGGGTAGCGCATGGCCCTGACGCACTCGTCGTGCAGGGTCAGGCACGCTCGGATGCGCTCGTGGAATGCCTCGCCAGGCTCGCGGGTCGCGTAGATATCTCCCGCCACCTTTGTCTGCATGAAGCCCTTCTCGTGGTCGATTGATGCCTCTATTACACCGTCGCGGATTGCCTTGGCCACGATGTACTCGGCCGACTCTTCGCTCTCGAGTCCAAGACGGATGCAGATGTCGCGGAGCGAGATGCGCGAGTACGACAGGGACAGCATGCGGATGCCGGTTTTGATGACGTTTTGTCGCAGGCGCAGAATCAGCGTGTATGTGCCGTCCTGCTGGAAGGTCGTGGAGTGCATCTGGACAACCTTCAAGAATCCCTGCAGGTCTCCAACGCGGACAGCTCGGACTAGGCGGAAGTAGGGTTCAAGGGCGCGCTCGAGGCGGGGCTGGCTGAAAACGTCGCGTTCGGGAATGTCACCCATGAGCAGCTCGACAACAATCAGCAGCTTCATCGAGGCCTGGTAGAAGCCAGTGGCGACGTGTGCGGAGGGCGACTTGCGGGTAGCGCTGACGAGGTGCTCGTGTGCTTCGGTGTAGGACAGCTGGATCGCGCGTATCCTTCCAAGATAGAACAGGTACCTCGCGACCTGATTGTTGGGGGCGTTTGGCGGGAACTGTGTTTGCGCGACAAGGAGATCGGCTTGCGTGATGTCGGCGGTCGAGATGTAATTGCGGAGCAGCAGCGTGGTGACAGATGCCTGCGTATCCGAGTCTTTCCTCAGCACCGCACTTCGTAGAGCCGCAAGCAGCTTCCCGCGAATGTTGATAACGGCCGACTGCTTGGACGGCGGCTTGGGGTCCATCTCCTCATGGAAGAGAGAGAAGTAGAAGTATGCCTTTGCAGCGAGCGAGTCCAGCGTCCGCCTGTTCAGCTCCCGAATCTTGTCCACCAGCTTCTCCGAGAATTCGGCGCCCTCCTCAAAGTCCTTTTGGTCATAGAGATACACCTGCAATGATTAGCACGAATCACAGCCATCTGCTGACAAACATACCTGGATGAGGATGGCTATGTATACGTCAACCTCTGGCAGCGGCTCCTTGGTGCTGTTCTTGTTAAGTTGCACCTCTTCCTTGTACTGTGACACGACGCTCTGAATCGCCTCGCCGTCCATGCCAATGAACTCGATAAACGTCCGTGCCGTGGCGTTGTTGGGCGAGTATGTGAGAATGATGACGGAACAAAGTACGCGGTCGGTGAGCCTTTTGCGGAGAGATGATATTGAGCGGAGGGCGCGCAGAGTGAAGCGTGTATCGAACTGCGCCACAGCACGCTCGAGCAGGACGAAGCTGCCCCGGATGTCTACCGTCGTTGGGTCAGCCCGCTGATACAGATACTTGCAGCACGCCAGGTCCGTTGCGATCATGTGACTCGGACACATCTTGCGAACCGGCCATGAAGTCGTGCAGTCGGCGCAGGGACATCTCGAGGTAAACGGCATGATGCGTGGTGGAGGTGAATGACTTACCCTCAATCGCCTTCTCTTCGGTCTTGGGCTCGTCGACGGTCGCGACTACTCCTTCCATACTGTCCGCCATGGTGTTTGACTTTATGACGGTGACAATAAGAAAGGAAGGTACGTGGTGATAGTGGTGAGCGGCGGCGGGCGGTTGTTGGTTGATGTGGTGAGGCGGGAGCTCCAGGTACAGCTGCTACGAACGTCGGCGGAGGAAAGTATCGCCGAGCCGCCGTGTTTACCCCCGCGTCATATCACCGGCGAGACGACACAACACCATACACCGCGATAAATGTCTGCCATGTCGCTGCTGGATGCTCACCTGGAGCAGATCTCATTCTGCGCGGCATCAATCGCTGAATTGAAGTGGGTATATCATATTATCAGAAGTATCACGACTGACAGAACATAGCTTCGCTCCACCGAAGATATTCACAAACGCGCTGCTTCAAAACCATGATATCACAAGCCTAATTCGAGATACCGAGCCGCATGAACGCGCTCTTTTCTCGGTCCCTCCACCGCCAGCTGCGCCCAAGCATACCGACCCCTCAGCATCCGCCAACAGAAGAAACACCATCTTCAACGCCAATGGAGCCGGCGCAAGCATTTCTGGAGGCGGGGCGAATGCCGTTCGCGCACCCAGGCGAAACACGGCAGTCGCAGCCGTTCTCGGCAACAATCTCGTCGAGAGGATACGAAGAGGTGGAGGTGGAGGAGCAGGCTCAGGTCTCGGCTACCGAAAATACGACGGCAACAACAAGAACGAGGTGGATGTCGAGTCACTTCTAGAAGGCGCCGAGAAGCTACTGGGAGTATAGTACGTCTCGAAACTCGACCGCTTTTTTCAAACTAACATGACCCAGCCCCATCCCAGGCGCGCAAGAAAAGATCGCAGCCATGCGCCAGCGACACGCACAAGTCACTGCCTCGATAGACTACTACGAAGAACGCCTTGAACAGCAAACCAGTGAATTCAGTAGATTGAACCGCAATCGCGACTTTTTGGACGAGATTGAGGATGCAGAGGAGGAGCCGCCTGAAGCACCGCCACTCAGCGAGGAAAATCTTAGGAGGGAGGAAGAGGAAATGAAACAGCTCGAGAGGAAGAAGAGGGAGCTTGAAGATCGCGTACATTCTATGTCGAGAGACATATCGGGTTTGCGGTAGTCAGCCATGGCTAAGAAATTCGATGCAATATCCCAAGCTTCCAAGCTACACAACCTGCCCCGTTCAGGGAAAAGATCACAATACGAACGGCAGATCGCTTCCTGCTTGGCTTCAATAGTCGCATCTGCTGACAGGTCCAAGGATGACTAACTGCTGACTGCAGGTGGGGCCAGAATATATATGAGTGTGTAGTCGAGCAACTCCAATCTATGCTCGTGTCAAAATGGTAGACTTTGACCTCTCTCCCGAGCAGAAACAGCTTCGTGCAAATGCTAAGGCCTTTGCTCAGACCGTCCTCTCAACAGCTCCCAAGTTATACTCTGCGCTCCCCACTCAAAACGAGCGCTTCAGGTCCACCCTACCAATCTACCAAGACGCTGTCAGGTCCGGCTTGATCAAAGGTCAAATCCCCATTTCCCTTGGCGGCACGTCGAACGGCCTTCTCGATGCCGCAATCGTTGTTGAGGAATTCCATGCCGTGGAGCCCAGCACAGCAATCACTATTCTAGGTACTGGACTAGGACTCACCCCATTGATACTTGCTGGAAGCAAAGCACAGCACGAGAAATTCCTCTCGCCTTTCTTGAAGCAAGAGGGTGAGATGCTGGCAAGCTTCATGCACAGCGAACCTGGCGGTACAGCGAACTGGCTAGAGAAAGGAGCACCAGGCTTACAAACAACCGCATATAGAGAGGGCGATGAGTGGATCGTCAATGGGGAGAAAGTAGACAAAACCTCATCGTCTACGCCCACAAACCTCCACTGACCGATTCCCAGCTCTGGACAACAAACTCCGGCGGCTGGGACTCGCACGGCGCAGACCTAGCATGTCTCGTATGCCGGGAGGTCCCCACGACCCCGTCTCCCCAAGACCCAGATATCGATCCTTCTTCAAAGATCCTCATCCTCCTCCTCACCCGCGCCGACATCGCCACCAACCCCCCATCCGCATACACCATCCTCTCCACCCCCGCCCTATCCGGCCACAAATCCACAAACGGCCCCCACACATCCTTCACCTCCTTCCGCCTGCCGCACGCCAACCTCCTCGCCCCGCCCGGCGCAGGCGCACACGTCGTCGAGCGCACATTCGGCACCAGCGCCGCGCTCGTCGGCGCCATGAGCGTCGGCGTCATGCGGCACGCGTTCACACTCGCACTGGCGTTTTGCACGCGCGAGACGAGAGGTGGGAACTCGCCGATTATCTCGCGTCAGGCTGTGTCCGACCGCTTGGTGGACGCCAAGTGCAGCATCGACGCAGCGCGCGCACTGGTCTGGAAAGCCATGGGTGCGCTGGAAAGTCCAGACGATCGGATATCCTGGGACAGCAGACTGGAACTCGCGTGCGAGGCCAAGGTGTGGTGTAGCGAACAGGCCGTGGGCGCGGTGCAGACGTGCATGAGTGTTGTGGGCATCAGTAGTTATGCGGAGGACATGGGGCTTGGCGCGATTCTGGCGGATGCGGCGTGTTTGCCGCTGTTTGATGGGGGGAATGTTGGGGTTAGGAGGAGGCAGATCGAGGAGATTATGAGGAGGGAGGGGTATGAGCCTTGGAAAGCGACGTTTGGGTAGGTTGAGAGGTTAATGAGTGGATTTACAGGCGATGGGATGGCTTGGAGGTGGGATTGGTGTCCATAGGAATGCTTTGTGTGCATTGCAATCATGGCTTTGATCGGACCTTTAATATTAGTCTCAAACTTCCCAGAGGTCTTTTCGAGCCGAGATGTAATTCAGTATGCCGTTCTGGTACGTTGTAGGAATACTACAATACGCATACTATGTAGTACTGGGGCACACTTCGCAATGATACAAACTCGACTTTGCTTGAGCTTCTATAGCACGTCGCTTTCACACGATATCAACGCATTACATTCTCGCACCTCCAAAGATTTGGAGCAAGCATAATTTGTAATTTTAATTTGCTAGTATCACATCATACGCAACTTCGCTTGTCGCACGACTATTCTATTGACTAAGCATCACACCAATATATGGATGCAACCATGTCCGCCGTGCCGCATTTGTGCCGGTGGCGCAGCGGCGGAACTCGGGAAATAGTCTGGAAATAGAATCTACATTTTGAGAGTGTTTGGAGGTGTTGCGGTGGAATGAGTGCGGCGTAGATTTACGGCGTGGTTCAAGACAAAGTTTTCAAATTGTCTAGTACAAACCCGGGGGTTATTGCAGTAGGGGGATTGTCGCGTCGGCCTGCAAGTTGCTTGACCATACATCTCGTCAAGAGTTATCTACGTGGTGAATAGTGACTGCGTATGGTCTAAAGTATGACGGCGTACATGGCATGCTCTGAGATAAGCTGCTTACCCGGTAGAGAGTAGCGAGAAGCTTACCCACATGGTCGGGGGATGAAGAGGCGTTGGTGTCAACTGCAACTGCAGCCAGACATTCATCCAACCCCGGAGTCTCACTGACATGCAATATCATACCATGGCTTTAGACGATGCGATGTGACGCATCTTCTAGAAACACTCACGCCTTCCACACTCTATCCGCAATATCGAAGCGCTTAGCTTGGCACAGTAGCACGGTAGCGAAGCAAGGCAATTAATCTCCAACCCGTGCGCAAACCTGGGTGTCGGTCGGCATTAGCCTGGGACGTCTCCCGCACGGTAGGATAAATGCGATGCTGACCTAAGGGTAGGTTCAGGATCACCAGGCCCCGGCAAAATTCCTGTCCGCCTTCACCGAACGAGAAGAGTGGAGAGTGAAGAGGCAGCCTGGAATATGCTCAAAACCTTTTGCAAAACCAGACGAGATATCTTACAGCAGTAAATATATTCAGGTTTCTTTATAAACTTATTAGTGCGCTCCTAGAGACTATTAGATCACTTCGCGCGTGTGTAGAGCGGACACGAATTTTGCTCCTGCCTGGTGGGATAATGACTGGGGATTCAACGTCGGATTTGAAGTCCGGTTTATTGGCATCGGTCGATGTTCTCCAGCGGCCTTGAGGTGAGGGGATTTCCCGGGCGCTACTGCAAACCAGCGCCGCTTGGCCTAGCCTAGTCGCTTCTTCGGTGTTTTTGAACGGGAGATAAAAACCTCTCAAGAGTCAAGGCACGGATGAGAATGTTGGTAGAGTTCTCGCACTCGCTTACTCATTTGTTTGGAGCAAGGAACATGTCCAGCTCCGGATCCGGAGGCGGGGTTGCGATTAGAGTCGCGCCGTGGCTGGTTCTGGAGCAGGTGTAGCGGCGACTCCGGGGTCAGCAGCGGGCCAGGAATTATGCTTAACTTGCTCGCAACCTTATCGGCACCTTACTGGTGTAAGCGAGCTGGCTCTGAGCACGCGGCACTTCGTATTGTCTTCACAGCTGCAGTGTCTGTGCTTTGAAGGAAACATTTTGTGCGATGGATGTGATCGCATTTCGACATCAATGTGGCAGTTGACATGTCGTGTTATGCTGGGGACGGCGTGGAGACCCCAACTGCAGTGCTGACTTGAGGTGAATATGACTGCCTGGAAGCTCGTCGCTGACGCGGCCTTCCATCCCACCGAGTCTCCCGTATTATTGCGCTATCCGAGTAACCGTTGATGTTCGTCTTGGCCTGCCCGCGAAACAGCTTCCGTGTTTAGCTTGGCGACTTGCGCCAATAAAGTAAACTGGGTCTTTGTCTCCCGCGAAGCAGCCTGAGACGCCAGGCTTTTGCGACGCCTCGGATTCTGGCGTTGGAGTGGCGCCACTGCCATGCTGTCTTGGGCATTTTCTAACGACGCATCGCACGTTGAGGGGATGACTAGCTGAAGGTATCCAGCCAATACTGTCGCACGAGGGGACTACAACATCAGGCGACGCATCGCACGTTGAGGGGATGACTGGCTGAAGGTAACCAGGCAGCATGGAACGCTGCAGCAAAGGCTCACCAGACAAACGGCTTGGAAACAAGAACGACAAGACTCCTGAGCAAAGGTACTTCCGCAAATGGCACTGCGTCGGCCCTGTCATACCGTCAGCGTGGGTAAATCGGATCTCGTGGTACGGAGTAAGCTTAAACCAAAGACACCAAGCTTGATCTATCATTACGCCGAGCCCCTAAGCGAATGGCTGAGAAATAACAAGTGGACGATTACGTTAGTGTGGAGTCGAGCGGACGCCTTTCCAAGGAATGTAGGACCGACGTGCTTGGACAACGGTAAAACATGTTCCACGTACACCACAACGTTCCCGACGGGTGTTGCTTCGTGCGAGTGGGCACGGCGAGGCAGTGCGGCGTCACAGGATGTTGGGGGCTATCTTCTGCATGTGTGGGATTTTTTTGCAAAAGTCAATCTTAGACGCTTCCAACAACGTCAGCCGTACCACCGAGCTGATTTTGTCCGTGTCCCAAGGACGCCGAGAGGCACCTTCGGAACACAACCATGGGGGGGCCAAGCAATGCCAGGACATGCCACAATTCTGCTAAAGCCGCACCAGCACGAGATGTTTGCGCGGTCACAGATTGCTGGGACGCCTTGGCATGGCTTGGTGAATGATCCTCGCGGCACGCAGCGTTTGCTCGGCCAAAGAGGGAAGGTGGCCAAGGATCACAAGACGGATTGACGGACTCAGAGGCGTACGCCGTGGAGCCTTGGAAGGTGTCAGGACTAGGGCCGGAGTGGAGCTAGCAAGCGGCTGGAAGGCTTGTCATTGATAGGAATCTTGGATTTTGGGTTTAGGTTGATTAGTGCCAATTTAAGGTAGAAAGCTTGGGACTGAGGGCGCGGCGGACTCGGCGCCAGTGCACATGGGCTGACTGCGGACGAAGTGCTGGATTGGAGTGCTTGAGATGCTGTGAATACTGTGAGATGGGAAAGCTGCGAGCATGCAGGATCGAGGCGATGCACGCAGGACGTAAATACTCTGGGGTTGCACAGCCAGGACGGCGCCCGGCGGGCAACCAACGGCGTCCAAATAAAGCTTCGGCTGCTTGTGGGACTGGTGGCATCTCGCTATCAAACGCCACTCCAGGTCTGGGCGGCGATCAAGACCCCAGCGCCGAGAAGACCCAAAGACATTCCAGGATGCCAGGCTCCGCTCACGCTGCAGGTCAGAGTACATGAAGACGGCCCATCGCTGATGGCTTTTGCTCACTTTTGCCCTCCCACCGATCTCCGCCAGCATTCAACCTGCAACAACCTACATTGTTCTACCGACGAAGCAGTATCGAAAGTTTGTTGTCGCCGATCGTCGCAACTGAATCAGCCTTCAAGGTATGTGTGTGGTTTTCTCTGCTGTGGTCCCTTGACCATTCCCGTAGTGTGTTAGACACAAGTCACGTCCCCACAGGGCATCATCGCACCTTCTTTGGGGTCGTGCCTTCCGCTACAGCCGTCCGCGCTTTCCTGCCAAGTCGCAACAGCCCACTAATGCAATAAGCAGTCACTCATGAAGGAGTGATCTCCCTCAACCCTCACCTCCTCATTCACACATCACCTCGACGCAATGGAGACCTACCACGGCCACGTCCGCACGCCCAACGATGCCATCATTCTGTTCGAGGCGTGCCGCATTGGGATATTACCGCGGGTGCAGCGCCGCCTCTCAGAGAAGGAGCGCCAACAAATCAAGTCCGGCTCAGTGTTTGTCTGGGATGAGCGGGAAGCTGGCATGAGGCGCTGGACTGACGGAAAGTCGTGGAGCGCCAGCCGAGTGTCCGGCAGCTTCCTCACGTATCGCGAGATGGAGGGCAAGCGAGGAGGCAGCGCACTACCAACACCACCCGTGGTCAAGCGCGCGAGTGGAAAGTCGCCCGATGGCTCAGCAAATGGCGACTCCGAGGGCGAGGGCCCTGATGGCTACCGCTACAAGCCAGACGGCCTCATGAAGCAGTCCTTCAGCATCACCACATCCAGCGGCCAGCACCTCCACCTGATCAGCTACTACTCGCGCTCAAATCCGAACAACCTCCCACAACCAACCAACGACGCGCAATTACGACACATCCGCCCGCCAAAGAACATGTACCCCGAATCTACAGTCAACGAGACGCAGACGGTCCCCGCCGTTACTCGTGGTCCCATGCCGGGTTCGCCCTACAGCGCTGCTCCCCACAGCATGGGGCCGACCTCACCGTATGCGCGACCAGGACCTGTTGCACCAATGTATGCAGTCCCAGTATATCCCCCGACACCACCAAATGGCACACCGCCCATGCACGCCTACTACGCACAACACCCCTACTTCTATGGCGGCATCGTCTACGCACCATCGCCCTACCACCCACAAGGCCCTCCTCATGTCTTCGACCGACCCCCGCCGCAAATGAGCAACCCGCATGCGCCGCCGGGTCATCCTATGATTGCGCACCACCCTGCTTACGCTGCACATGCGGCGCATGCGGCTCAGCAGCAGTACATGGCAACGCCCCCATCGCGCGCACCGTCCACCGCCGAGCAGGCACAGCACCACCCAGCTCAACCACCCCCACCGCCCTCCTCGACTGTGCCTGAGCAAGGACCCCAGCTTCCTGCTATCAACGGAGCTGCGGCATCAGCTGGCGCCACCAGCCTACCAACACCAGAGCCGTCAGAGAAGTCGCAGTCCACCAGCAGCGAGTCAACCGCCGCAGCAGCTTCGAGACCACTTCCAACGCTAGGCTCACTTCTCAACGGCGATGGCCCAGAAAAGGAGAACCAGAGCACCAGCCGCTCTGGCAGCCGCAGCCCAAATACGGCATCACGATTCCCGCGCGATCTGGCGCCTGAGCGTCTCGCTAAGAACAGCACCGCAGCAGATAGCAGCGCGCTGAACAAGCTCAACAGCGTCTTCGTCCGCTCCTAGAGCTCGACCATGTAAAATTGTGTTTCGGTACTGTTTTCTTTTTACATAACTAGGGTGGACTTTTAAGCATTTATGATCTGCATCGGTGGCGTTCAAAGTGACGGCTTCACGATGCCTCGGGTTCACGGCGTTTCGAGCAAAATGGCAGCAAGGGCCAAGTCAACAACGGCTCCTTTCATGCGCTCATGTCTGTTTCTATAGTAGCTTCAATTACAGCAATGCACCAAATTCATGCGAATGTTTGCATTAATTTACGAAACCTAAATTCCTGTCATTTTACGCTTATTTTATGCTTAATCGACTTTAACTGCTGCTAAGCGAGATTGAAACTCCCTGACATCACTGAAGCCCGAAGTGCGACTTCCGTTCGCCAAGACACAGGTGTGCTACATCAACCTCTTGTATCGCGATCGCGTGCGCTTGTGTGCGACAAGCTGCGTTTGTAGCTGCCTGATCGGGTAATGTTAACGTGACATCGCCCGCTATCTTCGTGACCTAGGGATCAACCCCGCAGGCGCCCGACCCTTATCGTGGACGTCAATGGCGCGAAGGGCGATGATGTCGGCTCGTCTCAGCCGAGACCGGAGAGCTTGGGGGTTGTACTTAAGCTGTTGAACGATTGCATCTGCATGAGGTTATGATATTTGACATTTGAGAACATGGCGAGTGCAACTGAGACACCCAGATCGCACGACATGGAGAAAGATACATCCCTAGGCCTCAAGGGCAACATCGGCGAGAAGCTGCAGAAACACTCGCACGATGCGGATGCGGCGATGCAGGCGTTTGAAGGCATGGATGGGCAGGTCATTGAGTTGACAGAGGAGAAGAGTAGGGCGTTGTTGAAGAAGATTGATAGGCATTTGATGCCGGTATTGCACCACCCACAGCCACCATTTGCGTGAAGATGCAAGACTGATGAGAGATAGATCATGTGCATCGTCTACGGGCTGAATTATCTCGACAAGACGACGCTGAGCTATGCGAGTATCATGGGCTTGCGGTCGCCTCCGTCGGATAATAAGCTCAAGTCCGGCATTGATTTGCAAGGTGATCAGTATCAGTGGCTGGGCTCGATGTTTTACTTTGGATATGTTGCTTGGGAGTATCCGACGACGAGGCTTCTGCAAGTCCTGCCGCTGGGGAAGTATTGTACGATCTCCAAGTGTTCTGAGGATTGGAAGGGAAGTGTGGCTGACATGTCATAGCGGCGTTCAATATCATCATGTGGGGTATCGTGCTGTCCTGCTTCGCTGCGGTTGAGAATTACGCTGGCGCGATTGCCATTCGCTTTTTCCTGGGTTTGTTTGAATCTGCGGTCACGCCCGGGTTCGCACTGTTTACGAGCCAGTGGTACACGAAGAAAGAGCAGGGTGCGAGGACGGGCATATGGTTCTCCTTCAACGGCTTCGCTCAAGTCTGTATACCTATCTCTTCACTTAGTTTCGATCCTAACGCATGTCCAGATCTTCGGTGGCTGTCTAGCCTACGGCATTGCAGTCGGCTGCCGCAAAACAGGCACAACAATCGAGCCCTGGAAAATCGTCTTCCTTGCTACTGGTCTCCTGACCACTCTCTGCGGCATCCTCTTCCTCTGGATCGTGCCCGACAACCAGATGAACTGCCGCTGGCTGAGCAAAGAAGACCGCATCCTCGCCATCGAGCGCATCCGCATGAACGGCCAAGGCGTAGGCAACAAGCACTTTAAATTCTACCAGCTCAAAGAAGCGCTACTCGATCCGTTGAGTTGGGCGTTTTTCTTCTACGCTTTGATAGCCGCCATACCCAATGGTTCGGCACTCCTTTTCCATTTGTCTGCTGAGTTGAGTGTGTCGGAGCTGACGCAAATCCAGGCGGCATATCAAACTTCTTCTCCCAACTCATCGTGTCCTTTGGCTACACGCCCGAAGAATCCCTTCTCTACGGCACACCCGGCGGCGCCGTCGAAGTCGTCTTCCTAATCGCGTGCGGCTGGGCGGGCGACAAGTACGGCTACCGCATCCTTATATCCACGACTGGGCTTTGCACCGGCATTCTAGGCATGGTTCTTATTGTCGCCTTGCCGCTGGACAATAACAGCGGGAGGCTGGCGGGGTACTACCTGACGCAGGCGAGTCCGACGCCGTTTGTTGCGCTACTGAGTTTGATCTCGAGTAACGTTGCCGGGTACACGAAGAAGACTACGGTGGCGGCGATGTATTTGATTGGGTATTGTGTGGGGAATATCATTGGTATGCATGCATCTTCAAAATTAGTTGACCTTTCCTGATGACTTTGACTAGGCCCACAAACATTCAGACCTAAAGACGCGCCTCGCTACGTCCCTGCTGAAATCACAATCATCGTGAGCTGGAGCGTTTGTCTTGGTATATTAGCGTTCATCCACTGTTACTGCGTGTGGCAGAATAAGAAGAAGGCGCAAATTAGGGCGGCGCCGGAGTATGTGCATATTCCAAATCAGGAGTGAGTTACCTTCCGCTTGTGAACTTGGTGCGGTGCATGCTGACTATGGACAGATGGCTTGATTTGACGGATAGAGAAAATCCGGAGTTTGTTTACACTTTGTAGAGAAATTATGCGACGTTCCAAGTATATTGACACTCAATACACTTGGGACGATCGACGACAGCAGAGAATATCGAGGGGTTATTCCTCTTTATATCTGTATGTGCAATGTGGTTTGAACATGACGGCGAGGTTGATGCTAGCGTCTAAAGTGCATGATCGTAAACTTTGCTCATGCGTGTTTCACCAATTTGGAATAGGATATTCTCGACTTTCGTCACAGCTCGATAAAGCATCAATTAGAAGCAATACATTTGTATAATAAAGTCTTGCAATTGTATTTCCAGTGAACATGGAGACGTGCACGGAAATTTTATTTTTCGAAAATACTCGATATGGATTTTATGTACACATGCATAGCATCGGTTATATTTACAGGTGTCCGATGGCAAGCATGATCTTGCAGCGCTAATCTGATGATCGAAATGATGCAGACGTCTCTTACAACGCGTTGAGAAGGGTGGTGTAAGCCTGCTTGGGCTGGTAGTTCCTGTCGAACAGCAGGGGGTTGGAGTCGGCCCTCCAGCTGTCCTTGTCGGATACACCCCACACAGTGATACCCACGCACTTCTGCAGAGCAAGGCAGCCGTTCATAACAGTCAAATAATCGCTGGCCGCAGCGCCGGCAATGTCGAGCTCAGTGATGGAAATCTCCTTGACGTTGGCAGCGGCAAGGGTCTTAAGAGCATTGGGAACACCAGATGCAGGGTTCCATCCGCCTGGCGCAGCGAGATGGGCTTGCGAACCGATACCGTCGATGGGGATGCCTTGCGAGATCCACTTGTTGACCTGACGAACCATTCCGGTGGTCTTAGCGTAGTTGGCGATGTCAAGGTTGTAGTCGTTAATGTAAAGTTTGGCGTTGGGATCGGCCGCACGAGCAGCGCGGAAAGCGATGCCAACAAAGTCTTCGCCGAGTACGCGGGTGAAGACGCTGTCGGTTCGCAAGTTGCCGTCCTCTGCGTTCTGGTCAGCTGACGTACTTTGGAAAACCGACCACCACAACTTCAACGACTCCTGGAAGCGAGAAAACAACGACTATGCAAGAAGAATAGACTAACCTCCCAGTATTTCGTTGACTACATCCCATTGGACAATCTTTCCCTTGTAGTGGTTGACGACATTGGTCACGTGATTCTGAATGACGGTGGTCAGGGTGTTGCGGTCGTTGATCGATGTCACCCACGCGGGCAACTGCTTATGCCAGAGGAGAGTGTGACCACGCATGAGCTTGCCATTCTGCTGGGCAAAGGCGACGACCTTGTCGGCGTTGGCGTAGTTGAACGATCCCCGGGATGCTGCATGCGACCCGTCAGTGCGCGACCATGGTTTCAGTCGCAGATTTACTCACGCTCAATGGCATCCCACTTCATGCTGTTCTCGTTCGTAATCTGTCCAAAAGTGTTCTTGACGATGGTGGTCAAGGGAGCGTTGCTCAGATGGTAGTGGTCGATCTCAGTACCGAAGTACAGCTTTCCCTTGGCCTTGAACTTTGCGTTCAATGACTGACCAAACACGGCCGTGGGAACGAGGAGGAGAGTGAGAGTAGAGAAGTGCATGATGACCGATTCCTAGATGCGAAGGTTGGTGTTGGGGCGCTGATCCAGCAGTCAGGCCAGGACCTCAGCTCTTCTTATTCTCTACTCACTCATGTACTAACCCCAACCCGTCAAAGACGCTACAAGAAAGACGCCTCTAACTTGCGGAAGAAGACGAGGCAAGTGGAGGGTAAACTTCGGACCGAACATATTGAAGGTAGTGATGTCCCACAAGTAACAGGACGTCAACTTCACTGGACTAAGCCACCCATCAATCCCCGCCTCCACCTCTTTGTATCTCCGGATAGTACTTAATCTCCAGCGGTCACCTGCCAGAGTCAGTGGCAGGCGCGCCTAGCCTCATCTCGAGCGGGCACAGATGCCTCAAGTCGGTTGTAGAACCGCACGCAGCCTTGCTTGATACATATTCGAGCAAAATGTTTCGCCGGCTCTAAGTTCATACGAGAATGATTTTCATGTTTCATTTACCAGCAGTTGATCCGCCAATAGTATAGCCTCGACTTTTAACGTAGCGTTGCGCCAAGATGCCTACACGGCACATAAGCCCGAATAACCCCAGTAAATTCTCCGCAAATGCCGGCTTCCCAACACAGTTAAGCAACGCGCTGCGCTGAAACAAGAGCCAACTCCGCAGACCGATCGCATACCACTGCAAAAACGTGGTAAGACCACTAGAACAGCCTGATGTGGTAGCGAAAGCCGTGCATTTAAGCAGTGTACATCTCCAACGATTGTCACAGATTTCATCATGACTCGTGCAAGGATGCTCGAGCAAATTTTATGATAGATTAGTACATGAGACAATGCGATTGTTCTTGGATGCTGTAGATACACAAATTCGCAAGGCCTTTCATTCAGATTCGCCTCACCAGACCTCGGAATAATTTGTGACAACATTAAGTCTTCCGAACCTCGGTGGCAGTATCCCGGAGTACTTTGAGGATCTCTCAGATGTCGATGAAAGAAGCATAATGCATCGCGACCGTCTTCAGTTCCCTGCAAACATATGGAGGATGCTTTGAGATACAGTGAAGCTATTCAGGCTAGTGCCTGCCGATCCCGAACTGTTGTGAACAGATTAGGCAGGTGCCTTCATACTAGGTTTTGCACGATGCGATCTACGGCGCATCCTCGCCGACTCTGCGACTGCGATCGCGCACTGGTTTGACAGAGTTGCATGGCTGCGAGCTCACATTGTGATTTTGGACTTTGTAGGGTAGACGTATCGTGTTGCTGAGAATGACAGCGTTCATTGAGAACAAGCACATAGGCATCGCGCTAAGATCACGGATGTTCTTGACCTGTAAGTTAGTCGTTCCCGTCGTCGAGCTGTCAGTCAGGTTGTGGTAACAAAGGCTGAAATCATCCTCTTGCAGCACGTAACATCGATTGGGCTCGTCGTGCTGAGGCATCTTGAGGACGTGTTCGGTGTCGAAGTCTAACGATGACGTGTACTCATAACGCGCCGTTGGCGATGGCTGAAGATGCCTGTCCTTCAAAAGAGTGACGAAACGGTTCATAACATCCTTAATAACATCTAGAGAGATGCTGATGTTGTCAAGTTCGATAACTGGAACGTCGCCCTTGCTGATGACAGAGTGCTGCCAAAGCTGTCCAACCCGATGACTCACCACGGTCAAAATTTGTCAGCTTGAATTACAGATTCTTTATTCCTCACCCAAATTCGTTATTGTCTCGCTTTGTGCCTGGGTGAGGTGCAGAACCAAGTTCGATTTTCGATTCGGATGCATCACGTGTGCCTGCTTGTGTATCTTTCTTTGGGGTAGACTTGCTCGAAGCTACAGGGGATGTGCTACATTTAGTCGTAGGTGTGTACTCAAACAATCAGAAGCTTTTAGATAACCGCCTCATGGTATTCCCTTTTGTGGCATCTCAGTGAGGATGTGAGATCATGCAGGAGGATGTAGGTAGATTTCGGAATCTGTCAAATACTTATGCAGTGGTTTAAAAGCACAGAGGCGAGCGACTCCAATGAATTTGAGGGGAGAGGAACATTTTGGAGAATTTCTCCTTTGTACGGACTTGTGGGTGCGAAATGTTCTGCAGTGTTGCGGGCGATTGTTTTCAATCGCGCTAGTAAGTTCAGACGTGTTTACTAGCTTCTGCTTCTCTCTCATCTTCAGCCCCGACTCTTTCCCATCGACACCTCTTCCCAGACAGGAATACATCATGGGCGCAAACGGGACTGTCGACAATCACTTTACGAATGGGTTCAACGAAGCGAACAACCTCTGCGAACAAGATCAAATGGAAGAGGGCATCACCAAAGCCCGAGAGCTGCTGGCTGAGCCTAGTGTCCCACGCTACCATAAGATGAAGTTTTTGATGCTACTTGCGTCTGCGCTTGAAGATTGGTATGATGCAAATGGTTGCTGTATCGAAGCATAGTCGATATGGCAGATCCAGCGCCGCTGGCACCCAGAAGGAGAAGACGCTGCCTTGGATGCCGACATGAGCGAGGTTCGCACATTGCTAGACACTTGTGACAGAATATTGCAACAGGAGCGAGACGAACTCGATGCTGAAGATGGAGTTGAGGACTCCATGCTTCTGGACGACCAAGGAACCGCAGATGCACAGGGAATGATGGAGAACATGGACTTTGGTGCAGAGGAAGACAACGAGGCAGGCAGAGCTAAGAAGGATCGGGCAGAGGAGAGTTCTGGGGCTGGCAAGGTAAATCATCTTGCTACATGGAAAACGCGAACATCGACTGATTTGCCCATCGCAGGATGTTCCGTTGGCGGATTAGGAAGAGAGGCGCGACACGGCTCTCGTCAGTCTATCCACATTCTTGCACGATTCCTCTTAACTATAAGCAACGACGAGCTATTATCCTTCTACTCTAGACTCACGCTTACAACGAACTCAGCGTCACTGTAAGCTCCTCAGCTTCACATTCTCCCACCATGGCGCACCTCGAACAATCTGCGTTCTCAACAATAATTGCACGAAATCAAGGCGCAGTTGTCATCAATATCACTCCTCAGAGCTATGATACGCCATAGAGATATGCTAGCATCAAAGCATGGCGACTTCCTCGGCATCATCAAAATCACCACAAAGATTGATGATGAAGTGGGTGCCCGCATTGTTCCGTGAACAAATAAGCTAATTAGATCCGCGGAGCGCGGGCCAGCAACGGGGATTCCCGTCTACATTCCATCGTGTAGTCGTGATCACGCGGGTAAGTGCGCCCAGCAAATATGCACAGAGAATTGACGGGAACGAAATATGTTTTTTCGTGTCGATAAGCCATCTCGGAGACTCCGCGGGTGGAATAGCTAGGTCGCTAGGTCCAAATCATTCGAGTTCGGGCAATGCAGGCACAATCTGATTTCGTCCCATAGTACACTGCAAGAACAAAGAAAGTAGACTTTTGGGCGGGACTTCCGCTCGGAGTTATCCTCCGCCGAAAGTTTATCAATGGGGTTAGCAAGACACCAAGCGTGACTTCAACCCCGCCTAGTTGGTATTCGCGTTATCATGTCGCAGTCAACGACTGTCGCAGAAGACTTGCAAACCACTGCCCGTCATAGTAATCGTGATACGGCAAATCTCAATATCGCCGAGTACCTAGATACTTCCCGGCTGTGTAGATCGTAGACCGGCTCCACACTCTGTAAGATCCTCGTTTTCAGGTGCAAAGAAACTGGTGGCCGGCTCAGAGCTCCGTAGCAGTAGTGCAACCTTTTAGAAAGCACCTGTTCTGGGACTGGTTCCTTGCGCACTATGTCTGATGCGGCAAATCATGGTTATCGCGTGCATTCTATGCAGCAATGTCGTAACTACCCTTTACACTATCCGATCCGGCTTCATTGACGAGAAGATAGGCCGACACTCCCGATCTGAAGCTTGAGTTTTACAAATAGTAGTTTATGGATATAAGATGCCTAAGAAGCATGTTCAATCATACATCCTCTAGTGTTCTGCAGTTCACATCATCATAGCCAAGAGCTGTTCATCTGACTTCTCAACTCTATTTCACTCGAAACACTTACAATCAATTTGGCTAAAAGTCCTCCCTTCCAGCCCTTTTTTCGACATGAAGCTTCAAATTCTCCTGGCACTTTTGCCTCTGACATTTGCTGCACCAGCGCCCCTCGCCCCTCGTGATGGGACCCCGATCCCAGGCCAATACATTGTCAAGTTCAAGTCGAATGCACTTCTCGAACACAGCATTCTAAACCTTATCAATGATCTCTTCCAAGATGCAACACAAAAGGCATATGTCAAACACATCTATAATATTGGCAGCTTCGCTGGCTTCGCCGTCACAACGACCGATAGCGCGGCCCAGCAGATCCGCCTAAACCCCAATGTTGAATTGGTCGAGCAAGACCGTGTCATTCAAATCGAACTCGAACATGTTGAGGAGATTGTTCAAAGATCTCCTGTAACACAGTATACTACGTCCTCTACCTGGGGCCTGGGTAGACTCTCCTCCAAGGCCACCAACTCTGGAAGATATGTCTATGATAGCACTGCTGGCGCCGGAATCTGTGCCTACGTTATAGACACCGGAATTGAGACTACTCATCCCGAGTTTCAAGGCCGTGCAACCTTCCTCGCTAACTTTGCGGAGGATGGCTCGAACACTGATGGCCACGGCCACGGCACCCACGTCGCTGGCATTATTGGCTCAAAGACCTATGGTGTTTCTAAGCGCGTCAACCTCTTCGCTGTTAAGGTCCTCAATGCTGATGGTACGGGCGCATTGTCGGGCGTACTGGCGGGTGTCGACTTTGCTACCAACGACGCCAAATCCCGAGGGTGCAAAAGCTCAGTTGCTAATTTCTCCTTCGCCACTGGAAAATCTGATGCCCTCAATTCTGCTGCTGCCAACGCTGCATCCTCAGGCCTTTTCATTGCTGTAGCAGCGGGTAACTCTGCTGCAGATGCTATTGATACCTCACCCGCTTCTGAGCCCAGCGTCTTCACCGTCGGCTCCACAGATTCCAACGACAGATTGGCTGCTTCCTCCAACTTTGGTGCTTCGGTCGATATTCTGGCGCCCGGTGTCGCAATTCTGTCGACCTGGAAGAGCGGTGGCACGGCTGTACTATCGGGTACTTCGATGGCGACGCCGCATGTTACAGGTCTTGCTGCATATCTTCTGGCGTACGAGGGCATCAGGACACCTGCTGCTCTTTCCTCGCGTATGACAAGCTTAGCGAACATCAACAGAATCACGGGCGTGCCGGCTGGAACCGTCAACCTTCTTGCGTTTAATGGAAATAGTCGGGCATAAGTTCGAACCTACCATAATACTACATAATTTAATGTGTTATGAAAGGATGCTATTATCAATCCAAATAAAGGGCCCTTCCGCGTCACGCAACGAAGTGAATATAGCTAACCAGAGAGCAAATGCAGTTACTCTGCAAAGACTCTGTAGATGCTAACGTAGCAAATATCATCAATTCTAAGTCGTTCTGGAGGGGTGCGCCAACTACCCATCCTGTAGGGTATGCGTACAAACCGCTGGGACCTACTTCTTCATAGATAGGGCCTCTCTGTCTAGGCTTACATGGATAAGAGCTTAGGCGCCGTTGAGTGGATATAGATGGGTAACATCTTTCGCCTACTCGTCTTATTTTCGATCACCAGTGCCTGGTAGTACATCATTGACGACTCCTTGGCCTTGCTCGGCGGGTGAAGGTGCACTGACGTTCCTAAACTGCTTTTCGGTGACCAAGTCCAAGACACTGAACGTATGGGAGGATCCGGAGATTCGATGTTGTAGTCGCGCAGTTGTTTGTAGGAGACGAAGCAACTATGTCCACGCTTCGCTGTCGCTGACGCTGTCACCGTTAGCCCCGGATCTGGAACTCATGTTTATAGCGTAACTCGTCCATTATCATGCTTTCAACGAGAACAGGCTTGATAGAGACCAAATACTATTGTTGCGACGGGCGGCGGGAAGAACAGCGCGCGGCGTGTATAGCGCTAGCAGCTGCGCGCGCGTAGGCTAACCACATTTGTCCATCATAAGTGGAGGAGACCCCAAGAGCTCAAAGCAAAATCACTCAACTTCCCTCTATCATCACTTTACGTCAAACTCATTATCCCGCAACCACCACTGAAACTCCAATGGCACCAAACGAGAGCGTCATCGACCGGCTCCGCGAGCTCCACGGCCAAATTTAAGACCAAGCACAGGATGTCCTAAAGGAGTGCGAAAAGCACAAGCTCGCGATCAAGAACTTGGGGGAAGAGACGAAGAGCCTCGGAGACAACAGCGAAGACCCGGAACGCGCCAAGGCTATCGTCAAGATCCTCAACGACGTCGACGATTTCGTCGTAAGTGTCACACCTGTATTTGTATGACTTGAGACTTACACCTTACAGGATCTTGTATTTGGAGAGGGAAGTATCCGTCGCGATTTGCAAACTAAACGACAGATGATACAAGTTCGGACTCTGAGTCGTATCAGGTCTTGACGGTAGTGAGTATCTCCTGGTTGGAAGAAGAGTCGAAGACTTTTATGATGTACTTTCGGGAAGACATCTAGGTTCCATTAGACTGCAGGCAGTGGTAGTGATAGAGCCGCTTACACAGTGGTGGTTCTGTTGTTTGGATGATGAGACGATGACCGATGGGTTGGAAACATGCAATCTGGGGAGACTGTGGGAGACTTATATATACTTGGTTGAATGGGACACGAAGACTGGCGACTAGCCTCGTAGGCAACGGTCACGTGACCGAGTCGTCATCTAGAATCCTCAAAACGACTAAAGCAGATCGCGGAGTTGGACATGGACAAGTTGCTGTGCAAAAGCGATACTATTGTCATAGAACCACGCCTTTCACGGTCCGTTTCAGATAACCTTCGATGGAAAGCCAAGTCTTGGAATGGGCCACTGTTTCACTCTTGGAGTGCAACATTCCCCTAAATGGCAAGAGAGCCTAACGCCAAGAGTGTACAGGGCGGAGTTCATGATCATAGGTACGCTGTCCGTTAAGGCCACCCATCGTATTCCCCGAACAAGTTTCGGGGACAAGCAACAAAGACAACGCCAACGATCAGATACCCAACCAGGCGACCAATTAGGCGACCAAGAAAGCTATTTCCCGACTTTCAGAGCACTGATGCAACGTTTGTTTTGGCAACACAGAAGATGAAGGTTAACATTGCTACATGCGATAGCCACTGTCGCTATGGTGATATATTTATTCAAGAAGAAATGTTGAGATCTATTCCGAAGAGCTAGTGCTCGTACAGCGCTTTTTAGGACGTAATACTAACGAAGTAAACGAATTTGCTCAAAATGCTAGACCTCAAATTCGTGTAATTCAGATTTGATATTATCCGACGATTCTATGGTACATCTCACCATGAAAAACGCCTGTCGCAGTCTCTTCTCTTCTCTCATAGAGTCCCATTGTCTAAACTCTATCTGTCATCTCAAAACTCTCTGCATCTATATGCTTGTCACTTCCGCTGCGAAACGTGCGCCAGAACGCAAACCCCGTTCCTGCCGCCGCAATCGCAAGTCCGAAGTACATCCAATGCAACCACGGATCTTTCGCGAACGGCGCAATCAAGATACCCAAAGCGCTGCCTCCCGCCGACGTTAACAGGAACAAACTCATGATGAAGCTCTTCATGTTCTCAGGCGCCTTCGCATATGCAAGTTCAAGACCAGTGATACTTGCTAGGATCTCGGAAATGGCGACGAAGATATATGCTGGTGCCTGCCATGCGACATGTATCTTTTGCGGCTCCGCGGCGTAGATCTTGGTTTGCAAGATACCGGCGTACAACATGGCGCTGGCGGCCATTATGAAGCCGAGTGAGATGCGCGTGATGGGACCGAAGGCGAAGTGGAGCTTTGCGCGGATGAATGGGTAGATCAAGCGATCCATGATGGGGATGAGGATGATGATGGTTATGGGGTCGATGTTGGGGAGGATGTCGTTTGGAAGACCGTGTAGTTCCATGTGGCCGGCTAGAAGAATTAGCCATTATATGCGGATAGAAGATTTGTCAAACGTACCTTGAGAGACGAAATTGTTCATCATTTGCGAAAAGGTGACCCAATATATCGGGAAGAAGAGAAACGCCTTGCACGCAACCAGCGCTGTCTCGAGTTCGTCAATGAACTTGTCGTCCCAAGTAATGCGATGTTTTGCCGCCGCTCGTGAAGGACGAGCAGCGTTGAGGTCGAAGCCATTGCGAACTGCAATGAACAGCGCGCGAAAGCAGTTTCCGATCACGCCTCCTTGGGGTGGTTTTATGGTGTATGTATTCCTGAACTTAACCAGGACTGTAAAGCCAACAACAAACATGATCAGCGGCAGCAGATATGCGCTCCAGAAACCAACATGAAGTTCGAGCATGGTCGTTGCGATAGCAGAAATGGAGCCTATGTTGATACACGTGTAGAAAACCATGAAGACACGCTGCATGGTGACCTCGGGGTCGACAATCACTCTTTTACCGCTCTTCAACGTTTTGACATATGCTTCTGTAGTCGAGATTTGTTCCGCAATCAGAGGCGCCACATTGCTTTTGATGCCGCCTGTTCCCAATCCAATAACCATCATCGCGACAACCAGCCCAGGGAACGCCGCTCCTCTTTCCACACTGACTGGTAGACTTGTAACGAACAAGATCATGATGCCAATCATGTAGACGACACTGAACCACTTGATCGTCGCATACTTGCCCAAGTACTGATCCGCAACAACCGCACCCATAACAGGCGTGAGATAGCACCAGAACTGGAAGAAGTTCGTCATCGCTGTCGCAGAAGATTGACCGAGCCCCAAGGCACCAGGAAGCGTCGACTTGGGTGGGTTGGCGATGTAGTTTTGAAACGGACCAGAGAGGCCATAGTAGGCGAAGCGCTCACAGAGCTCGACAATGGCGATGAGGAAAGCGGAGAGCGGGAGGGAGTCTGAAACGTGGGGAAGTGATGAGAGGTCGTGTGCGGAGGGTGCAGAGTCTTCAATATCCGGACCGCCATGCCTTTCATCATCGATTGATGTCTCCTTGCCATGCGCCGTAAGCTCAGCGGTGTGGTCTTCGGTTTGGGCCACTGTCGTGTAGGCGCCAAGCCCAGAGACGCCCTGGGAACGCCATGGTGGTGGCATCTCTGTTGTACAATTCCGACTTATTCCGCTGCTCTTTCAAGGCCGTGACATTATGCACCGATGGAAGGAAACTTGCGTGTCGGGTGCGGTAAGGGTCTACCCTCTTTTCAGCGCAATAGATCATGTGTCCGGAGAAAAAATTCCATTATTTTATGACACTATCTGCCATCAAGTCTGAGATGCGACCAAGCGAAGCAGTGTTGCAATTGAAGACACGATGCACGCGGGTGAGACGCGATCCGCTTCGGTCACCGAGTCTAGGCCGCAAATGGATCTGAATACGCCACACATCAGCCACGCCATGTCTCGAAGCACGCCAAAGTCCATCACCTTATCCAACCATCGTCCCATTCACGCCTTACCCGCAAAGAACTGATCCAACTGGTTCTCAACATCTGTCACACCCAGTCCGCTCGTCAGGCTTCCCCTGATCCACTTTGGCAGCTTATCCTGGATGCGCTTGGTGCCGTACCGCCTGTCCAGCATCATGATCGCAGCATAGTCGCCCTTGTGCCTGATTGCACGACCAACACACTGGTTCACCGCACGCATGCATGCGTTTTCGAAAAAGTCACGTGCCGCTGCCTTGCCGTCTCCGCCGCGCTTGTTCTCCTTGGTGGAGATGTACTGCATTTTGGCTTTCCACCCGGCCGAATGAGGATTGGGAAAGGGCAGTCCGACAACGACCACGCCGCGACCGAGGGCGTCGCTGAAGTTGATGCCTTCGGAAAGGGTACCGCCAATGACGGCGAAAAGGAGAGCACCGCAACCGTTGCCAGATGCGATGGCGGTGCTGTAGGCGGTAAGGACCGAATCGACTGCGGCTTCTTTGTTGGCGACTGGCTGCGTTGCAACGTTTGGCTGACTGCGCTGCTCGAGGAATATAGGCTTGGTCTGCGTAAAGCGATCCCAGAATGTCACTTTTGAGCCGGCAGCTGCGAGCCGCTTCCAAGCTGCGATACAAGCATCAAGGTAGGAGTAACTGGGGAAGAAGACAACTACACCATCAGGAATGTGTTGCGCTGTGCCAAGAATGGCATGCCCGAGATCGATCATCGTTCTCTCTTTGTTGCGGTTCTCGAATGTAAAGACAAATTCATTGCCGGATGATGCGCGAACAACAGGGATCGCAAGAAGGTTTGTCGGCGGGATGACATGGCCACACGAGAGTGTCATGATCTTTGTGGAGTCTAGGTACGGGAGGAGGTGCTGCTCATAGTCACTCATCGGAGACATGGTTCCACCAGCAAGAACAACCGCCCGGGCTTCTTCGACAATGTCTTTGAAGTGGTATGTCGGATCTAGGAGCATGTATCTTAATGTGACGCATGAGTCTTCCTTCGAGTAGAAGAATCGTCCCTCAGCCGATGGATTCATCAATGACAGCAGAAATGATTGGACGTGCATTAGAACAGGTACATTTTGTCGTGGGGCCTTTTGGAACATAGTCTTTGCACCTACTTTCGCTGTGTCATTCGCGACTGTCTCGGCGTACGTGGTGTAGCCATCAACCTTGCGTGCAAGCCTACTTTCTTGAAGGTATGTGTTGAGCTTGAAAATGTTGACCTGATCCACGCCTTTTCCGGACATGATTGTAAGCATATCAACTAGGCCATCCGTAGCTTTTTTGTCGTCGGATATGGTTTTGAGGTATCCAAGAATAGAGTCAAGGATGCGGACAGTCTGCGCAACATACACTCGATTCTTTCCCTTGAGCTTATTGCGAAACTTTTGCAAATACATGGTAAGCTGTGCGCGGGCTTGCTGGACTTGGTCGAGCGTGACGGATACAGAGTAGATACCCGCGATAGCGTCCATCAGGTTGTGTGCCTCATCTATGATGACGACGTGGTTTTTGAGCGATAGACCGAGAGCATCACGTGCCGTGCTCTGCAGTAGAAGTGGATATGGTAGTGTGACAATCTGGTCAATCAGCACGAGCTCAATGCACACCAAGAAATTCTTACCTCGCAGTGCTGGATTGCTGGCCGAGAAGCATAATATGGACAGACACCTAGCTTCTTCCCCAATGCACCCAAGTCTTCAATGTCTCTAATCTTCGCCAGCGCGTGGTCGCGAAAGTCGTTGACCAAAGTCTCGCTTTCCTTGTTTGGCATGTGCGGACATTTACCTTCAGCGCTGGTAGCCTGCTGCAGCTCGACACAGCGCTCGTTGATTGCAGTCGCGTTGCCGAGCCGGCTGACTTTGCTGTTGATGCATAGATTCTTCCTCGATCCCAAAGTCAAGTGCTTTACGTCATCCACAAGTCTGTCGACATCCGCATCTTGGTCGTCTGGAGTGATGGCAGGCGGCATCTTGACTCGACCCAACTCGCTCGTAAACTGGGTCAGCTGAGAGTGTGTGCGAGAGCAAAAGAAGATTTTGGTCTCGTCTGGCACCTCCCCTTCTTCAGCCTTAGTCGCGCTCGTAGAGTATCCCAGCTGCTCCATCAAAGCCTGAGTCTCTGCTGAGAGACCAGACTCGCTGAACCCACCGGACCGCGCTGCTTTGTCGTGCTCTTCATCGGTCTCGTAATCGTCTAGAACAAATTGCGCTTCGTCGTCCTTGTCATTGGCTTCACCTGCTGCCATCTTCTGTCTCTTGTAGCGTGGCTCGCCACTCTCATAGCGTTCTTTGGCACGCTTCTCTTTCGCCTTGATCTTGGCTATTCGGTCGTTCAGCTCTTGCCGCCGACGTAGCGCTTCCTGTTTTCTTTGCTTTTGGGCATGCTCAAGTATCCACGCTGGTTCATCGCTAGCAGCCGCATAAACGGCGAATCCATCCTCAAATGTCCGTCTCTTATGATCTCGCAGCCATGTTAACGACCCACAGATCAAACTCAGCGATTTTCCCGTTCCGGTTGGTGACTCGAAGATGCCGACTTTGCCCGCGTCCAAGCAGTCGTAGACCGCGTTCATGAAATCATTCTGGATATCATAAGGCTCGTACGGATGGTGGAAGTTTCGCGCATCATCATTGTCGTTCATGGTGGTGAGTTGAAGAAGGTACAGCGTTGATGAGTAATGAGAACGAAACACGCGCGCTAGCACGTGAGACGCTAGCGGCAATAACGCGTCGACCTTTCACTTCTCCTTTCCCTCATCCAGCACCGACAGATCATCTGATCACATCTCACCAGATTCTCTCCAGTCAGTATTTTCCGCAAGGTCTTTCATCTGAAGCCTCACGAAACGTCACAAGAGATGGTAGTACATCACGCGTGCCACGACCCAAAGACTACCTATTTCCGAGGCTCTGGAATTTACGCCGACTGGCACGAAACTTGGATTGATACCACCTTTTGGTGTGGCATGTGAGATGTGTTGATCAGGCGGTTGTCGCGCTGTCGTACAGATATGCGTCAACGCCTCTCCAGATTGCGTGATCTGGAACATCAACTAATACGACATTTCTGACAAGAAGCACGACTCGACTGCTGACAATTATATGCTCTTTACTTGCGTGTCTTTCAGCATGTCTCCCCGCAAGCTATGCTGTCCTCTACACACCCGTAAACATGTCAACACAATATCAGTCATTGCACGAAGCAACGATGCAGTCAGGAGAGCAAGAGCCACTTCTTTCACGTGTTACTTCGCCAACCGAAAGCGCGAAACAATACACTTCCAGCGAAGATTCCGAGACTACAATCGCTGAAGGCATCACGCGCGCTATCGAAGACGATGTCTTGCCCGAGACTTCCACCCTCGGACGAACTATCACTTGGTCGAGCGCTTACATTCTAGTGATTTCACGCGTCATCGGAAGCGGCATCTTTGCGACGCCCGGCGTCATTGTAAGAGATGTTGGCAGTGTAGGACTGTCTCTCTCGCTCTGGATCGTGGGCGCCATCATCGCAGCATGTGGTCTTGCGGTGGGCTTGGAGTATGGCTGTATGCTACCACGGTCTGGTGGCGAGAAGGTTTACTTGGAGTTTGTCTACCGCAAACCTCGATTTCTGGCCAGTACCCTGGTAGCTACGCAGGCTGTTCTTCTAGGCTTCACGGCCAGCAACTGCATTGTATTTGCCCAGTACACGCTCTATGCATTCGACATTGAGGCGACAGACTTTCGACGCAAGTCACTGGCGGTGGGTCTACTCACAGCCATTACCATCATCCACAGCTGCTTCATGAAGACTGGCATTCGCATCCAGAATTTTCTGGGGTGGATCAAGATTGGGTTGGTTGTGTTCATGGTTTTGTCGGGCTTCTTTGTGGTGGTATTTCGCATTCATGGAAGTGATGAGTCGCGGAGTCACTTTCCTGCTGGGTCGGAGTTGTGGCAAGGGAGTGATTGGAGCTGGGGAATCATCTCCACGTCGCTTTTCAAGGTGTTCTATTCGTTTGCAGGTCTCAACAACGTGAATAATGTGGGTATGGCGTGAAAACTCTATGGACGCACTGACAGGCGCAGGTCATGAACGAGGTTCGCAACCCTATCCGAACCCTCAAGTCTGTTTCCATAACAGCACTGCTGACCGCATGTATCATGTACTTGCTGGTCAACGTCGCCTACTTCATTGTCGTGCCTTTGGATGAGGTCAAGAACAGTCGAGAGCTCATAGCAGCGCTCTTCTTCGAACGTTGTTTTGGTTCGACGGTGGGGAAGACCTTGCTACCGCTTGCAGTTGCACTCTCCGGCGCTGGCAATGTCATGGTAGTTACATTTGCTCTGGTGGGTTGCATTATCCAGCTTACGAGAAGCAAGCTGACGATCTCAGGCGCGCCTGAACCAAGAAGTGGCACGGCAAGGCTTTCTTCCATTCTCGAGCATCCTCGCATCGTCGAAACCGTTCAATGCACCAATGGGCGGACTGATCGTACACTACATTCCCTCACTCTTGGTTATAGCTTTGCCACCTTCGAGCGAGGTGTACTCATTCATCCTTGAGGTGGAAGGCTATCCCGGCCAGATCTTTGCGCTCGCTTCTGGTGTTGGCTTACTATGGCTTCGGTACAAGCGACCAGACCTTAAGAGGCCTTTCAAGGCTTGGACTGTTGCTGTCATATTGAGGATAGTTCTCTGCCTCGCCTTGATCGCTGCACCCTTCTTTCCACCAACAGCTGGCCACGCAAAGGGCGGAATCTGGTATGCAACCTACGCTGTTGTCGGCGCTGGTGTGATTTTGTTCGGTCTGCTCTATTGGTTCGTTTGGTTCAAGCTCATCCCGAAGTGGAAGGGCTATCGCGTTGAAGAAGGGACCGATGTTCTGAGTGACGGTACGACCGTATCAACGCTCATTCATATGGCGTCATAGTCTGCTGAGAAATACACGATTACTATCATTAGCACGTGGTACAATCAATATGCAAAACTTGATCGGAATGTCAGAATCGTACACTTGCGCATCATCTTCGAGCCAATCAGCATGGTTCTGACATGTCTGCAATGTGAGTAGGTTTCGCAAGTCGCGGCTTCTATTTCAAAGCCGATGACTCGCTTCTTCGATCATATTGCGTGCTTGCGGGGAACCTGGCGCGCTGACATATCGAGTGCAGAAACAGGAGGTGTATAAGAGTATCATTTACCATGAAGCACAATTCCATCAAAACATCTCGGACCGACCACATTCGGTAAACTTTCCAGAGCAATCAACATGGCTACCGCTGCCGTCATCTCCCCAAGTTCCGCTCCAACACACACTCCTCAAACCGTCCAATCATCTTCCAGCACCATCAACCATGGACCTCAAGATGTCCAGACTGTGCTGAATTACTTCAAACCAAATGAAGACGGTTCACCGCCACATCCCACTTATACTGATCGCCCAGAAACTTACGATCGTCCCGTCGAAACACACCCCGTGACCGTCCGTGACATCCGCGGCCGCGAGAAAGACTTCACCCTGGACGGCAACGGCTTCCAAGTGCATCGCCAGGCTTCGAGTGAAAAAGAATTTCGAGACGACGAGAAGATCAAGAGCGGGTATTACGCTGAGACGGAGCAGTTGCTCAAGGATGTGTAGGTCGCTCTCTTGCTAGACGCGACTATATCTAACATCTCTAGCACCGGCGCCTCTCGCGTCTTCATCTTCGACCACACCATCCGCCGCCAAGAACCCGACACAGGCGGTGCCGAGAAGACGCTTCGCGGGCCAGTGAAGCGTGTGCACATTGACCAATCTTACTCCGCAGCACTGTCGCGCGTGGCGCACCACCTCCCCGACGAGGCGGAAAAACTACTCAAAGGGCGCGTGCAAATCATCAACGTCTGGCGGCCCATCAAGACCGTCCAGCGTGACCCGTTGGCCGTAGCCGAAGCGAGCAGCGTCAGTGACGACGGGTTGGTGGTTGTTGAGCTCATCTATCCGAACCGCAGGGGCGAGACGTTGTCTGTGAAGCACGATGCTGGACATCGGTGGTACTACAAGTCTGGACTCACGCCAGAAGAGGTGTTGTTGATCAAGTGCTTCGATTCGAAGGTGGATGGAAGGGCGAGAAGGGTTCCGCACACAGCGTTTGAGGTGCCGAATACGGAGGATAGGGAAGCGAGAGAGAGTATTGAGATTAGAGCATTGGTATTTCATGAGGATGATACGGCGGAGTAGGGGGTGTGGCTCTGGATCGAATTGAAAGCATCGTACTTGCTCTGTCGAAGTTCGAGTCTAAATGGTGGTTCTCTCAGCAGATTTCAAACGTCTCCATTTCAGCCGCTCTTCTCATGCAGTACTTAAGATAGGGGAACTCTGCACCTCGTTCTTGGGCTACCCTTCTGAAGGCGTAAAAATCCCCACTGATCATTTTCCAAAGTTGGTCTTCGTGCCGTCGTAGGAGACAGGGAGAATGCCCATGCTGGAATACACAGACTGTATCGCCAATACGTGCTGCCGCAGGGGCGATTGCAAGTTCAAATGTGTCTGTAAGTACGATTCTACACTCTGCCAAGCTTTCATGGAATTCGCGGGGGGAAATTGTTGCGGAGCGTGAATGCTGTTGATAGCCGCGGCAATAACCCCTCTGTAAGTCCCATCCAAAGGCTCGAGCATCTTCTCGAGCTTCCAGGATTAAAGCTGCTAAGTTTAGATGGTTTCTGGAAATTCATTAAGTGTGTGTCACTTACCCTGTAAGAGTTCTGTGTCGCAATGGTAAGAGCCGTACTCATTGTTGTCGTCCGGAGATGCATAAATCAGCTGAGCCAGTGTTGGAAGAGTGTTGAAGAATTCTATCATCTGGCGCTCCGTGTCTATCATGTCTCGAAATTTCCATGGACGGCTGGTTTTACGAATGGTAGCGTAACTTAATCCCTTGACATGTAACCTAAGCTGGTTTTCACCGATATTTGGACTGACGACAGTGAACGATGCTGGAATCTGACTTATACTCTTATACGGGCTCCAGGAGTCCAGCGGTGAACTTTGGGAAAGGTCAGGAATCCACGAGGGCATGTGTAAATCGTGGGGATGGCGATTCGCTGTTAGTAGATGTAGGCCGATGCTCGGAAGCAGAAACAATACAGTTTTGATGAAGGTCTGCTCTTTGGTGGCATCATAATCGATCAAATGATCCATAGAATTACGCTGTGCTTTTGGGAGCAAAGATCTGAGCGCGAAGATCTTGTCCCTTGGATCGGTAGCCAAGAACCTTCTGCTAGATATTATTTGATGCCACAGACGTCTTGGGGCATCAAGGTGCTCTTCCACTTTCAACTTTTGGCGGCTCCAGAGAAGGATGGGCAGTGGTACACTGTCCTCGATCACACGGTGGCCCTGATATCCATGGAGACATGCCTCTAGGATTTCCAAAGAAGTTTGAACAGATCCACACATGACAGTGAGCGAAGTGTTACCACTGACCTCCTGTAGCACCCAGATTCTGCGAAACCATGGTCTTTCGATGAGGATTTCCAATTCGCTAACTATAAAGTCGCTGGGTGGCTGCCGACTGCATTTCCCGGTCTCTGAGAGCTCCATCTCCCTCGTGGCCAGTTCTTTGAATAGTCTGCGACTTCCTCGCGTATCTTCGCCAAGATATATGACGACAGTCGAGGCCATCTCATATATCATATTCATGCTCTTGACTTGATGACCACGTTCGCTCGTGTCCGCCTGATTGATACAAACAGCGTCGATCCATACCACCCGATCGCCGTCCACGAGACGGAGAGCCCGCAGAGCATTGGAGCAATTCTTCGTACTCTTTAGGAAGTCGTCCTTTCCACCTACGTATAATGAGCGCGGTGCACTGGTGTTTCCCCAGGTGTATGAGATGGCCTCGTATTTCGGATTTTCCGTCAAGCGCGCGTGTTGGAGGGAGCAACGTATGGGATCCGATGACTGAGCAGCCGGGTGTAAGATGACGAGTCGAACAGAGTCCCAGTGCTCTAAAGGTTGATATTCATACAGCGACATATGACGCGAAAGGAACGATTCGCGTCTGGGGTGGGAATGAGTTGTGGGTCGGGAGGAGAAAAGTGTCGCATCGATGGTTGCTGCCTCCGACTGCAGTCAGCTTCATCGATCCCCGCACCGGTCAACGCAGCTCAAGCTTGCAACGATGCACTACAACTGCACAGCCACATAATATGGAGAAAATGGCGATCAGGATGCTCGTGAACGGGATGCAGGCGCGGAAGAATAATGACGACTTTGGTGCTATGGGGTAGATGGGATAAGAGTGGCGAGAGCAGTATTCGCTCATTGACGAGAGACCAGGGTTCTGGGTCGCAGTGATCGACCCAGAGGCGGAATACTGTTAAACTAGTGAACTTTTCGAGTATGGAATCTATTTGCGTCCAAAACTGCGCGGTCCATGATTCTTGTTCGGTGCTTGAAGGGCTATATTGTTGAAGTGCTTCAATGGAATAGAAGAAGCGCAGTGGCATTCGGAGAGTGAGACTCAGGTGTGTGATCTGATCAACTAGGATGATAGGAAGATGGTCGGGAGACGGCGCTGGCACTTTTGTACCTAGGCCAGCGAGAGTCTCTAGATCGGTAACGTGAGTAATTGCAGTGCGTGACATCCAAATTCGGATCTCGGTGTATCCGGATGTATAAGCACCTACAGGCACATCAGTTTCTGGACACTTACGTTTTCATGCAAGAGAGGAGCAGAGATACATCAAACTTCTTGTTCTCCAAATCTTCTTCGCACATCCAATGGGGCCCCCAACTCGAATCTAAATGGCGGGCCCAGGTTGCTCGAGGCACCCATTGAAGACCACCAAGGACGCAGCTGCCGCGCTCATACCCGGCGTACGCTTTGATGTCTCGATTTGTTGTTAAACAGCTGCTCCATTTGTCCTTGTATGGCTTTGAGCAGGTCGACACGTGAAATACATTCCCTACAAGACGCACGTGGATCTGATGTGGTACCACGATCGTGATGCTAGGTGGAACTAGTAAGTTGCAATACTTCGAGTTCGTCCCAAGTTGCGATATGAGACCGAAACATACTTACTGTTGTTCTTGAAAGAGTTTCTGCGCGGCTGTGCGCTAGCTCCATATCCGGTTGTTACATACCCAGTTGCTCGTTTATATAATATTGTTCCGTTATTCATGGATCTTGCATCTGATCTGCGCCCACTTGGACGTGGTCGGAAATCTTCTTACTTATGTAGTTGGTGACGTAGAGTCTCGGTTATTTTAGACATGTTCTCCTTCTTCTCCATCTCTCCACCTATCTTCTTCTCTTTTTATAGTAGTTGAGAGAGAGAGATGTATTGAGTCGAAATTTGAGATCAGTTTATTGGAGACGTGGACATTTGAGATGGACTAGCGGGTTAAAGGGCACAGGATGTGTATACGGCCTAGTCGCGCGCATAGTCTTTCACTGTTAGTCGACGTCACGTGACTTTGCCCTTTTCATCACCTGGGCAACTATGAATTGCGACGACATTGAGTTTTATTGTCTCTTGAGATGACTTGCAAGGCTTGCCTGTTACCATGATCTCGATAATTGTAATGATTGAATTTCATCTTGATACTCAAAGACACCGCCACAAGATGGACGCGCACAAACCCGAAAATCTGCGTACTACCACCTCGTGTCGTGTACTACAATGACGAACATGACGAACCATAACGCTTGCGATAAGATCGGCTCGGCTTCTGGAAATGACACGGCCCTGTGGCGTGTTTGGGGTTGAAGGAAATTGGGCGCGGGCGACAGGGATGGGCCTGGCGGAGATTTGGTTCGCATAACGTTCAGTGTGTGAGTGCAGACCAGGCGGGACGGTTGCGGTGGACAGGTTGCAGGTGTTGGATCTGAACCCAATCCCAATCTCTCAATCTCACGTTCAACAAACGAGCAACTCTGCGTGTTGTGGTCGTACAGCCGGGCCATTGTTTACCGTGTGACGCGGTTTATTAGGACGCGGACGCGACGATCCCTCGCCCATCCCATTCTCGACCATCTGCACTCGCACTGCCATCTTGGGCCTGCACCGTGCATCACCGGCAGCGCTCCATCTGCGCCCGCCGCAAACGACTGCTTCCCCCCCGATATCATCCAAGCATGCTCAATGAGCGATCCGGAAGCGACGCTTTCCCAGCAAGAGAGCAGCCCAGCGCCTGCCGCGAGTGAAGCCCAAATTCTGCCACGTCCGCCGTCGCTGCCAGCGAAGTCACCGCCAGACCGCCCGACATCAACCGCATCGGCGCCGCCAGCACTGCAGCTGTCGCCGCGCCCGCTGAAATACACGCCGCCCCATCTCGAGCGCGAAATCACCACCAAGCTCGCGAGAAATGTGTCGCCGGGGCTGCTCGCGCGCATGAAGTTCCTGAACCAGGGCAACGACGCCAACAACAACAAAAAAGACCAGGACATTGGCCGCCTCGACGAGGACGAGATTCGACGCCTCGACGCCTTCCACAAGCGCCGCAGCCTCAACGTCGAGCGCCGCGGGACAGCCTGGAGCGGCATCGGGCCCCCGCCGCCGGGCTACCTGCAGTCACAGCAGTCGACGTCGACGCCGCACACCCCCCAGGAGACGCCCCTCATCCCGCAGTCGACGGGCGAGAGCGTGCCGCCGCTGGCCATGGAGCCCGACACGGAGACGGAGAGCGACCACAGCAGCGTTGTGAGCACGAGCGACAAGCTGGCGCCGTCGGAGAGCGAGGCCGAGGGCGAGGTCATGGACATGCAAAAGTACCGCCTGCCGGACATATCCAAGACGAAGACGCTGAGCATCCCGAGTGAGGTCACGAGTGAGGTCACGAGCGAGGTCACGAGCGCAGAGCCTACGCAGCCACAAAGCGAAGAACCCACGCGCCCCCCTACGCCGCCGCCCAAAGACCCCCCAAAGGTGGTGGAAGAAGAAGCACCACAACCCCCTCAGGAACCGCAACAACCCGAACTACCACCTCCAGAATCACCCGATCTCCCCGATCCCTCCCCCTCTCCCCCCGCCGCCCCCGCCGAAGAAGTCTCCGTCCTCGACGACAATGGCATCGACATCGAATCCTACTTCCAGCGCCGCCACTTCCCGCGCGCCAACTCCATCTACACCCTCTCCAAGGCCTCCTTCAGCAACCAGATCCAGCAGCTGACGTCGATGAAGCTGCCGCCCACCACCATCGCCTCGGAAATCACCTCCCTCCCCTCATCAACGCTCGCCGGCCGGGCGCTGCACAAGGCCGCCAACGACATCCGCCTGTGGATGGCCAAGGCCGCCGACGTGCTCAGCGGACTCGATGCCGAAGACGACGTCGAGTGGGCGGCGGCGGCTGGAAGAGAAGGACTGGCCGAGGTCGATGCTGCCGTCACCAAGTTTGAGGGCCTCGTCACCGTCTACATTGGCGCGATTGAAGACTTGCAGGCGCGCCCGGATATCTCCTCTCTCCCCGTCAAGGACCAGACGACGCTCATCACGCAGATGGAGGAGATTGTCAGCAAGTGGGCCCAGATCAAGCAGACGCTCAAGGGCATCAAGAACCAGGTCGAGATCGCCATGGAGTGGGAGGAGCTGTGGAATAATGTGCTGGGCGAGATTGGCGCCGAAGTCGAGAATCTCAGCCGCCTCGTCTTTGAGATGGAAGAGCGCCGCCACCGCGTCATCTCCGACTCTGTCGCCGAGTCTGCGGAGAAGTTTGACATTGCCGACCTCGAGACGGCCGTGGGACAGACGGCGCGGCCACAGCCGAACATGGTCAACAAGCGGTTTAGTATGCCGCCCCTGACCGTCGTGTCGCCCATCTCGCCCATCCCGCAGATCGAGCACGAGAACACGCGCCTGCTCGGACTGTTTGCAAAGCTCCAGCCCCTCCGTGCGTCACTCGACTTCCTGCCCATGCGGCTGGCCTCGTTCCAGTCCCGCTCCAGCAACATTTTCCCCTCAGCTTGTGATGAATTGTCACGCAGAAAAGAGCAGCTGGAGGAGCAGGAGAAGAAGCTCGAAGCGGATGCTGATGCACTGCGCGAAGAGCTGGGCGAGGACAAGTGGGTGCACAGCTTCCGCCAAGCAGGAAGCAAGGCCGTGGCCATGTACGACTCGTGCATGAAGAGCGTGCAGCGTCTGACGGAAGCGATTGAGCAGCGCGACGAGGAAAACATCGAGAAACGCATTGCCATGTACAAGGACAAGCGCGACCACTACCCGCCCTCGATGAAGCGCGTGCTGGAGCTGATTGACATTGAGATGAAGCACCGCTCGACCGTCAATGGCGAGATTCTGAGGATCCAGCAGGACGTGCGCCAGAAGTTTGTCGATCTCGAGAGCGTAATCAAGGATATGGACGCTATTCTGGACGACTTCACGGCATCACGCAAGCTGAGGGATTCAGTCTCGACTGTGCTTTCGGCGCGCACCGAGGGATCTTCAGCCGTCGACACGCCAAACAGCTCTCCCGCGTCCAGCGTGGTTATGAGCCGCAAGGGCAGCGACACGGGTGCCATTCCGTATGCAGGAAAGAAGTCTCGTCAATCTAGTGCGTCCACCTCAAAGCCGCCGGCTGTGCGTGATAACCGCCGCTACTCGAGCCTGCCCATGAGCACGCCAAAGGGTGCCCACATCTCATCCCTTCCCTGGGACCGCTACGGCACAGCACCGTCTCGCTCGATGATTGGCACGCCGACTCGCTCAGAGTCTCCCAGGACCGAGAGACCCGCCGTTAAGCCGCGCTGGAACTCGAGCGTCAACATGCGCGATACCGTCGTGGGCCACAACTTCAAGCCGCTGACACTAACGACACCGTCGCCCTACCGAAAGCCTCTAGAGCGACCGACGTCGTCGTTGAGGAGTCACTCTACAGCATCAAATCTCCCAGTCCGAAGCCCGTTGAGCCGCTCGACTCTCTCACCCGCACCGCAAATCCGCCCTGCATCCACTACACCTTCCCAGCAGAAGCGTCGCTCAACAGCCCTGTCTCCCGCTCCTACGACCCGACCTGCATCGACTACGCCCTCGCAGCAATCGAGACGTCCTCTGGCCAGCCCCATGCAGTCTCCCTCCACGCCGGGTAAAGGAAAGCTGCCCATACGATCCACCCCTCGCTCTTCCACGCCCGCCTCTCAACGTCAAGCGTCTATTGCTGAGGAAGAAGATGACGCTGCTGAGGAGCAGAGCCCAGCTGCGCGCCGTGCCAACCGCCCTCCCAGCGTCATGAACCACCGCAGCAGCCTCATCAAGCCCCGCACCGGTTCCACGTCGAGCATGACGCCATCCACCCCCGGCCGCAGCGCCAGTAGACTCGGAACCGCCGGCGCCAGTGGACGGCAATCCAGCGCAGGAGACCGACCGGGCTGGAGATAGGTTCTCGACAAGCACGCTCATCTCTTGAAGTGATTCTCTGATTCGTTTGGCTGGTCCGTCCCCTCTTTTCCTAATACGACATTTTAGTATCCTGATGGACGTGGTTTGTGTTTATTCGGCGTTATTCTGGTTTGCAACATGGGGCAGAGAGAAGCATTCTATACCCCAAAGTGTTTGTTTGTGCTTTTGCGATACAATTTGATCAGTCGGCAGTTAGGAGGTGGACGAGAGGAAGGACAAAGGGGGTGTATATGATAAGCCAGTATGTACGAAGATGAAGCAAGTTACTCAAGTAGAACGTATGTAGATAAGGTAGTCGAAATTTGATAAAGACATCTCTTCTCCCAAGACACGAGCACTGCCGTTTCCTGCTTAGCGCGAATATGTAGGCACGAGGCGCAGCGACGTCGACCTTCAAGCATCAGAAAATTGCACACGTATCTCGTAACTTCACTGGCGATGGAGCAAGCCAGACAGCCACCTTCTTACGTCCCCCCCCTCGAACTCCGCCAGCTTGTCTATGCGTATATTCTGCCTGCACCACAAATCCACCTTCGCCTAGAGGATCATGTCCTTTGCATTGCGAACTGCCAGCAACCAGACCGCGATGGACGGAGCGCCAGTTCTCCATGCCAAGAGCTCACGCTCGTCGCTCTTGACGGATATGAGCGTGGAACATGTCCGAGTGGGTTTGCGAAGCGTGTAAGTACGGATGTTTGGGCGGGCAGGTTGGAGAGTAGTTGAGGTCCGCAATGGATATGTGAGGAGGGGAAGGGGAAGGGGGAGGGGGTGGAGATGGGAGTGGAGATGGGGGTGTTGCGGGCTAGTAAGCAGATGTACGATGAAGTCTCGAAATTCCGGTGGCGCAACGTTGCGCTCGCCATCACGGATCTGAGCGTGTTGGAAAAGCTGGGATCGATGGAGAAAGACGGACTGCCGGGCGTGTTAAGGCAGGGATTTAGGGAGGTAAATCTGACGTTGAGGATGCCACTTGCTTCCTTCCAAACGTTTAAAAAGCCGGAAGACGACACAGAGCAAGTACGCATCTGGACCGGAATCTCTTCGACACTGGCGAAAGCCCCGCAGTTGAAAGGTTTGAGCATCTGGTTCGATCATGCGGATGCGCAAATATGGTCTGTCGTTGACGAACGCGCACTCCTCACTCCTCTACTTGCATATCTCAGCAACACGGTGATTAAGAGTACGTTGTTCCTCCCGATGCTGCATCCCGTCTACGAATTACCTGAGCGCCACTTGCTCAATCCTACTATCGGCAACGCGCGGGTAACCAGGAAACTCCGCCAGCGATGGCGCGGAGTGGTGAATTGTCGAGGAGAGACGGATGTGGTTTACAGACCGGACTATCCGTATAGTGTCGATGCGTTCGATGGGTATATGACGCCGGGTGAAGCGGAGGTTTGGGAGCGCGGGGCGTGGAAGGATGGTATTGATGTTGAGGCTGTGGCGAAGGAGATTAGGGGGTTTGGAAATGTGCAATACGCGATTTGAGAAAATTCGATTGGTTTTAAAAAAGATCGATGCGGTACGTAGCAAAACTGTATTACTGCTCTGGGGGGAATGGTGGGTGCTTTAGCCAATGTGGCACAGTTACGCATGGCGCTTAAATACCTCGCCTTGCTTTGCCTACTTCTAGGCAGAAACACAGCTCTCAAATTGCATCCGTCTTTGGCTACCTTTGAAGTGACAATGTCCCAATCTAAAAGCATCCTGCTACGTATACCACTTGAAGTGCGACAAGACATCTACTCATACATTCTCCCTCGCCAAATCCACGTCTGGCTGCGCGACGATCGCCTCCACGTCTCGAGGTGTCTGGATCCAGACCTCGATAAGAGAAGCAGTAACTTCCCACACGAGACTGACGCCAAACCGTATGACGGCAGCGAACGAGCGCCCGCCTCCGTGTGGGATCTTAAAAGAAACTACTCGGAAGTGGAATGGGAGAGACGAGCTAGGTCGGCTTGGGGTCCGCATTGGATGTGCGAGGAGTGGGTTCAGTTGCGAACTGCGCTGGGACCTGTATTGTTACTTGTTTGCAAGATGATGTATGATTCATGAATAGATTGGGATGGCTGTTACTTACGCTTACAGGCATGATGAGATCATGGATCTGTGGTCTCGCACCATCATTGTCAATGTCGCCGACTTGGACACTCTTCTTTTCTTAACAGCACAGGGCTTTGCACCGTCTCATCCTATCCTGCGAAACGGTATCAAGCGTTTGAGCATCACTTTGCGGCTCCCATTCCAGTTCTTCCAGTCCATAGAGGAAACGACAGACCGAGATAACGTAGGAGAGACTTCACCCACCGTGCAGTCCTGGCGCCAAATCTGTGCCGCGCCGTTCCTCCAAAATCTGACGACACTGCACTTGTGGTTCGACCATACTGCGACCCGCACCTGGTCGCTTGTCAACGAGCGTTCTCTTCTCGATGCTCTCCTTTCCTCACTCCCTCACACCGTCCGAGTCGTAGTAATGCTGCCAAAACTGCACCCCCTCCATGAACATCCAGACCGACACTTTCTCAACGCGCGGATTAGTACAACGGCGTCATTGTACCGCAAACTACGCCAACGATGGCGATACAATGATACTTCCGACCACTTCGACCACTTTCCGGATTTTCCGTACTACTTCGATGTATGGGAGATGTGGGACGTACCGCAACGAGAAGAGTATGAGCGCGAGGTGTGGGACGTACCGCAACTAGAAGAGTATGAGCGCGAGATGTGGTTGGCCGGAAAAGACATGGAAAGATTTGCAGAAATGGAGAGAAACCCGTATTGCACATTGGGTAATATTTGACTCCAAAATCGTTCTTGCTTCATTAACCACATTACCTCTACGCTGTATATTTGATCCCAAACGGCACCGTCTCCACAACATCCCAGTCCTCCTTCTTACTCTCATCCCCAAATATCCTCAGCGCCTGCACTCGCAGCCGATACGTGCCCTCCTCCATGACCTTCCCATTCGACAGCAGGCCATTGATCCACGCGCGCCGCTCGAACCTTGCGACAAATGTCGGCGGCCAGCCAGCAAGCGCACCCAGCTCCTCGTCCCCACGCAAAACATCCGCGCGAAGAATCCGCGTGCCGACGATTGGGCGCACATACACGTTCGGCGTGGCCATCATATCTCCACGGTCCGTAAGCGGGGGGTTCTTCGGATCCGGGCGTGGAATTGTGTACGTCTTGTTTGCAACTGCAGGTGTGTAGCCGTCCGCAAGGTAGACCGAGTCCTGCGAGAAGACGGGCGTGGCGCGCATGCTGCCTGCGACGCCCAGGTACGGGACTTGCAGCTTGTCGCCGATGGAGATGAAGCCGCTGTACACGGGCAGCAGGGTGGCGTTGAGGTTGGCGGGAGGCGTGAATGTGACGGTCAGCTCCGCGGATTGGCCGGCGGGGACGGTGAGGCTGTCGGAGGAGAAGGAGACGGAAGCGTATTCTGTGGCGATGGCGTTGGGGAACATGCCTGTACGCAGAGGGTTGGATGACGGGCTCATGGCGTACATGGTCACAGCCTTGCGGTGGCCGATTTGAAGAACTGCCTCTTCGGAGCCGGTGTTTTTGATACTAAAGGTGTGCGTGCCGGCGAAATGCTCCGTGTCGTTGAGCATCAGACTGTCGACGTCAAGTTCGATCTTTGTGTGAGCTGCCTCCCAGGCTTGCACGATACCAGCGCCTTGTTGCGCTACTGGCGCCAGAATATCGGGATGAGCCTTGGTGCCGTCGTGCCAGGCCAGCGGTTTGGAGGTGTGTGTCAAAATTCGGCGCAGACGCTTCGGTTCCAACTTGCCGTACACTTCACCAAGCATGGCGTAAATGCCTGCAACTAGCGGAGACGCCATGCTCGTGCCAGTCATGACGCGGTAGGTACCTATGGCCGTGGGATAAGTGCTCAGTATATTCTCTCCAGGCGAAACAACTTGAGGGGTCATGTCGAGCTCCCAGCTCGGGCCCCAGCTTGACAATTGACCCGCGACGTATCCTCCACTCTCGTTGTTCACAAGCTCCACAAGAGACTGGGAAGAGTTGGACGGAACCGTGACCGTGACCGTGTTACCTTCCGAGAGCAGAGACAGCCACTTCTCAGCAGCATATGGTACTGCCTTGGCCGTACCCAGAATTCCATCAGCGTAAACGAAAACATCATCCCGCATCGTCGAGTTACTCTTGGTGTAATAGATCATGTACTTGCCGCCCTTTGCTGCAATGTTGGCGCCCTGGTCTTGTGGGTAGCACCGCGTGGCTCGTGAATCCAAAAACTCCAGAAGCACAATGCGCTGGCTCAGGTCTGGTGTGTCATCCGGGAGCGGGTTACAAGCATTGTTTGCATCAACCGCAGACCACAGCGGGAGTGTGGTGTCGGCAGCGAACGCAGGAGTGCCCATCAAGAAGGGGAATTCAGTGGTGCCGTTGGTGGTGGAGTTGCCAGTCTTGTACGAGCCCTGGTTGAGGAATGAAGGAAACATCGTATTCGAGACTGCTCCTGTACCCGTGATGCTACCGCCAGCCGCAGGCGTAGAGGCATAGAAGAGGCCCTGGCCGCCGTCATTGCCTTCGGAAACCACAACGGGAATACCTGAGTCGACAATCCGGGAGATGATGACAGCACGTGCCTCTCCCGCCCAGCCAGACTCGTCGCCGTTCGAGTACGAGATAATGCTAGCTCCGTCTTCAACAGCACGAGCGAATGCCATCAGCTCAATCTCAGTCGTGGATGTCGATGTGCATCCCCACATGCGGTACGCGCCCAGCTTCGCGCCAGGAGCAGAACCAGTAAAGCCATACTTGTTGCCCTCGAGCTGGGCAGCAGCGGTCCCCGCAACATGGGTGCCATGTCCGACGCAGTTGTCCATGGGGTCATTGTCGGGCCGCGCCGGTCTCGATGCATCTCCGGGTACATAGTTGTCGCCCGTAAAGTCGTAGCCAATCTCGACAAGACAGCCTGGGCCGAAGCAGCCGCCCAGTGCTGGATGCGTGTAGTCGATGCCGCTGTCAATGATCGAGATGCGAAAGCCCTTGCCAGTCACGCCCTCGGCATGGAGCTTGTCGACCTGGGTCATCACATGCGGGGAGAAGGTGCGCTCTTCCTGGGTTTGTCGCTTGACGTGAGAGTTTTGTGCTGGCACTGCACCTCCCACGTCACGCAAGTGTCTTGTGACTCGGGACGGCCAAATGTTCCGGATGGAAGGGTCGGCTCGCATCTGGCGTATGAAGTTCCAGCTGTCTGTCGCACTCGAGTTGGAGCTGGAGCCCTTGACTTGGAACGAGACGCCCTTGAAGAGGCTGAAGCTCAGGTCCAGTCGGGGCACAGCATCCACTCCACTGGCCGCCAGAGACGCATAGAATGTCGATGGCGTCTCATTGTCATCCGCGAACTCAACAATGTAAGTGTCGAGAAGGATGCCGCTTTGGTTTGTCGCTCGCTGTGTGAGCGCACTGGTGTCGAGCCTGGGACGAAGCGGCGTGGCGATAGCGACTTGCGCGCCCAAGAGAAGGGCCGCAACAGCACAAGAAACCTTTCCCATGGCTGGAATTCTCGATGAACGGTAGGCTGCGTGCGTGGAGTCGCAACCACGACGTTGATATTTGTATCACGCCGTTGCGGCGCGCGGTCCTCCATCTCGCCATATCGCTATCATGCAGACTTCGTATAGCACTGCAGGGCTCCGCAATAGGCCCTGGCTGTAGGCACAAAATAGAAACACCAAGGATGAAGATCGCAGGTGCTGTCCACTTTCAATATTAAACTTCGGCCCCTATGCCTGTTCGAGCCTGCGACCGGGATATCTAACGCACCACGCGGGCCGACCTCTATCTCCACGAGGTTACATTCTCGTCTTCAAATATCGATTTTCCAGAATGACCATGTAGTTGGGCTTGGTACTCGTGTTGCGGATGTTGTTGGAAGACGACGAGAATGGAGTGAGTGTAGGAGTGGTGGGTTTGCTGGCAGCTTTTTCCGGCAGGTCCGCGGCGATCATCATTCGAGCAGGGAGCAGCCGGCAACATTTCGGTAAACAACGTCGCAATTTCGAGGACGTTGGATGGGTGATGATGCGAAACTCTGGAGTTCGGTAAATGTGGGATGGAGTGAGGAGACAGACCTCTGCATTTCGCTGCGGCGTTTGGTGTTGTCCATCCACGTGGCTCGCAACTGCGACCGCGATTTCCGCAAACAGCAAGGGAATCACAAACACGATATAAGACATCAAAGCTAAAGCCTTGTTCAACTTGACTTCGATCGCTAAGTATAAAGCTCGACTAATTATATACTCCGTCTACGAACAACATTCCTGCACAGCCTCCAGCTCAGTGCATGACGACAGCAACGTGGTCGTCCATGTACTTGGAAATGTCGCCCAAAAAGCACGCTGCGATAATGCCGACACCTCCAAAAGCGATGCTAACATAGTACACGTACTTGTATGCCTCTGCGTACGCAAGTTGACCAGCATACACGACCAATTCGTACGCACCCGGCACGCCCTTGATACCTGGCAGCTCCTCGAGGAGGGGAAGAAGCGAAGACCCGGTGATGACAATCGCCTCTTCGATAATCTTGGGAGATGTGATGTTGAGCTTGGTCACCATGGCGCCGCCGATGAAGTGAGTAGCTGCTGGGACGAATTTTGCTGGAGCGTGTTAGCCATTACATTACCTCAAATTGAGGGGAGGACGTACAGATGAAGACGTTGTAGTACACGCAGTAGCCGATTGAGCCGCCGATGACGCGGATCGCAAGAGTAAGGGCTGCGACGGTAGCGATGAGATCGTCTGGGCAGATGATGGTGGCTAACGAGGTTAGTAAGATCTCCATAGTCAGTACGGTTTCATAAACTCACAAATAATGGACGCAGGCACGACAATACCGCCAATACCGACGCCAGCGAGAACTAGCAATCCCCAGAGCTGGTACAAGTTGTCCACACGACCTACTGCGAGCGCTCCACAGCCCGCAGTCATCAAGACCGACGATGCGATCAGGAGTTCTTTGTTGTGACCGCGAAGCATAGAAAGCAGCCACAAGACGATGCAAGCCCCAGCGAGAATAGAAAAGCCGACTGGAATACCACGGATACCAACACCAATTGGATCATGACCGTAAACGTTGAAAGCCTGAGTCGGCCAGAACATGAGGATGGAGAAGAAGTTGGCGCCGGAGATGAAAGTGATGACGAGAGTAAGACCAAGAATGCGTGGCTCCTGGCGCAGCCTCTTCGGGAACATGGGGTGCTTCGCTCCGTAGGCTTCCCAAAGCACAAACGACACGAGCAGTAAGACGCCCAAGATGAGAGGAGCAAGGACGTGAGCGCTGGACCACTTGTACTGGTATCCGCCCCACTGCATGCCCATCATGAACAAGAGCATTCCAGCAACAGAGAGGAAGCCGCCGACGTAGTCAATTTGGGCCAGAACTTCGCGACGAGTCATACCAGCACTGTTGACGCGGGGAGGGGGGTGGTAGAAGACCGTCGTCAAAACGAGGCCAATGAATGCCCAAAGCCCGCAGAACAGTCCGATCCATCGCCATGCTCCAGGAGATTGAGAAGCAATAAGTTGCGCCCAAAGCACCGAAGGGCAGAAAGGAATGATGGTGAAGACGAGAATGGCGACGTACTTGCCGCGCTGGCTGGTAGGTGCCAACTCAGACGTCACAGCCAGTGCAGTCAACTCGTTGATACCTGCACCCACGCCGGAAAAGACCATGCCGCAGATGAAGATGTTCATGGTTTGGGCGGTGGAACACACAATCATGCCCAGGATGAGGAAGCAAGCCCCGATGATGGCAACCCATCGTCGTCCCACGATATCGGAAATGGACCCAACGAAGGGACAGACAGCGGCTAGGGAGAGGAGGTTGGCGAGCACGAACCAAATCCATCGGTCGACACCGCCAATATCGCCGTAGATTTGGGGAGGAACACCACCGAAGAGGTATACTGGGATCTGACTGCCGGTCCATACTTTGCAGTATTAGTAGAGGAAGGAGAATGACTGGAAGGAGCTTACGGAAAGCCATGGCGACCAAAGCCATGATCCTCTTGAAGTTCATCGGGACATCTTCATGGTTTTCGCCATCGCCCTCGGTCCTGTTGCCATTCTTCTCGTAGTAGTTGTTGTGACCTGGCACAATCTCGTTGGTGTGGACCTCCTCGAAGTGGTTGAAGGCAGGCTTTGATGTCGAGGGTGATTGGTCCGAGACATCTGAAGTGTTCAGTAATGGATTGGGGTGCGAGGGTGAATTGACTCACTGGAGCTGTCACTGTGGCCCCTCATCGTGTTTCTTCGTTGCGCTCACACACAAAGAATTGTCGAAGAACTGTATTGTTGAGGAGCAGCGAAGAGCCCCAGGATGCGCTGATAATCGGCTTCAGTTGGAGGAGGCTCAGTGAAGCTCTTATGGATCAGCAACATATGCCACAACCAGCGGTTACATACATCCATCTCGACCCGATATGGCAATGTCTGAAGCCCTTGCACTGATGAATGCGGGGTACCCCATCTGGACTGCATCGTGGCTTACCTTGGGACGTTGAGGCGCGGTAGCCCCGGTCTGGCCCTCAACTTCACCACCAACGGTATCGATGGGATTGGTCTTCTACAAGATCGCCGCGGTACTTCTCCAGAATTCCATCCCACACGTTGTTGACACCTCTGAGGCCATCCAGGACCATGAACATGGGACTCGTGCCCCAGAAACTAGCGTGGATCTACCCCGCATTGCTTGACAGGATAAGCATGGGGGCGGTAACCAAGCTTTCGCGTCTGGCGATCTTAGTGAAAAAGCGTTCCAACCGGACGATGAATTGATCGTCAAGTACTAATGTTTGGGGCAAAATATCTTGACCGTGTTGATTTTAATAGCAAGGCACTGAGATGCTGTTCGCACAGCCTTTGGGTTCGCGAACTCGCAGATGCTGGGCCAGTACGACTATGCGGAAGAAGGTCCGCATTGTCACCGAGAAGTTCCGCGGACATTGACTCTCATCCTATTGTCTCACGCTCGCATAATTGCCGTCGCTTGTGATTGCCGCCACAAAATGTTCGCGCGGTGCTTTATCGCACTGCTCGGTTACGCTTCAAGTAGGCTACTTCGAATCTTACTTGTGGCATTTTCGGATACCACGGCTGGACTGTGAGGGTACAGCTTGTTGCATTGCTGTTACAAGTTCGTCCGCAATGTCCTCAAATGTAGAGTCAAACAGACATTGGCGAGGTGAATCACAATATTTAATACTGATAGTTGTCGAAAAGTTTCTTCACGCCTGTCGATTTCAGAACTTTTGAGCTGATTGACACAAGTTGTTCCTCGAAGATGGATTTAGCGCCCCAGAAAGACCTTTAAAATGCACACCACAGTGAAGTACAGTATTGAGAGTAGAGCTTGATTGTACACTTCATGTATACTTGGGGATCGCACTGGTTTTGATGCAACATCAGAGCCATGATGAAGTCAACGTGAGCAGCCACATGAGCATGTGGTGTTCTCAGCAAGAAGAGACATATTCTGCATGTCACGAGCGTTTTTGGAAAAAGGTCCGCGCGTCCTCCAATGGATTGATATGTCCTCGGTTTCCTGTGAACCTAGACTATTCTCCAGAAACACAACACATGGCGGAGAAACTTCGCCAACTACAACGCCACTCTCAGCCACTCTAACCTCGTTACCCAGCACTCTTGTTGTGTCGCAGCCACGGACATAACCTATTCCTATCATTCGGGTCCATCCACGGTGTCTGTCCCTCTGGTACCAGCTCTGGCTGCCCCACTGTCGTCCCATTTTGATCGACGCAGTAGGTTACGCCACAGCTGCTTTGTGGACCTCGGTTTCCGCAAGCACCAAATGACAATCTTGACGCTCCGTAGAAGTTCCAACCATCTTCAGGGTCCGCATAGTATCCATATACATAGTATCGGTACGTGTCCCATATTGGATCAGTATCACGAGAGATGTTGTCATGGAGCCACTTCGCGATGCCGCGCATCTTGTAGGGAATCTCATGGTTGCAGTCCCAATCGTAGAGGCCGATTTGGAGACATGCACCGTCGTCGAATGTCTTGCGAAGAAATGGGCCGCGACCAAAACCTTTGCTAGCATTTTGATCGGGCTGTTCGAGGACGTAGGTTTCAAATGCTTCTATCTTTGTCGACCACGGTATTGGCGAAGCGGTTGGCACGGCGGTGGAGGTTGATGCAGCTTGAGGCATACCCAGACATGTTGCTAACACGGATGCGATGAGAATTAAGCTGCTGAACGTTGCAATAGGTGAGCTCCACATGGCGATTGTAGTCTCGTTCTTCTTCCGAGGGCTTTATTTCAACACAAAGTCCAACTGTCGAGTGGCATGTTTCTGGCTTTAAGAACCCCGCGTTGCAGCAGTGTCATGCGATTCAATTTGCGCAGTCGTATATTTAATCAAGACGGATGATCGACGCGACGCCGTTACCCGGGTGGGCACCTGCAGCAGGATCCAGCAGCCGGTAAATATCGAACAGCCACACCCACTCACGATTCCAGGCACTTAAGCGTTCAGGTCCGCAGTGCGCATTGAGCGCACAACGGCTTCAATTCGACGATCGCGCAAGCTCATGATGCAAACGACGATATGATCTTGCCGCACTCCAAGCGGTGAACCGAACAGCATCTTTCTGACCCTGTCAACACTGACGCAGTTTGTGCGCAAAGACAGAAATTGAGAGATGATGAAGCGGGAGGCCTTCCAACTTTGCCGCGATGCTCTGATATTCACCTCGAGATTATACTGCCTTTCGCAAGGCGTTTGACACCACCGTGGTGGTACTATTCTACATGCTTGTGCAGTGAAAAGCCCTGCGAAAATCATCCAAAAGCCGCACAACCATCTCTTTCGTCAGCCGAAGCGAATTCTCGAGGTACAAGTTCTTGTACGTCGCGCGGCTCGGTATTTCGAGGTCCGAAGTTGTCGATGTCATGGGCGAAAGTACCTTCCTACTTGAGCTGCTTGCCGAGCCGCGGAGCAACGGCTTGTCGAAGCTTGACTTGCCGCACCTGTCAGCCAACGGCAATCGACTCTACGAGCCGCAAACATGACGACTGTGGAGAAGTGTGGAGAGTCATTGTGCGGAGAAGCTGGGGAGACAACTATTTGGACATTCCACCTCGGTTTGAATGACGGAGTGACACTGCATTCTACCGCCGGCAAGCGTTTTTATAAAAGGGTTCGTCTCACGAGTATGGCACAAATACTGAGCTTCTCATCGCTGCTTTCATCGATCTGGGAGTACTCCTTGAAGTAGATTGACCCATCAAGCACCAACTTTCACTGCCAGTCATGTCCGAGACATCGAAAATGGACCACGAAATGACCGAGCACAATGGTGTCAATATTGGCGGCAATGGCACCGAACTGAGTCGACAAGTTACTGTTGCTCTCAGTCCAGAGCAATACGAGCGACTCTTCTTCCAGCCATCAGCTCCTCGTCGTGGCGATCTTGCAAAGCGGTTTGGTATGTCATCACCCCAAAGTTCAAAAGTATAAAGCTAACACCTTGTAAGCGAACCCAACACTTCTCGGCCTCATCGGCTTCTTGATCCCATACACATCTACTATCCTCATTCTGTGCGGCTTTCAGGGCGCAGTGGCTCCGCAGTCTCTTGTTGGGCTGAGTGGTGATTACTATTTCTTTGGCTGCATCGCGATGAACGTTGCCGGGATTGCCGAATTTATTCTCGGAAACAGTACGTCTTCTACACTCAGGTTCGATCATAGCTAATGTTATGAAGCATTCCCGATGGCCGTTTTTCTAATCTACGGCTCGCACTGGGGCAGTCTCGCCTACACACAAGATCCCATCCACAACACTACCGCACCGTTCGCGGAACTAGGCGGCGCCCATGGTGCGGCGTACAATTCTTCCCAAGGATTCCACAACGTGACAATGTGGGCCATTTGAACTGTTACCGCCAACACCACTAACCATGAACAGGGCCATCGCATCATTTGTCTTCCTCATTGGCACGCTCCGCGTCAACCTCTTCTTCACTTTCACATTCTTCGGCCTTGTCATGCTGTTTTCATTCATCGCTGCTGCCGATTTCAGCGTCGCCTCTGCAACCACGGAAGCTGGTCTCCTACACGTCGAGAAGCTGTTACGTATCGCTGGTGGTTTTGGGTTCTTGGGCCTGATAAGTGGCTGGTATCTTGCGATCTTGACTGCCTGCGAGGCTGTCGGCATTCCTTGTCCTTTGCCTGTGCTAGATCTAAGTAGCAAGGTGTTTCCTTCGAAGCCACAGACAGGCAAGGACAACTAGGTGTATAGTCAATAAGTCTGTGTAACCGATCATATGATTGATCAAATCAAACAACTGCCATTGCCTGATGGGGTGGGTGATTGCGAAGATTCAAAAAGATCTTACGAGATCCGAATGACTTCGAAATAGATTCTATTGGAACAGCGATCGCAAATATAGTGACGAATCGGGGAGTGCAGAAACTCCACACAATGTACTCCTGGCGTGAACCTCACATCTGCACCACGCAGAGCCTTGCAAAATAAAGCCGCTGTATCTATACCTCCTCACACTTCTCAAATTTACCATCCTTCCTACCTGCATGAGTCCACACGCCGATGAATATAGCCTCATCTGAGCCGATCGTGTGCTGATATACGACTCTTGCGTCGCTGGTCGACTTCTGGGTTCCTCCAACAAACACGGTCTTGCCATCGTGCGTGAGTGGAAAGTGATCAACATTGGTCTCACCCTTGTAGTCCTCGAGACCTTCGATAGACTTTGGCGCTTTCAGCCAGCCTGGGTACTTGCTGCTCCCAGCCTTATTATCGCCATTGTCGCGGAGCTGGAGGCCATATTCAACGCTCCTCTTGATGTAATCACTGTCAAACGTCTGGGCTGAGAGTTGTTGGTATCTGCACAGTGAGGCTTTTGGGCGATGCTGACTCTTGTCGTTCTTTTGAGTAAGCTTGCACTTCCAGTCTTTTGGTGGGAAGCCCTTGATCGTGCTTGGAAGCTTGGTCGGTGGAGATCGCGCAACGACTTGCAGAGTAGTTGGGAAGTTATCTACAGGAGTAGGAGTTGCGCAGACCGAGGTGGTGACCGCGAGAAGGGAGAGGACGAAGCCGGTGAGCTGCACGATGGTGATATGGAGGTATAGATTTGTGGGTAGTCGCAGAAATGTTGAGATATAGATTTGCTGAAGGTGAAGCTGAAGGTGAAGAAAAAGACTGGAGTGATTGTGTGATGTACCTTCTTCAACGCCGTTGAAGGTCTTATATGCCGTTCAGAACATTCCGTACGGACTTGATAGACCCCAAAGCCACCGTCGTCATAATCGTTCCAACAGTAAGATCATAGGAATGAAGTCGCGCCAGGCGTACCAGGCGTGCAGCACCTCGCTATGCACAGCATGTCAGCCATCGTGAAGATGACGCCTAGTCTAGAGGGAGAATGAGATTCAGGCACCCATTTGCAACGTTCGGAAATCACTAGAATCCGGAGTGGAGATACTGGTGATCGTGTGGCATCCTTCGGACCGTAGGCATATTCTGTCCATGTCGTATCTGTATCCACTTGGTTCCGGATGAAGCGCAATGGTTACAGAAATTCCATATTGACACAATCGCGACAAACACACATCCGGCCGGAAAGTCTAATGTGGCGGATAACTAAACCTTGGTGAGAACCTCGATGTCATCCTCCAGAGCAAAGCCCGATCGATCACGCCTTTCCACGACCTCCACATTTGCATCCACTACCTCGATATTCGGACCCTGAATAGCTGAGTCGATCACTGGGTGAGGCTGAGTAGTAATCGCATGTGTAACAATGATATTCTATGTGGAGGCGAGAGGCCTGATGTTCCAAGTCAATGTTCGTGATTGGTGGTTGCCTGGTATGTTTCAGGCGGCCTTACCCGCCCCCACAACGACGCCTTCCGCTGACTCCAAACATAGAAGTCGCGCAATGACATCACTGCTAGGCATCAGCCGCATACGGAGCGTACACTTATTACGACCTTTTGCTAAGACACGGATAAAATACTTTGCGTTTCCCAAGCGCGAGCAAAGAATAGAACACTTTCGCAAGGGGAGATTTTACGCATCTTTCAACTACAATATGGCGTGTGCTTTCCTGAAGACCGCGAACACGACCTTTCCAGGTTACGACATAATCGACAACCAAATCAACACTTTGAAAGAACGTCTCAACGACACAATTACAAGTGAAGATGCAGCCAAACGACTCGCATCGCACCCGGAAGCGTCGTCTACACCTGTGGAACTACAACAAAGACTGAGTGGACTCTGGGCGCTGCTGAACGAGACTGCCGTCAAAGACGAGGCTGCACAACCGAAAATAATCTCCATTCTGCAGGCGATACGCCAGTTACCGAAAGCTAAAGTTCCTACGGGTGAAGGGGAAGATGTCATGGACTTTGATGACGGCTACTACTGGCGAGAGCTTACGGGCTGGGCCAACGACTGGGCAGATGCATTCAACGCCCACGCCTCAAGCTACCTGATCGATCATCCTGACGATGATCAACGAAAGGCGGCCTGGACGAATGGGTGTGCATACACAGCACGTCTTGCTGTGACTGGTGATGAATCTCTCTCTTCATACGGAGCGGGCTTGGATCGTGCTACGAGCGCCATTTCCGAGGTCTTGGAGGTGGATACCAGTGGGGAGGAGCCAAAGGGTCTTGAGGCGGCAGCGCAGTTGTTCAACCATGCGAGCCCTGAATTGTATCGCCGATGCAGAGACGGTCCCGCGGAGGGCATGTTAACGAACAGGGACAGCACATGGAAGGGACAGGATGGGTACTCTGATGCTCGGTGGAGATTTTGGTTCGAGAGATGGACTGCCGTCGCCGAAAAAGATGGTTTTTCGCAGCGTGCTCGTGAATTAGCGATGCAAGCTTGGAACGCTATGAAGGTTGCTGAGTCCGGATGGTTACAATACACTTGTACGACTCGAACTGTTCGGTGAGCCTTATAGAACTTAGTTCACTTGTGTTCATAATTTTTTTTTCGCTGGAATCTTCTTCAGCTCAAGCTCATCCTATTCTTCGCGTGTGTTGGCCAACGCAACTTGAAAGCATCGACTAGCGCTTGCACGTTCGTATCCAGCATATGTTCCATTTAAAGATCCGTTCTGAAAGCAGTTCTCGTCTCATCATCGCAATCACGAGCACATTTGGATAAGGCATCAGTGTAACAGGCTTTCTCTCAATGAGGTAGGTATTGCATTTGTACACGACAACAAACTCTAATCGAAACCGCATATAGATATCTGCGATTCCGCATTCATAAGCAACAATGCCAGCGCTCCAGTCGAAAATCAACAGCGCTTTTTGACATAAGTAGATCTAGCTCGAACTAGCATGGGGCAAGCCCTCTTCCACGTCATACCACTTATCGTCCTCGCCTTCATCCTCATCTTCTTGCACCCCGGTGATAGATCTATCAGTCCGATAAGGCTCGGCCACGCCGCTATCAACAGCACAGTTGGTCACGAAGAACGCATGCTCAATACCTAGCGGACGACCCTGGCACACGTATCCAAGCGGGGTGTGCATAACGTCCTGACCTTTGCGACGAAGAGAAAGCCACTCTAGGATGAAGCTGATTGTTTCAGTCTTTGTTGCATCAGATCGCCTATGTATGCTGGCGTCATCGATGTACTTTGCCAGAGGTGCACATTCTTCATACTCCATGTACAAGCGACCTGCAAAGATACCGAGTTCGATGATAATGCTTTGTGGAATGATGTGGTCGCTTCGAAGCGGTGGAAAAGAGTAGTATCGTAGGCTACTGAATCGTAGCATTTTCTTCGTGACTGGTGCTGAATACGCAAGGAGGTGGACTTTGGGAGGGCACCCTTGTGAGCGAAGTTGAGAAATCACAATCTCTGCTTCCTCGGCAACGATGACGAGCGCGTTGAATGTGATGGGATTGTAAAGGATCCATTCAACAGGACGCTAATCAAATGATAAGCATGTTAATGATACGCGAAGGACAGTAAACTCACCAGAAAGTTATCAATCAAGCCAGGGTCGTTCGATTGGATTGTCCTCATAAACTCTGCCGAAACGAACAGGCCAGACCCGTTGCTTGATATTCCAAGCCTCTCACCGACTGACGTGCGCGATACAGCGTCGAAAACGTGTTCATAACCCATGTGTCCACACAGGTGACCAGTACTCACAAAGCCAGAGATGGCAGGGTGAAGTCCAGGGAATGCATAGGCTTTGTAATGTATGGCTTTCTGCACCTCGCGGACTTCTTCGACTTGAAATTCTACCTCGCGTTCTTGTTCTACTTCCTCTAGCGCAGAAGAATGCAGGGTATTTGCCGTTTCCGACATACCCAGACTGAGCTCCCTGAGTTTGTGCCTGAACGTTTGGAGCTGTGGAGACATAGTCGTTTGGGATGATATACCGTGGGTTTCTTTCACGCAGCGTCCATATAACTGCTCAAGTGTTTGCTGTTCAGGGTGTTGAAGCACCCGAATATATGCACTCCTCTCTTGCGCATTAGAGAGGAAGGCCGCATTCTCCCATTCCGCGTTTATGCGGTTACAAAAGTCGGTACCTTGAGAGACGTATAGGTTTTGGAGCTGTTCATTCGTACGGCACGTTTGTTCCAATAACCAAGCAACGACATGAGAAGAATTGACTTTGTCGTTTTCGTTCAATGCACAAAAGTCAACAATGGAGTGATGGGTCTCTGGAAACGCAAAGAAGCAGATGGATTGAGTCGTTGCAAGTTGTCGGAGGCGCATGGCAGCTGGGTTCAACGTCAGGTTTGAATAACTCATAGACCACATTTTCTCACTCACCTTGCACAGTGTGATCCTTGGTCTGTCCAAGAGCAAGTGTCAGCGCACCACAAGCATGCTGAGGCAATTTTAGATCTATGCCTCTCGTATGAGCTTCGTCCAGGTACACGAGACAATGGTCTAGATTGTCAACGAACGGAGTTGCTAGCAAAGGGACTCGCGCCTTGGTACCACGGTATCGCACCCAGGCTCGATTGTCAGCACCAAAGTACACAGCTGCAGATGGCCCAGTGTCTATGTCCATCCATGCCTTGACCAAATCTTCATTACTCATTTCGAGTATGTAAGCACCGGCGTCAATGAGCACGCGAATCTTTTTGTCTCTGAGCTGTCCAAGGAATCCTATCTCGGATAATCGTTTTCCATCACGAGCTACAAGGTGATATGCACGATTTCGTTCTTGCAATAGGTAGGTAAGTACCTCGGCGTTTGTTTGATGCAAGTTTGGCAGATCACTCTGTTGAATAGTTAGCGGTAGCATCATTTTGTTGTCGTTGGTGCCGCTAAACCCAGTGGTCCTTGCACGTATGGGTGTCTTATCCAGTTTTACTCGCGAAAATAAGGGCAGATCCCATCCAGAGGCTTGTAACTTGGTGTCGAACTGTTTGGCGTGCGCTGGAAACACAAAGTGGTTCATGTAGTGGTCGAGCACGGTTCGGTTCGTTCGAAGATGCCTCCAGAGTTCCTCCACCTGACTATGGTCATCGGAGTTGATAACGTTCCAATGATGCAAAGCCTCGGGAAGCGAGTCGCAACTGCTCGTCCACCTGTCGTACTCACTGGCGGGATCATGTGATGCCAGGATATGGCGAAGAGCGTCGCGGAATTGGACAGCGCTAAGACCAGTATAATAGAAAGCCAAGCAGGTGAAGATAATTGCAGCGTCAGGGTGTCCAAATTCAGCCTGCTCGGAAGGAATCCCTTTCGCTTCGAAGGGCACTGCTATGGGATCGCGATTGGGGTGCAACCCATACTGTACGTTCCAGCGCTTTCTGAGACAAAGAAGCAATATTCGATTTTGCAACAAACCCCGAACAAGCAACAGCGTTTTGAACGCAATGTCCTCGTCGGCGAACAGTTCAGCCACACGCTCCAGCAATTCGTTGTCTAAAGTCTTGTCCAAGAGCACTCTACGCAAGTGAGCACCGCAGCTGTCCGAATCATGATCCGAGAAGCGAAGAAATGAGGTGCTTCCAGTACAGATCTCATCAACTATGCGTCGGTGCAGATCCTCCTCCACATCTTCTTGAAGGATGTATATCATTGGATAACCCTGACCACGCTTCAGGACTTCAATGTTGCGCGGAAACTTGCGCTCAAGCTCTGGCAGGTGATCTTTCACGAGTGATAGCAGCGATTGCGCTACTTGCCAGCGGTGCGGGTGTCCATCCACTGTGGTCTGCTTGCCACTTGGATAGATGAGTTGAGTCTTTATCGCTAATGAAACGTCCGACTCGTCCAGAACGTCCCGACAAATGGAGTTGAGGTATGTCTGAAACTCAATCATTTCGCGTGCAGTGTCCATGTTGGAGCTGGCGAGATGTTGAAGACCACTGAGTTTGTATGAGAGAGGGCTTTCAGGCGCGATCAATACAACGCCTTGACCTTCTAACATTTCCCGATGAAGGTGTCTATAGAGCTGAAGTGTTTGCGGGTTGGTGTTGGTCCTCCGGGAGAAAGGAATGTGTCGAATCTCGCGGCCGACTAAGCCGCCCAGTCGCGACTGAATCATTTGTGCGGTTGGCAAAAGTAATGGCTTCGGTACAATGAGACGCGAGAGTTGATTGCCATCTCCTATCACCGCCATTGCCATGGGAACAATACACGATGTCTTACCTAGTGCTGATTGTGAGAGTGAGCTTTGTGTCTACAAAGTTCTCGGCTTACCTTTACCCATGTTCAACTGCAATACTGTGTTTTCCCTCAACTTCGGCGCAATAATGGCATGTGCAACGTCAACCTGCTCCTGTCGGATCAAAATGTCACTATCAACCTCTAGGAGAAGCCAATCAGGCCATTCCAGTGGACTCCAATTCTCATGACCAGCGTTTCCAATTTCTTCTTGATGGTCCTTAACCTTGCCATGAGACAAGTAATGATGAACTCGCACGAGTTGCTGCAGCTCTGTGATGAGAATGCCGTGTGCCACAATCATCTCTTGTACGAAACTCCCAAACTTGACAGACGAGCTCGAGCGTAGTTGCTCCAAAAATGCGATCGACGTCGTGCAAGGCCAGAGGTTTCCAAGATCTAGCCATGAGAAGCGGCTGTCATCGTTATGTAAAGCTCGCTGAATTTGAGATAAATGAGTGGCTACCATCGTACGAAGGTCTCGGATGCGTTTTGCGTTGGCTGTGATATTTGGAGTGGTATAAGAGACTTGTGTCTCATTTCTGGTCCTCTCCAAAGCATCAAGGCTCATCTTTAGATCAAGACTGTACTGCAGGCGGAGAGGATTTAAGTGCCGCTCAAAGCCGGAAAGAATCTGCCGTAACTCAACGGTCTCTTTGTTTGGAAATTTCGCTCTCATGTTCTCCTTCGTACTGGTAGAAAGCTTAATGTCGATGGATGGTAGTAGCTCGAGGGCCTGGCGTCCCAAGGGCACTGCTAGCGATTTCGTCAGAAGATCTCTCGAGATCGACGGTACGACCGAACCATGTATTTTCCCGTGGAATGGTTTTTGTGTCCAACTCCAAGCGTCGGCATGCGATATATCACTGGGTCCTGTGTGCTGTCTCAATACGTCCTCCACGTGACGTATGTACTTTGAGAGGGATAAGTTCGAATGCAAGCGCTCCCATTCAGGGACGACACGCTCCATTGCGAGCCCTAGATCAATAATATCAGAGTCGAAACCATTCAGAGTGATTTCTTCATGTGGCCATTGATCAAGGAAGTGTTGCGCTAATCGTTTCGCTTCAGCCTCACATGCCTTTCGATGCACTACTTCGGCCCTTGTTTGCATCCACTGACGCTTCTCCGGTAAATCTAAAGAGATCACACGAAGCATGGATTGTATGCTGGGTAACTCATTCAGCTTGAACTGATTGAACGAGGGACAAGATGGAGGTATCAAGTTTCTCAATGTCGGCAGGGATGCAAACGCTGCCAATATTTTGATGGTGTCCAAGTCGGTCGTTGAATTGAGCGACATAAGAGATAGGCGGAACATCAAGCTGTGGGGTTCACCAAGATCGGAGTGGCGACAGATGTTCACAAGACTACCCCACTGCTCATCAACGTTCTTCTCAACTAGGTCGCTCAGGCTCGCGACCTCAGTCTGACGAACCCTGTGGAACCCGCCGATAAGCTGCCAATCCTGTAATATCGCGGAAAGCTCTTGACGCGTGTGAAGTCGGAAAGGTTTTGTCTTGAATAGGTTTGCAACGTGATAAACTTTGCGTGCTTGCACCAAATTGGCTTGCTGGCCACGAGATATGTGAATCCGGTCGTTAGCTGCTGCTCGATCTGTATCGTCGATACTACGCTCATAGATACGGCGCTGCGTCATAGCCCGTTTCTGGAGGTGAGACGGAGTACATACATTAACGTCGAGGTCCTCCACTGCATTTTGGGCAAACACTTGGAGATGACCTGACTTATCGAGTATCTTATGCACAAGCCCTTCGTATCCATCATGTTGAATGGTCATAGTGAGTTTTACGGACCAAGAAACAGTCTGCAGTGCTTGCTTGTCCTCCGGATAGTATTTCCGCTCTGGACTAAGGTCTGCAATGTGTTTCAGGATATTGATCGCTGCATCCCCCAACGGTTCCCAAGGTTGACAATAACCCGATTGGAGCATGTGGAACGCTTCCTCGGTGCCGGTACGGCCAGTCAAAGGATCCGGTATGACGAATGATGTGTGCGCATGAAACAGTGCTTTTGCGTAAAGAAGTCGCGGCTCAAGAGGGCATGACAAGCGGCCGAGTACGTTGTCAATTCCAAATTTTGCATACTCAGTGCTGCCAGCTGCTCGCACGGCCACGTGCATCCCACGACGTTGAAAAGATATTTTCCCGAATGGTGTGATGACGCTGCGGCGTGCACTGTTTTCGACGTCACGCAGTACGATTTTGCTCTCGAAACCGTAAAAAGTGCCAGCGTCTTGATCGGGATCGATCTCTTCATTCAGCTCTCGACATTGAAGAAGCCCTTTGACGTTCACAAAGAACGAGAGTTCTAAATGGCGTAGCTCAACAGATAGCCTTCCCCTAGAGTTGATAGGCTGGAAGACGGTAATTTTGCGTGGGTCTTCAAAATGACGAAAGATGTCGGCCACTTGCTTGAAGAGGTAAGAATTAGGGTCAATCAACATCGTTCTGTTGCTCCGATGAGCCTGCCACTTCATAAGGTCAATCCTCCAGTCGTTTAATCGTGTCTTCCACAAGACAGGCTTGCGTCGGATCTCAAGACAACTTGTGCTCAGATTCAACCAATGCGCGCAATTTGAGATGAGTCCATCTGGAAGGTCAACACTATCAGTTCCCACGAAACAGTGAGAGGGAATGTATTCCAGCAGTTCATCTCGAGCCCAAGCGCGGATAATGACGCGGCCTTTCCGAGATCCAAAGTGTATCTCACGGTTGTTTATATGCGATGCGAGGACGTAAGACATGCCAAACTCAGCAGATGGATAGGTGAGAAGATGCTGGTTGCCGAAGAGCTGCCTCACTTCATCTGATTCCCGAACTTCGCGTGGAAGTCTTCCTAAGGGCTTGCCATCGACCATCAAGTGACCCTCAATGAAGTTGTAGTGAACTACTTGTGTATTTGCTGGATGCTTCGTTGAAGTCTTCATAACACCCACCACCCATCGATCATGTATGGGTGAGACTTGCTGCCAGGTATCGAAAGACTTTACACTCGAACTCCCCGGTCCTGACCATGATGCGTTGATTGCCATGCCAATACTCCGAGGATGCGTCATTATTGACTGCAGCAAGAGTAATTTGATCTTGTACGTCATTTTGGTGTCTCGAATCAACATCCTCTTCAAGACTGGCGACAGTTTGGCCAAATCCACAAGGAGGTTTTCTTGAAGAGCTAATGATGCCTGAATGAATATTGATAAATCATTCTCTGACATCGCCGCGTCTGTAATCTTGGAGAATGTCCTGCGACAGAGCAATGCCGCCCAAAAAGCGTATTTGGCGGCTGTCTCCGCGACGTGAGTCTCTTTGGCATACCTGACGTCGACTCGGAGACGGCCAATCCAGGCTAAAGTAATGCGACGGGCTTGAACCAAGAGATTATCTGCTCGCGTCCCGGGTTCCGCCAACTCACAAAGGCGCAGGCTCAACGTGATCATGACCTCCATACAGTGGACCTCACGCCAGTTCGACGTGATGTCGTTGAGGCGCTTTTCTACTTGTGTAGTCAGGCACTCACAAAATGACATGTCCTTAAAGACAGCATGGATATCGCCGAGTGTATCATGCTTGTCTTGTGCCGGCCCAGCTTGAGTGGCAAGATGATTGAACATGTGCATCGTACTCTCGCTGCTGAAGTTCACATTCGATGCACCCAGTTCGACCAACATCGTCAGCCATCGAAGATTCTTGCCTGAGAGTAGTCGCTGATATGCCGTAAACTCATGTACTGACACGCCGGACGGACACTGCGTTTCCGAAGCGACGGCTTCATATGAAGATGGTCCAATTGCCACCGTGGGAGGGTGTAACAAGCTTGGTACTACGGAGCTCCGAAGCTCAGGAAGTACAGTTACTCCACATACGTGTTGGAACGTCAATGATTTGTCGAAGTCTTTGACCCAGGTTTCTGTAGCTACGTCGAAGTAGGAGAAGTTCAGACCATTGGGATAAAGAACATCGGATTCGGATGCCTTCATTCTCTTCTTGCTAACCTTGTAGTGTGTACCCCGGAAGGATTTCGATGTCGATGCAATAGTGATATCAGTGGGACCTCTCGAATTATATCTTGTGAGCGGCTCGTAGTCTTTCAAGAGCTTTGTGGGCGATCCGGATTGCGGTTTGGCAGGGTAGGCCAACATGAAAATCCTCCAGGTTGCGTTGCGATACGCGGCAAACGATCTTGGAATACCCAACTCGAAGATTACTGCGGCCGCTTTGATCGCGTCACTAGGAAGGAAGTCCTCGTGCGCATAGATCTGCATGCGCTTCCGAGCTCGCCAGTGCCAGCATTTGGTACATCCCTTGAGATCTCGCGTCCCATCGCGATTGAATGTGCAGGTACATGTGCCTCCAGAGATGCCCAGGGAGTGTTTGTCAAACTGAGACCACCATATCTCCAACTCTGATGTCTTCGCCTGACGTGATACCTCCGATGCCAGACTTATTCTCTTGTGGAGCTGCTGCATTGAGCTAGAGGTCGAAAAATATCTCACCACAAAGGATTTCTTTTGGGGCTCGGACAATATGGTTGTTTGATGCTTGCATCCCTCACATCTGCCATGGATATAACTCTGAATGTCACGGAGATACCGCATTCCTGCGGCGGTTGGGAGATGCAGGGCTTCCAAAAGCTGAGGAGTGAACACTGGGTGGTACTCCAGGATTAGAGGGCAAATCTTGACCATGTATTTGTCCAGCCTCACCCAAAGTCCAAAAAGATTCAGGATGAAGGTGGACGTTTGCTCAGGATCAGAGTCGTACGCTGTCCCAACACTGTTCACAAGGCCGAGTATCGCATCTGATATCTTTTCGCAAAACGACTCGAGGGTAAGATTTGCAGTCAACTGGGGCTCCTCACCTCTTTCTATTTTGCTCTCCAACTCAGTCAATCGATGATACATGTCTGTAAACTGCTCAACCTGCTCAATTGCCGTACCATGTAGTGGTGGAAGCTGCGAAGAAGGTGCAATTCGCTTCTGTGAGCGAGGCAGTTTCATCACACTTTGGAGGTACGATCCACTGTTGGGGAGAGACAGGAATTGCGCTTGCGGATCAGCACGTGTGGGGAGCCGAGGAACAGGCCGTGTCGTGTCTCGCTTGAACTTTTCCCAAGCTGAATTCACCAGCTGTGTGGCTTGCGCGATACTATATTTGAAGAAAGCTGTGGTAGCTCTGAACAGTTGGTCGTACACTTCTGGCGACTTGTCTTTTTCTTGCTCGAGTTTTGCGAGACGGCGACATATTTTGGCTCGCAAGATCAATGTCAGCTCAGGTGCTAGTCTTCCAGGGCATTCGAGTAGAAGCTCCACGAGAAGAGTGATAATAAAAAACTTGTAGTAAGCTCTGCCAGCCTGATCTCCTAGTAAAAGTTGTAATTGTCTTTGGATGCCCACGCGTAGTGTAATCCAGAGAGGCAGTCTTCGCCAGGGGAATTCCGCTGCCTCAATGTTTGCGTCATCACGAACTCTTTTTCTCAACTGAGGAATATCTTCGTCCACCGAGGACCCCAGGGACTCGAGCAAGGGTATGAGAAGGTGAGTTATAAGCCCCGGACTTCCCGTATCGCGCGATTCGACGACTGGGGTTTGGGCCTTTGTCACAAGAGCCTGAAAGCATCTCAAGGGTTCTATGCTGCCTTTTTCCAGGAATTCGGCGAGCGCCTGTTGGAAGGATGGCTTTTGGAACTCATTGAGTGGTATCTGCGCTGAGCAGTTGGGGAAATCGCAAACAAGAGCACCTTCACTAGCCAGCACCTCGGCAGATGGGGGCGATATCTCGAAAGCCTCAAAAACGACAGCTTCTGCTTGGACACTGCTACAGAGAAAATTAGCTACACCACTTATGCCATATCGATACCCGTGGACGGCAACCGTACCTGTTATTGTACCGAACGATGAGCGCAGCGTTTTGTTCCGCGATATGCAGTAGCAGCAGTTGATCCGAATCCAGGTTGCGAAATTCCGAAATCAGTGACAGTTTCTCAAGCCGGCCAAGTGCATGAAGAGTTTGGTGGCAATAGAGAGACTGACGAATCGCATACCAGGTTGGTGTTTGTCCATCGCTACCAAGTCGGCTTAGAGTATTTGTAGCCTGAATCAGTCGTAGAATAATGGCATCACCAATGCCAGCAGTATTGATGTCCTGTTTGCCGGGAAGCTGCGGTGGTAGAACAAGGTGATTGAACACTTCCATAAACATTTCCATGTCGAAAGATCATGAAAATTAGAGTCCGTTCAGTGGTTGAAAGTGAGCTGCGTAAGGCGTCATCGGGAAAGTATGGGTCTCTCTCTAACATATATAATCAAAGCGAAAACGACCGCGAATCTATCTCAGTTGAGCAACACAAAGACTCCGCAAGCTGCGCAAGCAGATGGAGTTACATTCTTGAATTAGCGTTGGAAGATAGATCTGTTTCCACATATGTCGTACTAGGGAAGTGGCAATGCGAGGTACAGAAGCTCAGAATGCAGCAAGGATGTACGAAATAGACGTCTCTTCTCTACATCAATTGAGAGCTTCGCTTCATTGCTGAAAAATGTTCAAGACAGGTATCGAAAACTAAACTCGTGCGGGACATGGCAATTGCAGCCCCTCTACGACCGTTATAGCACGATTAAGTTTCATTACACTTAGAATTACAGTGTGTGCTTAGAAAAAATACTCAGATGTACTGAGACTGTCTCGTGTAAGCGATAGGGTGAGGGAGATTCAGTGAAGGTGCGGGGTAATACATACCCAAACACGTGGGTACGTTGCGCTGGAGCGGTGCCCCGAATGTATCTTGGTACTTTGACTTATCCCTCCAGAGACGATACCGCAACGCGCATGCTATTATCGCGCTATGGAATCGGCCAATAAGATACTTAGCTCACGGAGCTAATTGAAAATTGTTCTTTCCCGAGAATGCAAGCGATGCAAGACTGCAGGAAGTGTCCTGTCAGTCCCAGTACATCGGCTTCACCGGAACCTTGTCATTTTTTCCATGATGTCACCTTTGTTCCAATACTTTTTCTAGCATCAAATAAATCGATGCATAATGACTACTTCTCACATTCGGTTCAATGCATACCATAAGCTGGACAAGATATGTCACAATACAAGGACATTGTTCGTAGATCCCCTATATCCACAGTATGTTGCAATGCGGCATGTCTACATACTTGCTATGTGAACTTTTTTCAAAGAACCGTTGCATAGTTGTACTGTGTCGTGAGTCACTTTTGCGCTGCGTAAAAAACGTGTACGAGCTTTGCATGCTGGGACATTGCACAACAACGCTCAACAGTTTTTGTGCGACAATAGGGACGAAGATGGCCAGGAGTTGCTACGTCTCTCGTTTCGTGGAGCAAACTTAATGGCCCAATCTATAAGCAGTATGCATCCCGTATTTAAAAGAGACATCATGATGTATTATCGTGGCCAATGAGAAACTGGTCTAGTGTAGACCAGCGCAAAGCTTCTCAGGGTCCGGCATAGCACCCTAGTCGTGTCAAAGGTAACAAGAAGCTGACCGGTGAGCTGCTTTCAGCAGGCAGTCCTGAGGGTGTAACTATCGCTCGTGATTCGGCAGGGTTATCCGTCCAAGGGCGATCGGTATGCTACGTAACGATGAATGAAGCACCTCGCCCCGCAGTACGGGAGCGGCACGGTAGCAGATAGAAACTCGGCTAGTCTCAATATGAACAAGTTTGTCCCGCGCTGCGGTGAAGTCCGCAAGTCGCCAGCGGTTTGGATGAAACCTCCGCAGACGTCTGTCCCAACGCCCTCGCTAATCAGGACGTTGTGCTTTTTCCCCAACCAGCATTGGTCGCAGTTTGGACCACAACACCAAAACCCAATAACGACTATCTTGCTGCTGCTCCACACAGTATTTCTGAGGATTCATGGTATTATAGCAAATTGGAATTATTGATCAAGCCGTTAGACAGACCTATCTGCTCTTCGTTTCAACGATCAAGAGTGGGTTTCCTGTGATACCTTGCGCCACAGCTAGAAATTGAACCTCGGGGCTGGACTTACTAGTGGGGCCTAGCTCATCTCACTAATAAGATCTAAAAAGTCAAGTGAACCCTTAGGATACTTCGCGATGGCGTTAGTTGTAATATCTTCCATCTTGAAACGCCCTCTCTCAGGTGGGGTACCAATAGTCAGAGCTTGCACAACGGGCAATACTGCCGCACTGAAAGCTCGAAGCAAATTTCCCTGAGACCTATCCAATATCTCAAGAAACCTTGCATACTCGGCATCAGTGGGTAACATAATCCTACACTCTAGTCATTACAAGTCTGTCCATAGTCATCAATTCACTTACATTGCGTCAGTAATGCCGGTATCTGTACCGGCGATACCTTGATCTAAGATAAGACCCAGAACACCTTGACCAAATTTCGTCTCCAGTAGATGCAGCCTCTTGCCAAGTCTTCGTACGTCTGTGATCCACCGATACTTTGCTCTGTATTCGCTAGTCTGGTAAATAATCTCTGGGAATATTTCTGCCATCATCTTCGTTGTCACATCGGCGACAGATCTGTTCACTGGATTGCCGCGCTTGTTCGACGGACCGGCAAAATTGGCCGGAGTCATAATTACTTCACATACCGATGTTTCAAGGCCACCACAGTCCATGAACAGTCTGAGAACATGGTATCTCCGAAGGAACTGCGAATGAGATATCTCTTGGCCCAGAACAGCGATCAGATGAAATCTCTTTGCTGTCGAGAGCGGGCTCGTAGTTTCCAACGCCGGGCACCTCTTCTGGGTCCTGCATGATTCCAAAATCTCCTGCAATCCACCTATCAGGCAAGGACTGGCAATATGCACCAGAATCTTTGTAAGCACTTCAGTCTTTTCCTTCCCGAGCTCTTGGACTTTCTCCTGTACATCAAGAGTAAGGAATGTGTCTTGCGGGGGTCGGACCCCAAAGACTTGACACTTTCGAACTTCCTCATCCAAATGTGACCCAGAGCCGTCAACCCTTGCGCGGGTACTGCATTCTCGACGCTTCTTTCTCTGACCAGACTCATCCCAATGCACCCTAGATTGTTTTTCTGGAGGCTTCTGTGGTCGACGTGCAGTACTGTTCGTGTCGCACCACGAGGCGTCGTCCCCGCCATTTGCCACGGGACGTACGATTTGCAAGTTGTTGTTGGGTGAGCGATCTTCTATGGAATCTACGTTCAACTCCCCAGTCAAGTATGAATAATCATCCGGATTTGATGAGGGCCCAGCACCATTTTCGAACCCTGGCAGAAGACCCGTTGTTCTCGGAAGGGTGATTGAAGAGGACATAGATGTATTCTGATCATTGCTGCTTGTAATCGATGGCGAGTACCTGCCCCCATCGGCCCTGAACAAAGATCGTGCGAGGGAAGCTACGTCAATCGACTCGGAGAACTCGTCCAGAGAAAGAAGTGTCGGATCTATCGATTGGCCAGCACAAGTGAACAACCTGAATCAGTATGCGACGTCAATATTCTGTCACAAAAGGGCAAGTCTTACTAACCCGAGGTGTCGCATTGTCCTGAGAACGACGTTGATGTCTCCCCCACAATCAAGGAAGACGACTCCTATGATTGCGTTGACGGCTTTGGCGAGAACACTTGGTGACTGCGCGCCTTCTCTCTCGTTGAACCTGATGTGTCTGCTGATACCCGTTTGTCTCGCAACAAACGCGCGCTGTTCATTGCTAGACACTTTGCTCTTGAAATCACTAGCGTAAGCTTGTTGCGAATTAGACCCGTTCGGAATCGCAAGTACATTAGAGCTCACCTCTTGTGATTCCTGCTTCGAAAGCTAAGTAGTGTAGCAAAAATTCACTAAGTGCACTACCGAACAGGGCCAACTTCCGGTTACCATCCCAATCCTCCTCTACAGCTCCAGCTGCAGTCAACGCTTTCGGCAGAAAATCATGTTTCGATTGAAACTTGTAAGCAATGATGTTTTCAACAGCCTGAGCACTCGCAGATGAAGCCATAGCTTACAAATGCTTGGGAGACAACAGCCTCGAACACGAAAGGCAGTCAAGAAAGAAACTAGAGAGCAGACAAAACGGCTCGTCATGAAGTCTCTGATGTACATCCACAACATAGCATACGTTGTACAACCCATATTACGCTTACATTCTTGTTGAAGCGACCCTTACACATCCGCGCGTGAAAGAATGAATGCAGTGATGTTTGCCATTCCGATCCGTGTTGAACTATTGGAGCGTAATCTCCTCCCCCAAAAGGCTTTTTCACTCATGCTGTGTGGTTATAGCATGTGCGCGCGGTTGAACAACCAATGACGTAAGCACAACTCTTGGCATGGTCGAAGTCATACCATTCCGCATGCAGTCATTACAACAAGCACCTGACGAAATACCCTTTTTCGACTAGCTTGTGTGCGATGGTAATTTTCTATAGTTGTAATCAATAGTGGTCTTTGCGCAATAACGCCATCCTGTTGTGTAAGCTATCGGGCTGGAACAGAAGCAGCCATCGGGACTTATGTCCGTCGTTATCCCAGTTGTGACTAAATGTTGCGACGCTCCGACATTCTTCAGAGCCTATCTCAGTTATGGTTAATCAGCAGTTTATAATAGGTAACGTAGTTCACGATAACGGTCAGTGTCATATTTTTCATCCGCTACAAAGCTAATAGCCCATACTCGAGATATGAACTGTCAACGATGTAACGATCTTCGGCTGCTATTGTAATCATGCGTCGCAGAGCAAGTAGCGCACTCATAATCATAGAGATGTCGCTATTAGGAGAATTTGTTTGAACAGCACGAAGATTAAATGTTATTTAGCATATGTGCGGCTGCCAAATATGTCATGCACACCTTTCAAGATAGGATTTCACGAAGTAGGAACTTCAAGACCCCGCCTGCATAGGCTGACTCCTTTGGGAAATATTTTCCGTTGCCAATTGTGTACACTTTGAGGTCTTCCAGAGATGCAAACAGTTCTATCTTCCGGCTAGAAGTATCCACCAAGTCTACGAGGTTGACATGAATGTTCTTGATCTCCTAGAGACTGTAAGAGTTGGAAAACTTTTCGATGCAAACTTCGCACTTACCTCTTTGCACTCCGCGATAGTTGTGGGTAGTGGCTCAATGCAGACGGCGACGCAAAGTCGGTGCCAATTTTCGATTTTGGTGATGTCAGTGCCGTACAGTGCGTTAAATTGGACCACCATAGCATCTTTGAACGCTCGACGAGCTTCCTCACGCTCACCATCGTCCCTTTCCCAATTGAAGAAGTCGCACATGCGATAGAACTCTTCTGCCACGCCGTTCTCATAGTTGTAATCGAACTCTAGATACTGTGAGAAGAAGGTACCGATCGCATTCGAATTCTCTTCAGCCTTCTTTAGCTTAAATGGAGGCGCACGTTGCTTAACATCGCATGTCAGTGTATGGAAAATTAATTTATCGGTGGAGAATAGCCTACGCGCTTTCCCAAAGGACGGCGAGCTGCAAATTGTGTGCCGTCGGTGTGAGGAAATTTGCACTTTGCACCGTAAGTGCAGAATCCGTTGTTCTGGAACTGATAGCACAAGTTTCGTGCGATAGTGCGCATGATGAACTGAATAGTAGATGGTTGTCAGAAGTTAGAAGACTGAAGAATATAGACTCTGAGACTTGTTGATCTGGGGTTACCCGGCTCCCGCATTATATGCTGTCTCGAGAGGTCCATGCGGCACTGCATAGGTTTCTATCTGATTGAATACATCGCTTTCTCGCTAGAGAATAAGCGTATCATGGTACAGCAGATATGTGGTACGCAGCGCCAATCAATGACGACACCAAAATGAGACTTGTAGCTGCAAGTTACGTGTTACAGGGAGCGCTGATACGTGCGAGACGTAGAGTATAATAGTCTACTATGTGTAAAGTGTCCGGCAGAGACCATTTTAATAACGGAGTTACATGCTGTTAGTTACCAGGGTGACATTTTCGGACAACCTTACTGTACTCGTGCATATAGGATTCCGAACAACGGGTAACATGCAACAACACTGTTCTGTCTATTCTTGAATGTATTTAGATTTAGATATTCTGTGCTGCTTCGTCTAGCTGCTAAGTTTGAGGGACGTGATTGAGACAATAAGTGCCTTGCTTGGCCTGAGTGGCGACAAGGTGCAAGTTGGGAGCAAATACACGTCAGGCTATGTATACTTGCATTGACATTGGCCATTCCCCGCTTACTCGTCGCCAACCACTTGGACACCCGCAATCATGTCAACATAGAGCAAGCCTCGGGGATTCCAGCGCCACCACGGGCGAGACCACCTCGTAAAAGTCGCGAGGCCCGTGTCTTCGCCACGCCACCACAACTACCAGTACAGTTTTCTACGAGTTTGAGGTGATATATGCATTCTGATGTATTGGAAACAGAGGTTAGGCGCGAGTCTCTCAAAAGCTGGGTATCAACCCGAGCCAGCAGTTCACCACAGCGGCCAAGACGTTTCGATGCAATCGTCGATTTGAACAGCTGAAGAGATTTTGAACTATACATATTAGGATTTCTGATATCAGGTCGATAACAGTGCCAAGCCGGCCTGTGCACACCTAAGAGTTAAGCGATATTATAGCAGAGTTAAGCGATATTATAGCAGAGTTAAGCGATATTATAGCAGAGTTAAGCGATATTATAGCAGAGTTAAGCGATATTATAGCAGAGTTAAGCAATATTATAGCAGAGTTAAGCGATATTATAGCAGAGTTAAGCAATATTATAGCAGAGTTAAGCAATATTATAGCAGAGTTAAGTAATATTATAGCAGAGTTAAGCAATATTTTAATAGAGTTAAGTATTTTAATATCTTTTAGTAGCTAAAATTATATATAAGCAGAGTGCAGCTACTGCTAATACGTTATAAGAGGTCGTTAGAGATATTCTAGGTCTTATTATAGTAATATTAAAAGAAAGTAGAATAACCTTGCCTGCTCTCTTCTCTCTTAATATAAACTATTATTAAATAACAACGCTATCTCTAATAACTTATATATTTATGCTATACTATATTGCGCTAATATTATTGCTATCTTTAACTTTCTTAACTAATTATTAACTGTTACTAATAAGTAAAAGAAATTCTGCAGAGTCTCTAATTGCTAACTTATTCTTAGTTATCTCTTCTAATTATAAAGGTAGAAGCAGAGCGCTATCTATTATATAAGATACGTATATATTCTTAATACGTTATAATACTAGTTTAATAGTTATATTGCATAACTGCACTATCTTAACCTATTAAAGAAACCTTATTATTAGTAGACTCTATTTTATAAAGTAGTTTAATACTATGCTTTGCAGCAGCAAAGTAAAAATACTAATACTAAACTAGTCTTTTAGTATAGACTATCGCTGCCTATTCTCTAGAACCTATTTAAACGTTTTCTAATTAGAGAGATTCTCTTTTAGCATTGCATGCTTGCTTCCTTAGCTCTAATATATAGATCTAAATAACTGCTCTTTTACTACTATTATAAACTCTCTACCTCTGCTACCTATTAAGTTTGCCTGCTTTTAGACTAATATAACTAGAGTCTTATACTATATATATATAGCAGCTAAGATCTATTAATATTACATATCTCTAATAATACTAACTATCTAACTTCTTCTAGCAGCGTTAAATAAATCTATAAATTTATCTGCTTTAGTATAACTTAAATATAAACTGCTAATCTTATTGCTTTGCTACTAAGATAGCACTAGTTAACTCTATAGATAGATACTAAAAGGATTACTTCCTGCTTTATTACTAGAATTATTATAAGCATAAATTATAGAAAGCTTGCCTTTAACTCTAGAGAACAGACGTTTTTTAGTAGAATACTAAGATCTCTATGCTTCTAATATTAACTGCTAGTTCTTTAAGCAGTCTGTTATTCTAATTGCTGCAGCTTTATTTATTATATTTCTAACTATCTTAATGCCTGCACTTAGTAACTTCTGCGTAAATCTATAATACTTTTATTTCTAGTTACTATATAATATCTTATCTTGCTTTGCACTTGCCTAATTCTGTATACTTACTATAGTTTGCATAATAGCGCTATCTAGTTTATCCTTTAACTATTTGTTAGCTTATCTTATAGACGTTTCTTTTAGCAAACGCGTTTATTTAGTAGATGCGTAGAGCTTAGACTTAGATGCGCCTTTATAGCTAGCTGTTATATTATTAGATATACTATTATTATCTAGAACTATAATCTTATTAATAGAGTTATTATATATATTGTTAATAAAGCGCATAAGCTAATACTTATTAACGCGCTAGTAAATCTAGCATAGTATAGTTTCTAGCGTTAGCAAAATAAACGCATATATAGGCTTGCTATAGCTCTCTAGTGCTATATAAATTAGTATATCTAACCTAAACTCTAATAAAGTGTTATAGAGCAACGCATATATCTTCTTATTCTTCTTAGATAAAGTTAGTATTAACCTTAGGATAGAAGGCAGCATTATAAGGTATATAAGCTAAAGATATATATAGCATAGAGCTGCTAAAGTTACGTCTGCGTTAGCAAAGACTATAATACTAACTAGCTAAAATTAGCATAGTAATAGATTTCTACTATAGATAGAAGTTAAAATACTATAGATGCTACTAATACTATTAAACACTAGACTATTATATCTTATTCTAATTACCTTATTATTAACTACTAATATAGAATTATTATATATACTATTTACTAATATGCTCTTTTACTATATAGTGTTAAATACTACTTCTATAATAACTACTAAGGCAACATAACGCTATAATAACGTTAATCTATTAAAGCTTATATTTAATAACTAGCAGAAGATATACTCTTAAAGTAAGAATACTTAGATTTCTCTTAGCATATAGAAGCTGTTCCTACGTACCTAGAGTTAAAACTCTATAAAGAATTATATTAATATAATATATGCAGGCATATTAACTATAGTAAGTCTGCTAAGCAGAACTTAGTTAATTATCTCTATAAAGAATATAGGCTATAATATATATTAGAAGATAGTTTACTAAACTAAGAGCACTAGTATAACAGCAACGTCTCTATAATCTATAGCTAATGCTTCTTCTAGAGTATTAGCAGTAGAGCTACTACTAACTATACTCTTATCTGTTACTTTAAGGTACTAGCAGCAATAACTAATAGTATAAATAATAACTCTACTATGCTCTTAAACTATAAACTTAGCACGCCTAACTCTAAGAATAAGAGTCTTAATTAATCTAACTTAGCTACTAACGCTCTACTATAAATATAACTATAAGAGGCATTGTAGTAGGCTAAAGAGAAATACATAGAGCGCCTAAGAGCTATTCTAAATATACTGTTAGTTAAGACTAACCTATAGATCGTATATACTAAGTTCTTGCAGGTTTTTAGTAGCTTTAAAATATAGAAGAAGACGCTTAAGTATATTGCTATACTAGATAATAAAAAGAAACCTAAACTATACCTCCTATATAATACTATAAAGGCTATAGTTCGTATATAGTAAAATGTTACGTCTTAAATATCTTAATTTGCGCGCATCTATGTTATATAAGAGAATATAATAGATATACTCTTTTTCTCTTTAGAAATATACTAGAACTTTAACCTTTGCTACGCACTGCCTCTATAAAAGATATTTATATTCTTTTACTGCATACTTATATAAGAGTTTATATGCCTACTAACTCTAGTTCTCTGCGTAGGACAATAGCATGTATAGATAATACTTATAATAACTCTCTAATAGTAAGCAATAAGCTAAGAAACTGTTATAGTATAATATAACTAAACTAAGTTAAATATACTTAAAGCGCAGTGCTACTAATTCTTCCTATCTCTTATTTAATAAATAGCTTACTCTACTAACTTTAAACTAGCGCTTATTATACTTATTATCTTTCTATCTTTATTGCCTATAGAATGCAGATTCTAAGAGATATATAACTTTGCTACTAACCTCTCTGCTCTTAAAAAACTTATATGCTTTGCTAGTCTTTAAGAACTCTAGGATATCTTTGCTATAATATATCTAGATAACCTAATAACAGCTCTAGATATAGAGGCTCTTAGTCTTACTAAGGCTAAAGACCTTATTGCTAAATAGAAGCAGATATAACTCCTGCTAGATACGTTAATTAAAGAAACTAATCGTAATATAGCTAATAGATTTAAGATATAGATCTATAACTACCTTACTATAGAGTATCCTATACTAATAAACTAGATTATTATAACTAGCTAGTACATTAGCTGCTTCTAATATAGTAAGAATCTAGATACATTTATATATTAGAATAGTAATATAGTTACTATATGCTTTATTCGCATAATATTGCCTTAATTCTCTAATATAGTATAGAATAAATATAAAGAAGCATCTTAGATTCTCTATAAGCTTACCTTTATGCACTAGTAATTAGAACTACTTACTATTCTATAGAGCACTCTAGTTAACGACTTATTAAAGATAACTCCTAGATATATAGTATTCTCTATAGAAAACCTAAGCTTTATATATAGTGAAGGCTTTATTAGATAGTAGCTAGTAGAACTAAAAGATTACTTATAGTT